GAGCAGAAAACATTTAATTAGATGTATTTAAGACTCTTTTGGCAATTTCTGTTTCTCTAAGCCATTCTGATCCTGACTGACAAGTTACCAACGATCATTTGTGTGTTGTTACTCTCTTGTTCCTGTAACATGACCTTGTTACATTGAATTTTTCTAGTGAGGAAAATATTGTCTTCTGGTGATTAGTAGGCCTGCACAAAACGAGGGACAAAAAGTGAGAAGCAATAACAATGATTACATGACGTGCTAAACTATTATAGTTTTTTCAGCAGTCAGGTCAGAATTCTGTATTTTCCTTTAAGACAGTCCAACAGAAGCTTTTCAGGAATGATACTCATGTTTCACCTTTAATCTAAATAATTCCAAATAGCAGTAGTGTTGTCCTTATTTACCATATGGTCTTTATCAACCACGTTTTCATTCTTCCTTAGCCAGCATGCTAGTTAACTTAGCTGTTGACACTAAAGTATCCCCAACATCTATATTGATGTGTGATGTGTGATCCCTTTCTTTTACGTGAATGATAGGTGCCGACTCCTGTTTGAGAGCTGGTTTCCTTTTCCCCCTTTTTGATGTAATTTAATACACGACTGAATAAAGGGATGATTCCCCCCCCCCACCCCCCTCACAGCTCAACCACAAGCACATGACGGTATAACATTAATGTTTTAGATCAAACATCATGTGAAATAGTGTTATTCTTGGAATTTCACAGCTCTTATTGCTAAGCTGCGCCAAATGATCTGGGATCACTCAGAAGAGCCAGAATTCCCATCACTACTAATCTGAGATAAGCTAAAGGCTGGCTGAGGCATCATTCGATTGGCAAATCGTCCTAATTAGGATATTAAAAAAAACAAGACAGCGTTCTTTGTGCAGCAGATCATTTCAGATGACTGACTAAAGGTTTGATCTATTGTCATCCAACGTCAGCAGCCAATGTATAAAATTCAGATTTATTATGAGATAAGGAAGAACTGAACTGAATCAGTGAGGAAAAATTTGAAAAAATATTTTTTTCTTCAAGAGCCCTTTACTTGCTACAAAGTGATCACATCATTATCGTTTATGTTGTGCAGCCCTTTACCAAGCTCTAATGAGGAAGTAATGTAAATGTTCGTCCTAATGAGTCTGTGTTAAACATCTCCTTGTTGCTTTTTGCTGTAACTACAAAGTGAAAAGTGTGCACATGAATTAGTTGGTTTCTAATTTGAGGTCAGTTTAGCAGTGACAATCAGGCCGGCTTTAATTCCTCAATTGTTTGTTTCACAGGATCACATTTTTCAGATGTGCCAGCTTCATTAGCACACGATGCGTTTCATTATTATTTATTCCAGGCCATCGGAGGCTTCATTAGCTGCAGGCTGATGCAGCACGCAGCCTCTAAATTTAGCAGCTTTTTATTTATTCAGGATAACCGCGTGTAGGATGGGGTGCCCAGTCGCTGTGTTTGCTCACAACAGCTTCGAGACGTGATGAGAAAAAGAGTGGTGGGCTGGTCTGGGCGAGAAATGGGCCTCATTCCACCTGTGACACCCCCACCAGACGTCTGCCTTCTTTCCGCAGCTCTTTGAAGCCTCTTTAATTCCAGCGTGCAAGATTAAGCCCATAAAAAAAGGATGAAAAGTGATAGAGCAACAGAAGGAGACATCCTAGGAGAGAACAGGCTCCTTTGAAATAAGTTTCGAATTTGGTTCGCACTGACCCACAATGCAGCATCTGAGGGAATTTTTCTTCCCCTTCTGATCAGGGGCTGGCTATAGGATTTACTAGAGCAAGAAAAGGACTCTTTGAAGCCACGGGTCTAAGTGGAACTGGAGTTTTTGAAACCTAAATGAACACCCCGAAGACATTGTCCTTGCATTGTACATTTGAGTCTGAGAAAGTTGCTTTGTCACAGCGTGTTTGATTGAAAGTCGAGGGAATCGAGTCATTTTCTGTCATAGAATCGTTCACATAATCCACCTTTTGTGCAGCCTTTCTGTGCGGTCCGTATCACGGCCCAGTGAACTGATAGAAATGTGTATATTACAGTTTTAGTGGAGGGTACATTTGGTGAGGCTGTCATGCTTCAATTACTGTCCATATTTACAATCACAGCCAATATTTAGACAGCATGGCCTTCTAACTTGTGTGCAGAAACAGAGAAAAAAGCACCAAGCAAACAGCTGTTGTTTCATTTCAGGACATTTTTGTAGAAACACAGACCCACTGGTGGTTTAATTTTTTGTGTACAACAGCCGCTAATGAAGTTACAAACCACTCAATTTACCGACCATATGTTTGAAACGGAGGAAAAAATGTACAATAAAGGTCGTGTGGTATTGCAGACTACCTGAACCTGAGAGGTCAACACCATCAGAGCCGTCACCAGAGAGTTGATTTGTACCACCGCCAAGCTGTTTGAGTGAACTGAGAATAAGTGACTAAGAAATGTTGACAAATTGAGAGTTAATGAGGGCAAAATCAGCTTTTGTTAAGAAAGTTAAGACTTTCAGAATCTGAAAACACTGGAAAAGATAGAAATTTCAAAGATGACATTAACACAAAAGGCTAAATTCAGTGTTACACATAATATGTTATCACTGGCAATGCATTCAAGCGTTTATTTATGTTCTGCCTACACAGGCTTTTTCTTGGGTGTTTGTCACTGATGTCATCAAAAAAAAAGCCATCTGCCTTCCGTTCTAATGTTTACAAGTTTTTCCCAAAAGGCAGATACGCCCTCAATACATCCTAAGTAAGGCTAACTGATGCTTGTTTATTGTTTGGAGCAAACTTTTCTCGACTACTTTTGTCAAGGTTTAATTTTAGTTTTCATATTCAAGACTCTTTCTCTGTCTCGCTGTGAATACTTTTGCAAGTTGTCACCACTCTTCGACACTGCAGCCTGACTTATCTTGTTGTTTATGCTGTCAACATCTTGAGCAGGCACAAGCGTTTCTGCAAGTCCTGCAGTTTTTTGTGTTTTTTGATGCTTCTCTGAAAAACTCAAGACATAAAGAAAGTGAGTTATTGTGGCGCCTCTAAATGCTGACACATGCTTGTGACCATCATTCAACTTTGCCAGTTGATCTGTCTGTTTAATTTATGTTTTGTTACTTCAGAGCTGGAATAGTTGTTTTAAGTAATTACACATTTATTTTTCAACCCCTGTGTGTGTGCGCGCATGTGTGTGTATTCCCCTCTCTATTAGTTAAATCTTGAAAAATGCTGACTACCCTACTCTCTTAATTAAAGCTGTAAAAACCAACTGCACATTTCTGTCCTGAAAAGAGCACACACAGATTTTATTGCATCATTTCATTTTTAATTGAAATATTTAAGGCTATGAATTGAAAAGGGCACGATTAGTTTACGCAGTGCAATTGGATGTTGGAGGGGAGTTGGAAGGACTGCGAAAGAAAAATAAAATCATCAAATCGAGTAGTGGGCACTTAACTGCAAATGGGAGTTGCCGGAGAAATGAACAGAATCCCCTCTGGGCTAATGTCTAATCAGTGGTCTCCCCACTTAGTCCAACGAGGGAAGGCGGGTTAAAATAATAAAACACAGCTCTGGCAAAGCAACTTCCTGGAAGTTTCATCAGGGGGTTTTCAATTTGACAAATGCGCCTTTGGACTTGACTGCTGAGGTGGAACGATGGATGGAAGGGGGGGGGGGAGCTATTTAATGTGTGTGAGCTCCAAACTAACATGCAAACACACACACGCACATTTGCTGTGTGGGCAGTGGCTGCTTGAAAGCCACCTGCAGCTCCACATTAACCACAGCCTGGGCAAACAGCAAGCGAGAGTGCACTCCACATGCACCTGGTGTACATGACGCTGTCTGTATTTCACTGGAACAGTGTTTGATCATGTTTCTGAGACAACGCCTGTGTGTTGTGCTTGAAGGTGTTGTAGAAGGAGACAATTTAAAATAAAAGAGAAGCAAACGTGCAAATGAGGATGGAACAGATCCAAGCTTTTTTTAAAGAGGGTTTTATTGTGTTCTACTTTGAGATGTAGCTTTCGGCCTTAATCTTTTTTCCTCCACACTGAGCAGAATTATTTCTTGACAAGTGATCATCTTTGATATTAAGTCAATTAGATGCATAATAACCCAGCGTTCATAGAAGTGGAGCAGGACGTTAGGTCATAAACAAACTGCTGCATGGCATACTGGATCCTAGATATATCCCAACAGTGTAAATATTGAGTCTGATATGCTTCATAGGAAGTATTCTTAAAGGTATGTATCACCACATAACAGTGAAAGCAAACAGATTTTTCGCACTTGCCCCTGTTTTTTTTTTGTAGCCATGAAGGTTGAATCTCTGGTTTGAAAATATTTGAATCAAGTGAGATTTATTTTCTGGTGCTAAAAGAATACAAAAAGCTTACAAAGCACTGAGCTCGAGGTGGTTAAAGGCATTTCAGAGGCAGATACTTTTCATCTTTAATCAATCAAATGAAATTTCTCGAAGGGTATATTTTGAAAAGCTCTAGTGTTAAATTAAGCAAAGTTTGACTTCTTAAGACGCATAATTATCAACTTTCCTTCCGACAGTTAGATGAGGAGATCAATATAACTCATATCTTTGTTGTACATGTGAATCTGGGGCAAGGAGACGGGTAGCTTAGCTGAAACAAAGACTGTGGGAAGTAGGTCTGCCTCTGTCCAGATGTATGAGTATCTTCCTAAAGCTTACATGTAACATGTAATAATATCTCACTGTTTGATCGTCACACTAATCAAAGAGAAAACGATCCGGACCCTAACTTTAATAATAATCGTAAAAAAAGTATTTCCTTAATTGTCAAAATATTTCTTTGAATTCTCATGGTTCGGCGTTCCGTCTGCAGGCTTTTCCCTGATGATCATGAGATTGCATGTTAAGTGTGTGTTCAGGAGCGCATGTTAACCACTTACCTACTCTGCACTGCTGATGTTAATGTACACGTCTGTGTGCGTTTAACTGCTTTAATAATGAAACACTTCTCCTTTCTGCTCTCTCCAGAGATGGCGAGCTGGGTCTCCCTCCTCCTCCTCCTCCTCTTCTGTAAATCAGTCTCAAGAGCCCAGGAGGACAGCAACAACATCCCCATCCTGGAGTACATCTCTGAGACCCCCATCAACAATGTGGTCCAGGACCCCCAGACCGGTCGCATTTACCTGGGAGCCGTCAACACCATCTACCAGCTGGGGCCGGCGCTTGGCCTGCAGGCTCGCGCGGTGACGGGGCCCAAAGAGGACGCTCGGACCTGTACGCCTCCCGCTTCTGCATGCCAGGACACAAAGCCAATGCCCAACCTCAACAAGCTCCTGCTGGTCCATCCATCCAAAGGCTCCCTCGTAGTCTGCGGGAGTCGCTATCGAGGCATCTGCTCTCTCATGAACCTGACCAACGTGGAGCAGCAGCTGTATTACAGCGACAGCAAAGGAGAGAGGACTTACGTTGCCAGCATAGAGGATTACGTCAACGTGGTGGGCGTCATGTCCAGCTACTCGAAAGACGACAACACCTTCAGTGTGTTTCTTGTCGGGAAGGGCTACGGAAGCCTGGACAGCACAAAACTCATTAGCACAAGGATCCTTCAGGACTTCAGCGACTACGATCGAGACTGGGTCGTATTTGAAAGCATCATTGAGGCATCCACGGTACAGACGACGCCATTTGTTCCCAAGTACCTTCACGACTTCCGCCTTGCCTTCAAAGAGGACGGTTTTGTTTACTTCCTCTTTTCGCGGACACTTGACGGTACAGACACTAAAAACCTCACCTTTATATCTCGTCTCTGCGAGGACGACTACCATTACTATTCGCACACAGAGCTTCAGTTAAACTGCGGGAAAAATAACAGATACAACAAAGTCCAGGCTGCGTACGTGGCTTCTCCAGGGAAAGAGCTCGCGCGGGTCATGACTGAAGCAGGCATGTATGGGAAAGTCGTCCCCTGGAGCAAAGTCCTGTTCATGGTGGCAAGTCCAGACGACGACGAGAACAACTCTGCCCTCTGCATGTATCCTCTCAACTCCATCAATGAGCAGCTGTCGGACATCATCAGCGCCTGCTACAGCGACTCGGGGAAGATCTCCGGCTTTCCCGCTGTGGACATCCCCTACTCATCCAAAAATGAAGAATTCTGCACATCAAAAATTGCGGCAAGTACCTCTTTTGTGTCAGCTGATTGAAGTTTTTAAAAAGTCTGTTTGAAATGATAGATGTTGGCTGGATATCATTTGACGAATCCCCTTTGCAGTCATCTATAATGCAGAGATGTGTCGCTGTTGACTTTGATGTCTCAGTGTTTGCTTTGTTCTGCAGATCCTTCAGTATTGTTCTGTCTAAAGCTCTCGTTCTGTCTCACACATTTTCCCTCCTTCTCTGTCTTCTCTGCCGATTCACCGGAGTCCTCCAGAGTAATATAATAAAGATGTTATAGAACAAAAGCAGATTATGGGCTTAATCAGGCCACATTGAAGAAATATATGGCCCATTGTCGGGAGCTGAAGTTTTCCTTTTCACGGTGGATCTCACAAGTTTTACATTTTCAAGCCGTCTATGTTTGATTGCAAAACTTGAAATCTAACAGTGACAATACGATGATAGACAAATGGCTGAAACCCCAACAGTTAAGGAAGGCTGTATCACCTTATCCTTAGTCTCCTTTGCTGTCCTGTTGGTACCCAAGCCTTGATTTTGTTTTCCAAAGATGTGCTTTGGCCACCAAATTAAGGGGCTTTATTGCCCCTTGGGTCTACTGCTTAAATATAAGCTTTTATCCCTGCATCTAATACCGTCTCCACATGAAGCAAGGCGTGCTTCTGGGGCTTCTCTGCCAGGCTATTTGAGCATCACATGAAATAAATGAACTTAATGAGATGAATAACACTAATAATGGTAATTAAACTTGCGTCATTTAAATGAAGCCAGTAGCCCTTGGATTCAAACAGGGCTTTAATTTCACGGCTTTAGCCTAGTTTGACCAGAACAGATTCACAGTCAAAGAAAAACAAATAGCCTCCCATGTAACAGAAATGCTGACACAGTATATTCTGTGTCGCCATTTTCTGTTACCATCAATGAAACAGTGTACTGTTCATCTGGTGTGGATATCCCATCAATTAAACCCCCCCATAGTATAGGAGTGATAATCTCACAATAATCATCAGCCCCAAATCCACTCACAACTTCAGGCTCAAAACTGACAACTCTACCACACCCCCCCCCCCCCCCCCCCCCATCTCATATTATCATGTTTAACAGCCACCTCTCCTTTAATCGACACATTACCCAGCTCACAAGAACCTCCTTCTTCCACCTTAAAAACAGCCCACCCCCGTCCATTACTCCTCTTCGCTGCTGCTGAAACACTGATGCATGCTTTCATTACATCCAGACTCATTTCCTGCAGTAGCATCCTTTACAGCAGATCATCCACAGTCCTCTATAAACTTCAATATATCCAGAACTGTGCTGCACGCCTTCTCACACGCATCCGCTTCTGTGAACACACATCAGCCCTGTCCTGCAAAACCTCCATTGGCTCCCTTTCCCTTACCCCCCTCCTACCTCACTGACCTCCTCCACACTCCTTCCCGTAGCCGCCGTTCTTCCAATGCCAACCCCTCGTCTCCACCTCTCAGAATCAAGCACCCAACCTAGTGGGACGGGACCTTCTCAATAGCTTCCCCTTCCCCACACTTATTCACACAACATAAGAACACACCGACCCATCCACATTTAAATCATCGCTCATGAACCACCTTTCTAAAGGAGCTTTTAATGTGTGAATGTGCCGTGTGTTTTTGACATGTGGTTTGCATGTTGTTGTTTATATCACCTGTGTGTAATGTTGCTTTGTTCTGTAGTTTGTTCCTACTATGTTGTAGTGATCTTTCAATTGTGTCAGTGTCTTTGAGTTCTTGAAAAGTGCTTTATAATTCAAATGTATAGTTATTATTATGATTATAATGGTCTTTAAAGGTAGATGGAAGAAGAGGGATCTACCCAAATAACTGATGTTCATCACAAACTGTGTGTGTGCTTGTAAACATGTAAAGTGAGACCTTTTTTGTTGCTATTAACTGATGTACTCAGGTGTGTTTGTTTTGGTTGGCTTTGACTAATTTGATTTAATTGATTTATCATACACAAATGTCAGTGTGTTGTTGTTTAATGTATTTGTATGTGATGGGTTGGTTTTGATGATGAAATTCCTTTAATCAAAGACAGTTCTCTACTGACGGTTACAAAACGTAGACTTAACTTTAATGCAAATATAATTTATTCTTAATTAAATGTATCACTGTATTCACTGGTAAATCCCTCGCCTCGCTTAAGTAAACACTGGTCCTGTGGTAAAACACAATGCATTAATGCATGCAATGAGTCATAATGCCTTTTTGTTATTTCCTTTTCATGAACAGAAGGATACATTGGAACAATTCAAATGTGGCGCAGACTTCCTGCCTTCCCCCTTGGCCAGCAAACCGAGATTTGCCTTAAAGGTAAATGAAGTGTTGACCAGGCGGGGCCTTCTGACTGCCGTGGCCGTCGCCGTGGAGAACGATCACACCGTAGCATTCCTGGGGAACAGCCAGGGGGAAGTCTTTAAGGTGAAGTTTTCATCCGTTTTGTTGCTTTTATCCACTTGAAATTTTCCTTTGGAGGTTTTACCTGAGGGAAGCAGCAGGAGGGGGTGGGGGGGATTGAACACCTCATGTCTGACAGAGTTACCTTTTGTTTTGTGTGCAGGTACACCTGGCTGAGGAGCCGTATGTGTACAGCAAGGCTCCTGGCGACACCTTGGGGGAGAAGGTCAACAAGAACCTTTTCTTTGACCTCAGTCAGAGCCACCTCTACATTACCACAGAGAAAAGGGTAAGTCAAGGGCTTTTCAGACACGGTACTGCATGTGGAGTATCTTTCATCACTCTATTCATATAAGTAGCCTGCATGATACTTATTTAGACAGCTGCATTGATTAAAATGGAAGTACATCTTTTCAAAGGTTCAGCTGGAGCACTCAAGTTTTAATAGATCAAGTTGAAATGACTCTCTTTGCAATTTATATTCATCAAAAGGTCAGCTTTTGATAAAGCTGTCACTGACTGCTGTAGATTCTTCACAGAAATGTGTGTTGTATGCAACAAGGTACCAAAAGAAGAATTTTCAGAAAATTGACTTCATGTTTCAATAGTAGAAGAACCCATAAAGAACTTTTCTCCTTCCAAAATGTGAATATTTGATTCTACTGGACCAGTAATGGAATGATATACTTGTTTGTTTATTTATTTTGTTAAAGACTGCTGTGGTGTCCACTGTTCTTTACCTTTGCGGTAAAAACAGTGAAACATGTTTTAAGCACGTATAAAGATTTGTCATATCTTTGATACAAAATGTGACACTTTTTTGTCAGACTTTTCTGCTTTATGAAGTTGTTGTTAACCAAGCATGCATCATGCAGGTAATGTGTGCGAGATCAATCCCTTCAAGGTGTAAAACTACTGCAACCCTGTCAAAGGTTTTAATGTTCTGCAATAATGTCTACTGACTGTACACTATCCCTCACATATATTTTGATATTATTGGACTATAGTTGCAGATGCATTCACATGTAAACTGAAGTTCATTGACAGGGACCTTTCCTTATCTAAAGTTTCTTCAGCCATGTAATTTAGTAATTTAGCCAATACACTGTACACATCTTATATAATGTGAGAATTTAACAACATGTTGCGTCTTCATTCCCCCTTTTATTTCAGCCTATATAAATCATTGAACCGTACACATAAAGGACAAAAACCATTGCAGACAGAGGAACTTGTTTCAGTTATTCTAGGCATGAGAGACCACGCACTGTGACAGGACTTGTTTTACTCTCACTCTACGCAACTGCAACCAACCTGGGAGCATTTGTAGCAATACTACAAAATGCTTAGTATTTTGTGCAGTGTCTCCCCTCAGGTGCTCTGTTTGATCATATTTCATGTTGTAATGCTCCAGATCACCAAGGTGCCCGTGCAGACGTGCCTCCAAAAGAAAGACTGCCAATCATGTGTGAAACTGAGGGACCCTTACTGTGGCTGGTGTGTCCTGGAGGGCAGGTAGGGATCACATACACACACAAACACACTCATGCATGCACTTATATATGCATGCCCACAACAACAGACTATCACAAACACCCACACATGCAATTCCATTTGTAAAACACAGCAGGGTATTTGTTCAGTGTTTTATTGCAGACACTTTTACTACTCCTCTGTGGTTATATTCCATCTCCTGTTGTCCGGGCAGCCTTAAGGAATTAAAGCTGTTTGTCAGCCTCATGCAGTGAAGGCAGTCTGTGCAATTTACTCTCATCAGCCTATATTTATCAGGGTCTAGAGGGGCAGTATGTATCATGTATTTTACAGCGCCATGACAAGGAACGAGAAAAAAAGCACAAAGACATTTAGTTTTATGCTTTGGAGGTTGCTGATTCATGATATTCAGAAATACTATGTGCACTTTATTCTACTCTAAAGCTTCAATGATTTGTTGATTCACTGGTAATCAGTCTCGATCTATATTGATTATTTTCAGTTTCCTCATATATGATACTTCTGCTGTTTTCTATTGTCTTACACTACAATAATATCAATTAATGAATAATCCGATGACGCTACATATTTCTCATTTTGATGTTGCGTCATTGATTGGACAAAAATAATCATGAAATAATTAAATAAAATTATATAAGATAAAAGAACGTCTCAGCCCAACTTAGCATGTTTGTTTTTTTCCTTTTCATTTCATTCTAATTCCCCCTGAAGTCTATGTTACATTATATTCTCTTACTAATATGCTTTTTGTGCTGAATTAAGTTTTGCCAAATTATGTGTGTTAAAAAAATGCTGACATTTCAAGTGGAGTTGGATTGTTTCCTTATTCTGTGCAATATACCATAAATGTGCATCACCTTTATCAAATAATAATAATAATCAAATAATTACAATTTTTAAGGATGTAAGAAAAAACTCATCATTATTAATTTAAATTAAAATATAACCAGTAGTCAAATAAGCTCATTATATCCTATGTATTATACAGAGACCAGAGGGTAGATTGTAGAACGTCGAGAAAGACTAGACTTAGACTTGGACTAAGACTAATGTGCTAAATTGGAACATTTTCTTCACAGCACTGTGCAGGTTTGACAGCAAATCAACAGATTTTGACTGCAAAGAGAAAAACAACAGTATAGCCTTGTTAACAAAAAAACAGAAGGCTAATAAAACGGTCAAACAGTTTGAATCGTTTAACCAAAAGTTCAAAACCAAAAACATTGATTTACTTACTACCGGATCAGTATATGATTTAAATGTTGAAATGTTGTAAGACAGTAAAAAATTGTATTTTCTGCTTCCTAAAACATTTGTTTTCGGTGTTTTTTGGTACTCTTCCTCAACCTAGATTGAGCAGGAGATCCTAATCAATGTTGATCATGTGTAAACCGTTGTTGCTCTGAGTTAAGAATGAGGGCATCAAATGTTTTTCATATCTATATCCAGTCTTCTCTTGACATCTGCACAAACATTGCTCGGAGTCACTTGGGCATAGAGTTGTTTTGCACAAAAGCTGTTAAATATATGTTACTTCACAGATGTTGTATTTTTGAGGCATTGTGAAAGCATTTAGACTGTGTGGAGCAGGGGCTGATGGGAGTTGTTCATCCTCCCTCTGAAGGTGTACCAGGAGGTCTGAGTGCCGCCGGGCAGAAGAGAAGAATGGTTGGCTGTGGAGCCCCAAGCAGCAGTGTGTCAAGATTGTCTCCTTCTATCCCCCGAACCTTTCCTGTAAAAAGACTCAGAAGGTACAGTGCTGCCTCTCTTTCCACTCCTCCTTATCTCCCTTTGTTCTCTGCTCCTCTTTCTGTCTCTCAGGCTCTGCAGAACACACATGCATGCACATAAACATGCAGAGCCTGAGTAATAAACTGTTTCCATTGTGAATCCAAAAAAACTCTGTGCTCTAGGTCGTTCTGCTCGGTATTGATCTATCGAGAAAACTCCAAGCTGGCTTATTATAACCGACCTGTTTGATAGTGTTCAAAGCCTGAAGATGGAGAGCCTCTCTTGTGCATGTTCTCTCTCAAGTTTTTTTTTTTTTTTTTTTTTTTTTCCATTCCTCTGCTTCCTGACTACTTCTCTTTCCCGTCATCTCTGACTCACTTGTGTTTTTCCATCAACAGCACCTGCCCTTCTTTCTCATTGGCAATCAGTCTCCAGCTTCTCAAAAGAAACAATTTCTCGATTTTTACTTTTCAATTACACACTTTTCTGTCAGTTTTGTTCTTTCAAAATCTTTTATTACACAGCCATGGGCAAAAACCTTTTTCTGTTAAAAAAAAAAAAAAAAAAACCCACATTGTTTTCTGCTCAGGTTAAGATCAACATCCCGTCCCTCCCTGCAATCGGACTTTCTGACCACCTGCACTGCACCGTGGAGTCTTTCCGGAGTGATGGCGTGATGTCCGACTCTGGCCAAGTCTCCTGCGATCTGCCCAGCCCTTCAAGCATACCACAAACAACTGAGGACCAAGGTACACTCTTTATGATGAACCCCTCTGTCTTTAATACATCCTCCTTCAAGGCAAGTGTCTTTGCCTCTCATTATAAACCAAGGTTGTATCGGCAATTGGCAAAGCACAAGTACACGGGCAGTTTGTGATTGATCAAAGTTTGTTTTATAGCACAGGTGAACCACCTTGCCTAAAACAAAGACCAGCTCCATTAACATCATAAATAATGTATTTTACAGAATAAATGACTGCAGTTTACCGCAACAGATTTAGGCGGTTGCTTTGGCAATCAGATATTGATCATGAAAAGAGTATCAAAGGTGCTTGAGTATCCTCTTTTGGAAAGGGAGGCAGTAGGGTTCTAACCACAAGTCTGTGCTTCTAACAGGTTGATCTCAATCTGTAAACTGTTCTATCTTTGGTCCTCCACTTATCAAAACTAAGTTTAAATTGTCCAACACATTGGTTTGTGATAAAATCCCTGCAAAACTAATCACATGCCTGTCGGCCTCTGCTACTCATGCTTTACATTTTAACATGCGAACATGCTATAAATAGGGTGTAAATTAGGTAAAACTTTTCACAAATTTCCCTTTGTGAGCATGGAAACGTAAGCAATGCATGCAAGTCATGGTTATATTTAAGGACAATTTACATAGCCTCCAGCATGGCTGTGGACTCCAGGCTGTGTTAAATTAGAACATAATAAGTCTAAAGGGATTTCAGGTTATGCTCTGTCACAATTTGTTAAAAGGTCATGTCTTCTATAAATGAACAAATTAAATCTTATCATGAACTGTGGAAGTCATGAATATTCGGAATTACTCACGACTCAAGACGTCTCTCCTGTTCTTATGAGTGTTAAATGTGTATCCTCCTAACAGCCAGTGCTTCCCACGTTAACCCTTGCTCTGCTGTGTCCTCAGACTTTGTGGCCGTTGCGGTCAAGATTTTCGTCAACGAGACTGTGGAGCTGGCAACGCGGGAGTTCAAGTTCTATAACTGTGCCGCCACAGTGAGGAAATCTGAAAACACGCCGTGAGTCAGACTCTTAATCTATCAGTTCTGCTCTGTCACTCACCGTAAAATACACAGTGACACTGAACACAGCATCAGCTGACAAGGTTGATGTAAATGTATCACCCTGCATGAACAGATGAGAGATCAAGGCTCTGTTTGTAAATTGTGATGCACGGTGGTTTTGAATGCACCTCTTGCATTTTTCTCTCCCTCCGTTTATTACCAAGCCAAGGAAATTGCCTCAGTTTCCTATTCATTAATCAAAAAATGAAAGTCAATCTCCCCATTTTTCTCACCTCCTTATTTTTTTCCGTCATTTCTTTCATGCCGGCGAGTGTGTGATGAACGAGCTTTGCTTATGTGAAGTTGCAGAGATCCATTTGGCTGTCAGCAGCATAGATTTTTTGTGCGGGATGCTCTTTGATGAGTTTGCATGTTTTAAGCTTTTGTTTGTGTGTGCATTTTATGTGTGCGTGAGCCACTGTTGCTGCCTAATTATGAGTGTAAAAGCATTTTTCTTATCGTAGGTGTTCATGTGTCTGTATTTCTGCATGTTTTCAGGTGCATGTCATGTGTGGCCAGTTTGTGGGGCTGTCAGTGGAATACACAAGACCACACCTGCAGCGACATGGACGACAGTGTGTCGGGCCCCAACATCATCAACCACCGCCAGGTTAGTCATTTCAAGGATGAACACATCAGATGCATGTCACTCAAGGTATTTTATTTGCAACACTACGTGTATAATGAATGCTGGAAAAGTGCAGAAGAAGTTTTAAAAGGCACATTAAATCACCAGATTAGATAAAGACAAATTTCAAATTTCTCCCGAAAATGAATCAAAAACTCAAATCCCGGTATCAGCTGGCGCCATCTTGCATGACAAATATTCTAGGATTGAGGATATCAATTTACAAGTCAGCAGATGTTTCAGAGATACACTTATCTATCTCTGCAGATCAGGGTGTCCGTTAAGTGGTTGGCGTGCTATTTAAAATGTAAATTATTAAAAGTTGGTGTATCTGATTGGTTTTGATTGCCTTCTCAGGGAGCCAAGTGTCCTCAGTTTGAGAATCCAGATCCTGTGCTGATCCCCGTGGGCTACAAGACTCGTATCAGCTTCGAGGGGATCAATTTGGACCACTACCCGGTAAAGTAGTACACACACAGAATTTAAAGCACTTCTGAAAGACTAGTCTGCTCTTTAAAAAGCCCCATGGGTCTGGTGTAAGGACACGCACTTTAACAAGGGAATAAATTAATACTCCCATTTGAAGGAAGAAAATGCTCAAGCTCATAAGGGACTCGGCAGATGCAAAAATAATCTTTTGCATTTGAAAAAATGAAAAGAATGCAACAAAAAAACATTTTAAGATTGTCATTAGCATGAATTAAAGACTACATACTTCAAAGAGGCAGAAGCATACACAAATAATCGATGTATGCGAACACCATGCGCTCCTTTTTATATGATAATTGAGTTCTTAATGCAGATGTTTACACAGCAATAACATTAGGCAACAGTGTTTTTAGCTGGCTTTCATTGCTCTAAACTGACTGGTAACATTGTGATAGAAATTTACAGACGGTGACACATCAAGCATTTTTGCATGTGATGCTCTTGCATGGAAACTTACATTCTTGTGAAAGTAATACTTCTAAAAGTCCCCACCTCTTCGTAATCCATTTGATGACACAGAATCCAAGTGATGAAAGTTTAGAATACCAAAAGATCATTTCATATCCCTTTGCTTCAGTTATGAAACATGTCTTCACAGGTCTGCTTGTTTTCCGTATAAATTGAAGCCCAATAAGGGCAACAGAGGAGGTAAATTATGCCAACAGATGTGCAGCTGAGGCTCTGCCTGGTGCTCATGTAGGACTTGTGAATGCACTTGTTGTCTTACATGCTACACAGTTACAACAAACAACAACAACAAAAAGGAGCCAGTCATCCGATCCAAACTTCAGTGGTTGAGAACAGAGGGGGCTGAAAGAGTCTGCAGAACAAGATAGTCTTTTACATTTCTTGCTCTGTAGAGCTGGGTGGGGGAGGGGGGGGGGGAATCAGAGAAAAGCTTTTTGCAAACAGGATCTACATAAATTAACACATAATGTTTCTTGTTTTTATTTGTTCTTTTTTCTTCAGGGTCGTCTTTTCACAATCGGCACTGAGCTGATGAAAACTGTGGAAGAAGAAGTCATATTTGAGGAAGGGCCGTTCTACACCTTCGGAGGCTTCAGTGTGAGTACGGCTGTTTTCCAGTTGCTCCACACTCATTTAAGTCTGTGTTAAAACTGTACTGCTGATTGTTCCTTTGCTCCGCTTCCTCACAGCTTGTGACCAATTTTCACTCCTCTCAGCCCACAGCCCAGATCCTTGAACTGTAGCTGATATGTGGATTATCAAAGTGCAATAGAGAAAAAAAAAAACCCTGTAACCAAGCGAAAAAATATTGAAGAGTGCCACTTGATTGCACATTCTTCAGCCCTGGAAATCGCTAAATGCAAACTTTCATCTTTGCACAGCTGATTTCATCTTTAATTCACCCTTTAGCTCTTCTCCACAGTCCCTTTGATATTCTCTAGCTCCCTCTAATGGACAGACTCCCCTCACTTATTTTAGCTTCATCTTTACATTGTGGATTCTGTGATTGGTAAAGCTCAAGCAGTGCATAGCCTCCAGCTATGTTCTTTTCAAACGTTGATTTCTTCAGCTGAAAATCTGCCAGACTTGATACATTTCCCCCCCTCCCCCTCTTTTTTTTTTCTCTCCCTTGGCACGGGGGAGCGGCAGCCCACACTGTTTGCAGAGAAGAGCTTAACTGTCATTAATCACTGGTCTCTGAATTAATAATTCATTTTATTCCATTTTCTTAGTTTTCCTACGACAAGTCACCAGAGACCAATGTCCTCTTCTACGTGAAGGACAAGGAGTCGGGAAAGAAGATGGACAGCACGCTGAATGGTACACTCTCTCACATGTTAATGTGGAGATCTTATTTATAATGCCCAGTGTGTACAGCGCTAGTCCCAGTGTGGGGCCTCTGGTGGATCTGAAGAGGCTGCTTTTTTATCTTCAATTGAAAATTAATTAGAAAATAAACGGTACTATCATAAATAGTTATGACATAACAGGGAGGATTCAGGGTCATTCAGGACAAGTGATTATAAAGCCTTTTTTACATTTACATTTTACAAGAGCTTAACAAATTCCAACATACATATATTTCCAAACAATTATTTATTTCATATATTGTTTTCAGAGCTGAGAGAACCAAGGCACATGCAAGTCATTGCATTTTAACATAAATAGTACCCTTTATTTATTTATGTCAATACATTTGAAACTCATTTAATCTGCATTATGAAAAAAAAAAATGTTTACCTTCAAAACTCAATTAGTGATTGCAGTATCAACATGATTAATAGGGTCTCAGTAAGCTTATTTTAACAAAACAGGAAAAGCCTCAAATTGAAAAACCACTGAATAATTACAAAACAAATTAAACAAGTATAGACAGATTGGTAATAATGTTTCAAGATCTGTTGTATTACTGCACTCATCAAGTCAAGATAAATACGTTTCCTTCACCTGATAAGATACAGTTAAAATGATGTTTCTACAAGCAGCATTGTGCCTCACTACCTCCTTTTTATTGATTCCAGTCTGTTTTTGGGAGAAAAAAAAACATCTTCACTCTATTAAGAAAACAGGCCACAGATTGTATCATAACATGCAGAGAAAGTGGAAGGTTTCTTTTTTTCAGCCCTGAGGGTAGACTGTGTGTTGCCTGTAAGGCAAACCCGGGGCAAAGTGATAAACAAAGCACTTGCAGCCGCCCATTAAAAGAGAGCTCCACCAACTCAGAATTGCACTTCCATAACATTGTGGTACTCACAACGGATGGTAAAAAAAATAAAAAATCAATATAGCAGAGCAGCAAGCGATATCATATTTTAAATTCCAGACCTCCTTCTTCCTCTAAACCTGTCGCCTTAATTGCTCACACTCACAAGAGAAAGTTGAGTCTGAGATTTGGACGTGTTATGCTATTAGCGGCTAATGTAGCCTTCAACTGCTTGCCTTTAACTAGCTTAAAGAGGGTATCAAATGTGTGGTATTCTCACTGGTTTCTTACACCACAGTCCAAAAATGTGTCTCCCAACTTGTAGTCTTCAGCCCAAACCAAGATGCTCTCTCTCTCTCTCTCTCTGGAGTCATCTCTGGCAGCCAGCGTTTGCGGTGTATTATGCTAGTGAACTACTTTAGCCTGACAGTGATAGCCTTAAACTTGGACGAGGAGTGTCCAGCACATGTCTGTGGTTCTCATTTCTTTCTTACTCCATACCCACACAGTTTTTAAAAACGTTTAGTCTTTTGCCACAGGCTCTGCTGACACAAGTGACATCACTGGAGGACATTTAGTCAGAGTTTCAGGGGGAATATAGCCCGTAGCATTGTTAGCCTAAAACTGCCTTTAAAAAGGGATGAAGAGCCAGCAACACATCTGGCATCCCAACTTTTTTCTCCCACAGCACAAGATTTTTTATGGCATTTTCAAACTTGTAATCTTCAGCCACATCCTACTTAAGACTACATTTTAATCTATTTAGCAGATGATGCAGATCCTGAAAGATCCTTAACAGACAGTGAGATCACACCAAAACAATGCAATGACAACTCTTTGCATATAGAAAATGTTAAATTAGAGCTGTAACGACGGTTTTTTCTCTCCTCATTTCCCCGTCACAGTCACTCTCTATAATTGCTCCATGGGGAGGGAGGACTGTAGTCTCTGCAAGAACGCTGACCCAAAGTTTCGGTGTGTATGGTGTGCCAAGCAGAAGGCGTGTGTGTACGAGAAGTTGTGCAAGCAAGTGTCCGAGGATCCTTACAACACCGAGTGCCCTGACCCCCTGATCACTGATGTAAGTAACGTCCTCTGTTTTTCTTGACTTCTTAACTTGAAACATTCGTTCAAGGCTCTTGATTAGCAGTCAAATGGGTCGGACTTCACTGATTGGATTATTGATTGGAGTCATTTACAGACTGTTTTTTTTTTTTTTTATGAAGTTGAAAGTCTACTTCTCCTTGGGATCGTGTTGAGGTGATCTCCAGCACATTTGGGGTTGGATCAATACTTTCTTTGTTCACTTAATTGTTGGTGCCTCATTGTCATTGACAAAAATCAATCAGTAATTGTGTGGATGTCGATGTGACAGAGGTTATGACCACCCAGACTACAGCCCTACTGATACAACAGCTAATGAAGATATCACAGAAGAATGTCTATTGGTGTAGACATGTGTTAGCAAAATGGTTTATGGACCTTTTTATTGTGTATTATCTGTTAATGCTTGGCGGCCATTTGGTCCGGACTTAAATATTGGAACAACCGACCAAAACATTTCCATGATATTCTGCACACACATTCAAGATCCACAGCGGTATAATCAAGTCTACCTGGTAATCCTCAGATTCTTTCTCTTTTGTCTCTTTTCTCTCAATAAGGTTGACAATTTTGTGATTTGTTGACATGTCTTGGCAATGACTGGATGGACTTTTTTCATTATTTAGCACACTTTTTTTTTCTTCAGATGACTAATTGAATTGTCTTCAATTAATCCCTGTTTAAATGTAATATACATTTTTTTTTTTGTGACGAGATTCTGTCAAAACTACATTGCTGACATGTTACACCTAAATGCTGCACATTGTCAACATGAAACCTCCAAAACATCCGAATGTTAGCATTGTGATTATAGCAATGTTGGTATGCTGACATTAGCATTTTTTTTAAATCTGTTATGCCCTCAAAGTCTCGGTCTGGAAAGATTTAACATGAATTCAAAATAACTAACATTTTAATTACATTTACTTTGCAAAGTTACTATAATCTTGTTTTTACTCTTACTTCCATCTTTTATAAAAGAGCTTATTTATAGTACACTAATGTACATACTATTATAGAACATAAATGTTTATATTGTACTTTTTCATACAACATAAGCCCATTTTGAATCATAAAGTGTTTTATTTTCCTCAAGTATTATTAGTATTATCATAAATAATCCAGCACTGGTTGGCTTCTTATACCTTCACAAACATTCATGCATGACTCATACAGTATGGATGTAATTCTCAAGCAAGGCTTTGAATATTTAACACTTAAACTGCAACTATTCAGCCGACTTACACAGTCTGTGTAAATCTCTTGTATGTTCCTATTGCACAACTAATCTGTCTAAATCCATTTCAAATCCTTTCTTCCTATAAACACCCACCACCACCCCCCCCCCCCCCCCTTTCCTGCATCGCCCACTATCCAGATCATCCCTCGTTATGGCCCACTGCAGGGAGGAATCTCAATCACCATCCGGGGCTCAAACCTCGGCATCCACAAATCAGACATCAAAAGCATCAACGTGGTCGGGGCGCCGTGTGCCCATCAGGAGGAGAAGTACGCCGTCTCCACAAGGTAATACTTACACATGTCCACTTTGTTCTAGCCAATAAATCAGAAGCAACGCACACAAACACGTATAGTCCTTTGGTTATTTACTTTCGGTTAAACTCTGGTTCTGCATAAAATGCTTCTTTCATAAACTTTTGGATACCTTATCAGCTAAGTAGAGCTTTGCCTCTCTCCTCGAGGTGACCTGGGTGTATATTTTAATTAGCTCATTATGCCACCATATTGATCTGAAAGTCTCCAGGTGCGAGTTGATTCAGAAACAAAATCACTCTTTTAAAAGTCAAATGCAGAGGTGGGAGAAGTAGGCTGGTGCTTTTTCTGTGCAGAAGCAACAAAACCAGCTTTAAAAAAATCAATTTACTGCATTCAAGTCCTACACAAGTACAGTAAAACAACATTTCAGATAATTTATGCCAAGAAACAACAGCTACTATGTGTACAGTTTGAGGCTATGAGAAGTTAATGAGCTCCGTAAATTCTGCTACTCACATTTGTTTTCATATATTCAACTGTTCTTAATCTTTGCTTTTTTTGAGGCCTAGGGGACTGGATGAAAAAATATTACAGAAGTTAAGAGGGTAAAAGTCTCTCTTGTTGGTTTGCTTATAACTCATAAACATCTTATAATTGACAGAGGACCATAATCTAAATACATTTGTGTAGTGATTCACAAAAAAAGCAACACAGATTCGCCACAGATTGTGCTTCTCCTCATCCCAGAGGTGCTCAAACGAGCTTTTGCTGGAATAAAACGTATGCCTCACAAATCTACTTCAGTCACAGCTGTGTTTCAAAAGTGTTCACTTCATACAAATGGTCTTTAAAAGAGAAGACTTCCACATTGATGCCCGACAGCCATTAGCCAGAACTGTTGACACCTGGCAGGATTGATCAACGTTGACAAATTCTTGCCCCGCCATCTGCAGGATGAGGCATAAAACGGGATTTATGAGACCAGATGGAACGATATGCAACCTTAAATCATCTACTTTTGGCGCTAACGTGCCTGTACAGTGGTCTTCATCTTGTTGTTAGTTGTCCTGCATGGTCGACTGCATGTTTTAGCTCATTCACTTTAAACTGTCGGCTTTTCCAATGTGAGATTTAATCCTTTCACAACACTGCTGTAGCTGTTAATTGTCTACTCGCAGCCCACCTGTTAGAGCGCGCAAGGCTTGCCACTTTATGCTGACCTCTTTCATAAGCAACACACATTCCCAGAGGACCGCGGCAGACTGAGACATGTTTGGTTTATCACACAATTCCGAATGCAATGTGGGAAATTCCCAGAGGGTCCAATTTCTAAGATGCTAGACACAGCCAATCTGGCATAAGAAATCATTCAACGTTTATAGCTGCTTAGTCAACAACAGTACTTAAATCTTAGGAACTTATTTAGCCCGTCTGCCAACTTCAAAATGTCGACAACAAAAGACATGTGAGTTTGGTTCTCTTAGTTACTGTTACTACTTTTTTATAAATTACTACACTCTTTTCACCTCCTCTTCTCCTGCAGTACTCAAAGTGCAGCTTAAAAATGCTGATTCAGTTTCCACAAAAACAAACCTGTTGAAATGAAACAATAGTTCACAGAGTATATGTCTAAAACAAAGTTGTAATGAGTCTTGTTTCATTTGATTTCATGTGAGCCCTTATGTGTCAGTAATTGTTTTGAGATTTGGTTCTGTTAATGAGATAACAGAAGCAATCTTACGTCATATATTGTGTGTCCAGGATATTGGACGAGTCTTTAAGTTGTGTGATATTTTTGTTTTATAATATCAGTAGATCAATAAAAATTGGAAGAATTGTTTTGCATCCCTTGTTTTAAATAAAAGTCCTCCTTGTTGCCTTTCCAGCGTGGTGTGTGTGATCGGTTCTGTTCAGGACATGACAAATAACTGGGGCCAGGTGGAAGTCGAAGTGAAGGGGGGGAAGAAAGGAACCTCCTCCATGTACTTCACCTACAGGGTAAGTTTCTCTTTTTCTTGAATTGTCCTTACCTAAACTGTCAGAATGAAAGTGTTCAATTCTAAATCCCTGAAACAAACACATTCAGAAGCTTTCAGCTGCTTTTGATATTTTTAAGGCCTCTCTTTATGTTTTATCTCATTACGGCAGAGAGCCTATTATCAGATCATACCAAGGTCATGTCATTTACAGTGAATGTACAAATCCAGCGTCCTAATGTGTTGCTAAATTAAGCGCCTAGATGCCCTCATATTACGGTAATAATGCACCGTACCGTACAAAAAAGCCACAATGTGTATGTATTCCTCTCTAACCAGATTCAATGCAGTGGGCCCCCTTTTCTCTCTAATACTTTAACAGGCTCCAGCGTAGCTATTTAACTGGCTTTTCATATCTGCGGCTCTGCTAAAGCTCCCCCACAGGGGAGTGCTCCGCCTAACTGTTTGCTCAGCAAATTGAGGCAGATGTGGTGCTTGTATGGGTGTGTGTATGTGAGTGTGAGTAAGTGTGTGTGTGTGTGTGTGTGTGTGTGTGTGTGAATGTGTCTAATAGAGCGGGGGAGATCAAGAAGGGTGAGGGGAAATGTGTGTGTGTATGACTTGCACTGTTTTTGTGTGTGTAGCTATTCTATGAGTGTGCCGCGTGTAGGTTGGCGCGCCGGTTTGCATGTAAATCCTTGCAGGAGAAAGATGAGTATGTATTTATGCTGGATCTTTGCTAACCCCTACACCTCTTCAACCCCCTACATCCCCTCACCAGGACCCGATTCCTGCAGAAGTGAAACCCTCCAGAGGTCCTAAAGCTGGGGGCACCCTTATTACAATTGAAGGACTTTTTCTGGACACTGGCAGTAAAGAAGACGTCCGGGTCACCGTGGGGACTGTGGACTGCACTGTGTAAGGATTTCTTTTCTTAATTGTCATTCACGCCAAACTCCAATTCTTTTCAATTCAGTCCATTCAGTTGATAAGTGCTACTTGTTATTCAGACATTGTATTCTATGCAAATTCTACAGTATGCACACTTTGAAGCCTAAATTGATTTTTTTCTTATTTTTACATTCCTGCAGTGAAAATGGAATTGACCTTAACTAACGTGTCATATGCAGGATTTTTGTTCTCTCTCTCACATTTCGCTTCAGCTGTTGTGATCACGGGTGTTCTGTCAAAACCAGCCCATAGTGACATTTTAGGCAGCGGTAACACAAAACTAACGAGCTATAGAGCAGCAAAGCCAAAATTTAACAAGCTGTCAGGCCGCTGCCATGTTGGCTTCCACTGCACAGTGACCCTGTGCGACCCCTAACTCCTCCAGCCAGCCAGCGTTGAAATATGTCCTTGTGCTGGCAGGGAGCACTTCGGAGAGCAGATCACCTGCAGGACAGGAGAGTACCTAGAGAAGATGCCCTCCGAACGTCTCACCGTCACAGTGATGTATGGAACGAGGACCACAAAAACCATCAGAGACGCCTTCGAATTCTTGGAAAATCCCATCGTGCAGGACCACCATCCCAAAGGGAGCTTTGTCTGGTCAGTATTGAGCTGTAGCGTAGTGACCTTTTGACTTGAGTCAAAATGTTTGTTATGTTTGGTTCATCTCAAGGAGCCAGGATGCGCAAGAGAAGGTTTGGTATTTGAAAGCTGTTAATCTCCTTTTTTATAGCCAGACTGATTTATTCTTTGCAGAGGTTTGGGACAGCATTGTCTGCTCCAGAAAATAAATTGATTTGAGGGACCAATTTATTTTTGAAGTTCAAAATGAATTCTGATTGTCAATGCCTGTAGGTTCAGCATTTTGATCTAGACTTAAATATCATACATATTGGATGGATTGCCATGACAAATGGTTGAAATAACAATGATGCTAAAGTGCAAGTTGCTGCCATCAGGCAGATGCTACAAAGTCCCTCTGGCCTCGAAAATCATTTATAAAAAATCATTTAATTCCCTCTGCAATAACCTGCCTGAACAAAATCAAACAGATTTATATATGGGGTTTTACATGGGTTTTTTATGTAAGATATGTTTATTTTTTTGAGCCTTGTCAAAGGGGAATTTCCGTTACTGTTTGGACAGACAGTAAAATTGATCTAATCTAATCTGAAGGAATCACAAGAATTAGAACCCCCCCTTAGCTTTTCTCTGTGCACCACAAAGAGGTTATTTTTGTGTTTTTGGTATTCACTGTTTCAACAACTTTTGGATGTAGTTTCATAAAAAATGGCACATTACTTCATGTACCCCTTAGGGTACTTTCCTAACTTTCCTGAGTGTTTTTACGTTCCGATTTCCAATTTTCACTTTGACCAGTTATTGCAATAAAATGTGTGCAAACTGATGACGTTCAATCTTGTTGGAGAATAAATACTTTATGAATTCTAGATACCATAATTGAAGAAGAAAAAAACAGTTAGAACTTGAAATAGCTCATAGAAACGTCCAACTGTTTTCATTTTTATTTGAGAAGTAAAAAAGGAAAAGCTACAAAATTGTTATTGTTGACAAGGTCAAACAGAACAGTACTGTCATGGAAAGAAAAAGAAAATAAAAATACCTGCCCTCTTCTCTGACCTCCAAGCTTCCATCTCTCTCCAGCTTTGTAGAGGTTAAAAACACCAAGAAACCTTTTTGTTTCCAAAACTGTGATTTGTCCTTCAAGAGTTGCCGAGTCCTCTTGTGTTTCATGTGTTTACATGCAGGAGTTTTCCCACTCTGACTTCTGATCAGCTGAAGGGGTTAGAAATGATAGTCTTTGATGTTGCATTGAACTGCTTGACGATCGCTGAAAATGGATGCATTAGATGGCTATCTTGCTTTTCTGTGCGATTGAAAGCACCAGGGCGCGTGTGATTAGGCACACAGACTGGAGGAACAGACAGCCTAAACTAATTTGTTTTCATCTCCGCTGAAAATTACCCCAGGCACAATTTAAGAAGCGCGTATGTCTTCCCGTAACTCTCCCTTGGGGTTTATCTTTGTTTGGCTGTTGATATATTTACTCATATATGTGTTTTACCGTGTTGTTAGCTGTGTATTTAAGCCTGTTTTGTTTGTTTTTTTTAGCGGAGGGAGGAACATTGTGGTGACCGGCTCCAGCTTTGACCTGATCCAGACTGCTGTCTTAAAGGTCGAAAGAGACAACTCAACATCATTTGAGGTGTGTGTGTGTCCTCTATTTCTTCTGATGCTCCCTTTATTTATCATCGTCTTTCTTTCCTTCTGCCAATCAACCCACTGGTTATTATTCAGCTTTAAAAGTCTTCATTTCCCTGATCTTATCACTCTCCGCTCTTCAATTGCTCTTTCCGACGTTTCTTTGACTCCAGGAATCTCTACTTTTCAATCCATTCCTCCCCTCACAGTAGCAGCACAGTACATCGATCTGAACACATCTCATGAGCCCACAACTACAGTGGTGATACATTCAAACACACACACAAACGCACACACACACCAGCAAACTCACAGTCTCCTCCATAAGCCATTATGACTCCATCTCACTGTTTAGACCATAAATCCTTCAGACCTGCAGGAATGCAGATAGCAGCACCACTGTTTCACAAAATCTGTTCCAATATGTTCCTTGTCCAGCTTGTTCAAGCAGCACTGACTCTGCCAGGAAACTTGAAGGAGTTGTACACAGCCTGCTGCCGCCTGCCCTCCAGTGTACTGCGCTGTGTTAAGCAGCAGCAATTTTGTTCATTTCATTAAAAGGGCTAAATTTAATACCGGCATTAAGGTTGCAGAAGATTATGCGGCTATGTCGCTCTTCACCACTTTACTCTTGGCCAAGTCTCTGGTCCCCACTACCCGGGGACAGCAGAGATTTGAAAAGACTTCTGGCTGCAATAAACTATCTGCGGATGTAAAGTGTTATCTCAAAGGCTTTAGCTGGTCAACTTCATAAGCTTCTCTTGGTTTTAAGTCTATCCACTGAACTGGACCCGAATATTTCTAACTTATTAATGCTGCTAGCTTTGTGAAGTGGAAACATGTTGTTTACATTGTAGGTCAGGTTAGCCGCTCATAGCTGTGGTTTGTGTTCAGTTTCTATTCATTCTATTCGTTATGTTACGATGTTACAATTCACTGAGCAGACACTTTTATCCAAAGCGACTTACATCATAGAGTAGGTACAACACTAATCCATTCTTACACCGCCACAGTAGCAGCGGTAGCAATGCAGGGTTAAGTGTCTTGCCCAAGGACACATCGGACATGTTGCTCAGCTGGCGATTGAACCCTCAACCTTTCGGTCGAGCTGGTCAAACTTATCCTTGAAATAATGTACATCTGTACTCAACATTAAACTACAATCTGTTGCATCAAAAGATTGGTAGTAAACAAATAACACAGAGAGCTAAAAAAAACATTTAAACCCGTCAGTTTCTGAGTAAACAGAATTCCCAGCGAGACTCAATCAAATACAATTCATTTTTTTACAGTTATTTTAAAATAAAAAAAAAAAGACATTTCAAATAACATGACAACAAAATAATATCATAAACACTGAATCATATGCACAATTACAAGACAAGTATTTCTGTGTAGACTTTCCTTTTATGAAGAGTTTTTTAGGCAGACATTTTCTTGACACTGAGCAATCGTGAGGCAACCACTGGAGACTCCAGGAAGTTGTTTCTCTTAGAAGAGAATGGATATTTAATTAAATTCAGTTCAATATTCATCTCATATGAACGTAAATTCAATGTGCTCTTCAGAAGACAAAAAAAAAATAAGCCTTGTAAAACTCAAAATTCACGTTTTTATAACTACATTTTTAGTAGAAATCCACCCAAGCTAATTATAAATGATCGTTTGATGATCTGGAGGTGGATTACCTAACCTTTTCACAGAACCAGGCTAGATGTTGCCAATTTCCTGTCTTCATGCTAAGCTATCAGTCTGCTGGCTGTAGTTTCTTCTCTCTAATGGACTGCTGTCTGTGTTTTCTTGTCTTTGAGCCAAGCTAAGCTAACAGGCTGCTTGCTGCAGTAGCTCCATATTTAGCTTCTAGCATCTCCGCATTGTCCTTAGAGTGTTGAACTGTTTCTTATGTGCGTGTTTCTATTGAAGGTGCACACACTGCTTCAGAGTAGTCCTTTAAATAATTTTATTACCACAACTTAAAAGGAAGTTAAAAGGATGTTAATGTAAGCCATTTACAGTTGGATTGCTTGAATTACTTCCAAGCATTATCTGATGTAGCCTCCGCCTTTTGCCTTGTCTTTTGGAAATCTTAAACCACGCGTAGGACTCTCGAGCTAAGCTGTCATGCACAGTTTTATCAGCCTTATATCTAAACAATCAGGGAGTGACAGAAATATCACCATCAGTCCAGCTAACCAAAAACACAACAAAGCCAGAGGAGGAATGACTCAGTACAAGTTATGATTCATCAGAGGCTGTTATTCTACAAAGGCAGATTGGGATTTAAATAGAACTACCTCAAAGGGACTCATATTTTTTACTTTCCCCTTCCCACCCATCAGACTTTTATCTCAGTCCACACCACCCCCAAACCACTCTTCACTTACACAACAATGTAGTAATTTACTGCCTCTTCCAAAACCTCAGCTCCTTGTGTTTGCGTTTCCATCTTTTTTTTTCCCATATGTTTTTTTGTATATGTCAACATATAACTTGGAATGTATTATTTATTCCCAGTTGTGATATTTGACTCTTTCCTACACATTCAGGAGGCTCATGAGAAGAATGACACAGTCATCCAGTTTCGGTCTCCGACAGTGAACGACTCCCTGATCCAGCCATATAAAACCTACGTCCAGCTTGACAACTGGGTGAAGGAGCTGAAGCCTTTCGACTACCACCCTGACCCCTGCTTTGATAAGCTGCAAAAGAAAGTCATCACCGAGGCCAGCATCATCATCGTCACTGTGAGTACCGGCTGCTTAGGCTCCTTATTACGCCGCGGTTAATGTGAAGGGATTAAGCACAATGCCGTTATTATCGGACTTGGTGACAAAAATGGAAAAGATGCTGAATTGCAGCATTTTCCTTCTTTAGCTGCTCAAGTTATGGTTAAGTTTGATTGCATGTAGAAATTATGCAAATAGAAGCACATTTAATAATTCAGCTCAGTGGTGTGATTATTTTTAGAAATCAAATGAACTGAGACAAATGGAGGATAATAGTTGCAATTATCGACGTTTATTTGTTTCACATGATGAATCTGAAATGGCACGAGATGATTAACTGCAAAAGAAACCATATTCCTGATAATCCATGTTGGTTCTTTTTTATTTATTTTGAATTACTGGATAATCTAACATCAAATTTACAGTTTTATACTCTGGATATTTTTATATTTTTGCAGACTCAATAAACAGCATGTCTGATTATTTGTGAAACACATTAAGCCTTCATTTACAGTTCATTTATGTTAAATAATTTAACATCTTATTAAAAGATAAAAAATTATGTCAAACTACTTTTTAAACAAAGCAGTCAACTCTCACTGACAACTGAATGTTTATAACATAAAGTCATGTAATTTGTAACTTATCAGATTTCTGGACCTCGGTTTTTTTAAAATGCGAAGATGATAGCGATAAAGAAAACAAACGAGAAAAGTTAAGTTTAAAAGATTTTTCTCTTTTAAGAGGATTAAAAATATTATAATAACAGGTTTCAGTCATACTGTTGCAAGTTCTGAATAGATATAAGCAATAATCCATGATTATTTTCCCATCCGTTCATAAAATCTGAAAAAAAAGGGGGAAATGCCCACCATGATTTCCCCCAGCCTAATGTGTGACATTTTCATATCCTTGTTACTTGTGATGACATTAAAAAGATATTCAGATCACTTTCACATAAGAATACGAAAGACAGCAAATCAGCAATTACTATTGACTCCTTTAAATAACCTTAATCATATCGATACAATTGTAGGTCAATCAGCTGCTTGTCAATTTACGTAAATCAGAGGTACATTTATCTTACTGGTATATCTCATTACCCCTTTGTGTCAGTTTGAAGTTTCCTTGGCAAACACTTTCTACAAAGAAAGTTTCTTAAATAAGTAAAGGAAAGCATCTGCAAAAAGAGGTTTGAGTCCTTGTGGGGTGACTGTGGCTCAGTGGTAGAGTCAGTTGTCTCTCAGGTGGAAGGTCGTGGGGTTTGATCTCCAGCTCCTGCAGCCACATGTCAATGTGTCTCTGGGCAAGACACTTCACCCCACATTGCATCAGGGGCGTGTAAATGTGTATGAATGGACTGGTTAATACTGAAGGACACTTCACATAGAAGCCTCTGCCATCAGTGTGTGAATGGGAAGGTGTGACCTGTGGTTTCAAAATCGCTTTGAGTGGAAGACAACAAAAGCGCCATACAGCTATATATAGTCCATTTACCATTTACTTTATAATTACTTACAGTAGATGTTGGCTCACTTCACCTTTGTATGATTTCAGACTGCATTAGAGTAATTGAAATCATGTCTGTGGATACAGACGTGTACTGTAGAAATGTGCAGACTCAATGCCAGGACTGAACGATTAACTGGAGCTTTGCCCAAAGCGTCTTACTTGCAAATGTGCTTACATTGTATATAATAATAACTCTCATAAATGTTCCGTTCTTTAATAATGAAAAAGCATACAATTATGTTTTCAATACTCCTCATATGATGACTTGATGGTATGTAAATGCAGAAACTAATTTCTTCCGATGTAATTTGATGATTTTGAGCTTGACAGTTGATCTTCTCCTGCAGGGTCGGGGATTCTCCAAAGCTATGACGGCCAAAGAGGCTCAAGCGTTTGTTGGCGACGTTCCCTGTCTGGTCAACACGCTTCAGGACGACAAGTTATTTCTGGACCCGCCTTCCACCCCGCCCAGCGCTCGCTCCAGACTCCAGCGCAGAGACACCCGGCCCAGGCTGCTGGACTTAACGGTCAGTTCAGACAGAGAGCAATCAAACAAATAGGGGTGAAGAAGGCATTCAGAATCTGTACTACACAACAAATGCCCCCAATGAATATTTATTTAAATCATAAGATTGTTTATTCTAAAGCAGTGGTTCTCAACTGGTGGGTCGGGACCCAAAAGTGGGTCGCGGAGCTGTTTTCAGTGGGTCGAGAAGGTGTGCCTGGAAGATTTATTTTGTCAAAAAGTCTTTAAAACGCTTAAACATTTTTTTTTTTGTTCTGTTCATTTGTATTATCACACTTTGTACAGTCTTGAGGTCCAAACTTCACCATTTTTTATTAAATAAAATCTAGTTGATTGAAAACTATCAGAAACGTAGGTCACGATTTTTTATGAAACAATTTGGTAGTTGGTCCTGAGGCTCGACCAGTTGAGAACCACTGTTCTAAAGCATACATTGGAAAGCTGCACTTTATCCCGTTGATTTTAGGTTTTTAAGGAACTAATATAAAAAACTTCAATATTAGCTACATAGCAGTTTAATAAATAGATTATTTTTTCTACTTATCAAATGTTTACTGGGTTCGGTCCAGCCCCCCCCCCCAAAGAAAATGTTTAAAATGACTATCATTTGTTAAAGATTTGTTTGTTTGTCCACTAATTGTTTCAGCTCTACTTTCTGTGTATAGTCTTGGTGTGTTAAGTTTATAATAAAGCATCAGCCTCCTTGAATTCTGCTGAACGTTTGTTACACAATAATCTCAATCTGTTACAGCATTTGTGAAAGGAGCAGTAAGCTCGTCTGAAATGTGTTTAAATTGAAAAAAATATGTTGAATGAAGATTCTCACTGTTTTCTTAAGTGCAGTACTTGGATAAAACATTAAATAAACATACTCACATTCCACACACAGACACACTCACACACACACTTAAAATACACATAAATCTTAACTCTGCCTCTCCCACCCCACCCCTACCCCCTCCCCACCGGATCTTTGGTTGACGAAAGGTCTTTTTACCTGCTCTTTCGTTATGTTAACAGACAAAGAGTAAGGTATTTTACCTGCTTTTTGTAAAGTGTCTTGAGATAACACTTGTTATGAGTTGACGCTATACAAATAAATTGAATTGAAAATTTAATTAAAGGCATGACTATTGTACATCTTGAGATGCCACTTTTTACTGCTTAACAGTTTTCCTGTTGTTACAGGCCTGTGTAATTACATTTAATAATGGCTTAGGCACAACTGTGATGAGCACTGTAACCTCTCCTCTGGGTAGTTCCTTGCTGTAAGCTATTGTTTTACTTGTGTGTCTCTGTGCTGCATGATGAAGTGATGCCACTGGACTATCAATAGTACAGAATAACTACATAGAAAAAGATTGATGAGGAAGTATTTAACTCTCTACATTTATTCATTTTGTACATTTAATATGGGAACAACATCCTATAAATCCCCCACACACCTTAAAAACTCTGAAAGCTCCTGACGCTGCTTTAGAAGAACTGAGGGCTATTATGTCGATTCTCCTCCGTCCCTGCTTCCTCTTTACCATTTAATCCTATCAGTATAAATCTGTGGTTTAAGAGAGAGCTCATGCTGATGATACCATTCTTTCTCTGTGTTTATTCCCAGATCAAGTTTGGGAATAGGGAGTGGTTGGTCGACTCGGTGCAGTATGAGAAGAAGAATGATTTGTCGCTCTACATCATCGTCCCCGCTGTCATTGTGCCCATGCTGCTCATCATCGCCATCTCTGTCTACTGCTACAGGTGAGTTAGAGTTATTTAGCTTTAATGCCACAGACACCATCGTTTTTTTGAAATGTTCTGCAGAAACTACATAATAATTATCCAAACTTCTTGGTCCTTGAATTTAATGCCACATAACTCCATTTATATCTTGTATGTGTCAGTTTTTCACTTTCAGGAGAGGCTATTTCTGTGTGCTCTTCATCACAAAATGTCACCGATCTGACTTACTAACAAGCTATGTTTTATGCCTGAGGTTCCTCTAGCCTTTTAGGTTTATCAATCTTTATGTTTTTATTAAATCACTTTTTGTTCCTTCATCTTTAAGGTCCCTCATATGTCCGTACTGTTTGTGTATTTAATATAAAAAGTAATTGGGCAAACAATTTATATTTTCTTTTTTACATATATTTCATTTTTTCACAACGTTTAGTTTTGTTTAGGGTCTAATCGGATATCTGATGGGTGAACAAACTGTAGAAAGGTCAAACAGTTTGTTTTTGTTACCTCATACCGAAGATTTTGGTTGAATGAAGAAAACCCCAAAAGACAAGATAAAAAGAACATTGTGTAACAGAAACAATTTGCCTTTCTAATTTTTCAAAAACCTTGACACCCATGTGATTCATTGTGGGACCCAGAGGTGGTGCACCCTCAGAATTCTTATGACTGGAGCTTTATTATTCATTCATTATTCTTGACTTCGGGACCATTTCACAGTTTTAAAAAATGTTTAGAATTTTTTTTTTTTTTTTATGCTAATGTACATCGGCAGGAGTAAAGGTTCAATTCCCAAATTTGAAACACAACAACACATCAAAATGTTTAAATAAGTCTGAATATCATCTGAAGACTCCTACTGCTGATCTTCTGTTACATAATATTACTCAAGGTTTTAAGTTCACTAAGGCCTTTTTGATTGGAATGGTCGGAAGGCTGATTTCAAAATGTGATAGCTCGATAGCTCGATACCTTTATCAGGGGGCGGCTGTGGCTCAGTTAGTAGAGTCATCGCCTCTCAACCAGAAGGTTGAGGGCTCGAACCCCAGCTGAGCAACATGTCCGATGTGTCCTTGGGCAAGACACCTAACCCTGCATTGCTCCCGCTGCTTTGGTGGCGGTGTATGAATAGATTAGTGTTGTACTTACTTACGTCCCTTTGGATAAAAGCGTCAGCTAAGTCAGTTGTAACATTGTAACATGTCATTCCTGGGGTCTCAATATTATTCAAAGACTTAGTTTTAACTTTTACAAACGTCATTCTCATGATGTTTTTTGTGTTTGTTGAATCTGTTTAGGAGAAAGAGTCAACAGGCTGAGCGTGAATATGAGAAAGTGAAACACCAGCTGGAGAATCTGGAGGAGAGTGTGCGGGACCGCTGCAAGAAAGAATTCACAGGTACAAGACAGTGCAGCTGTGCAGAAACTGCAATAACTGTAATGCCCCTCAAATGATCCATGTTTCTAAGAAGTTATAAAGTAATGACATGCTTCATAGCTCTGATTACATTTCTTTGATGTATTGCACAGCAGTGAATTAAATTAATTCTCCTGCTTAACGTCACGTTATCATCATTGAGGAGCAGTTTTGCAGCAACAGTAATAAAAAACAATCTTTTACAGCTGAAATAATTTTCCTCTGCCACGCTCTCACTTCTCGCTTTCTCACAGTCTAATGATTGAAACAGACGAGCAGCAAACAAACGACACAAAGCTGCCTATTAAATACAAATGAGGTTTTATTTTCTTCATTTTCCATCTCGCAGACTTGATGATCGAGATGGAGGACCACACCAATGAACTCAGTGAGGGAAGAATCCCGTTCCTGGACTACAAAACCTACACAGACCGTGTCTTCTTCCTGCCCTCTAAGGACGGTGCCAATGACGTGATGATCACAGGAAAGCTTGACATCCCAGAGGCTCGCCGTGCCATAGTGACTCAAGCACTCAACCAGTTCTCCAACCTCCTGAACTCCAAGACCTTCCTCATCAATGTAATTACACTGAACATGGATGTAACACATCAAGGTCACAGACTGAAAATGTCTGCATACACACAGTTTAAACCAGCAATGTTCAAGTGGGAAAAATCAGTTTCACAAAGACATAACTGCAAGATACTTCACAACCCAAGTTTTACAAAGTGTTTGAAAAGTTAAACCGTTTAACACTTTTTAGGCATACTAGGAGAAGGGCTCTTGGAATGTCAGTCGGAAATATCACAGCAACTCAGCAGCTGATTGCCAGCTAATTTTATACAGACGCTCGTGTTTCTCAGCTGTTGTAGCCTGATGATTTTTGGCTATCTCCAGATGGTTCCTTTTGACGCCACCAACAGGTTGCCTCTGAAGGAAATTGTGGAATGGGTTGAATGTCATAAAATGTGCAGAGGATAATCATTACCTCAAATTGGAATGTTTCTTGTTTTCCCTTAACTATGCATCCATCCATTATCTTTACCGCTTTTCCCATTTGGGTTAGCGGGGATGCTGAAGCCGATTCCAGCTGTCATTGGGTGAGAGGCGGAGTACACTCTGTCAATAAACAGGGCTGACATATAGAGACAGATAACCAGCCACATTCACCCCTACGGGCAATTTAGAGTCACCAATTAACCTAACGAGCATGTCTTTGGATTGTGGGAGGAAGCCGGAGTACCTGGAGGGAACCCACGCATCCTTGTTGCTTCCACGCTGTGAAGCAACAGCGCTAACCACTGCATCACCGTGCAGCCTTTTCCCCTAACTATTATGATGAAATAATTAGAAAAGTATTTTGTTATAGTTTTATGTATATTATCTTACATCACTGTAGTGCTAATTAGCATGTGATTATTGCTAATAGAGAAGACACCAAATTAAGTATGTTTGTGGGCCAACCCAGAAGTTAGCATCGCCATGGGGTCTTGAAAAAATAGCCAATTGGATTTTTGCATCAGATTTTTGTATCATTGCAGAAAATAAGGTCTGTGGCTAACACGTTTGTCATGCTTTCAGGTGTGGTTCAGAAAGATTGATCACAAATGAACACCACTTTTAAGATGTTTAAAGCGTAAATGCAAACCCCAGAAGTAAAAAAAAACGTTAAGCTACAAGCAAACTACACCATGGTCGCATTGCTTCAGATTAAACCTACAGGAGACCTTTGTGTCTAATTGTAACTTCAAACAGAGATGATGATGTTTAATGTTCCCGACAACTGCACTGTAGTTTCATTTAGCCACTTGTTAGCAGCAGCTTTTTTAAGGACACGTAAAAACTTAGAAAATCACAAGTGGGGGTTATCACTAACGTGTTTAATGTCGTACAACAAAACGCAAACATCTCTTATGCTTGTGTTAACCCCAGACCTTATTTCAGGCATCTAACCACTGACCCATTCAACCCCAAAAGCGCTGAAATGCTAACTTACTTCCTGGTTTTAGAACCCATTTCTTTGGCGCCCTATGCTAGCTTGCTAACATACAAAGCTTAATATTGAACATAATGCACATTATGGCTAAACATCAAGAGGTTAGCATGAAGCTTAAGACACTGCACTGCCAGCTAACATTTAGCATGGCTATAGACGCATGTTTTTTTCTGTAACAGGCAAAGTGTTATTGAAACATTTTATTGATCAGTCTTCATATCATCTAGATAAACAGTCTTTCAGTTAAAACATTAAAGCAAACTTCATACAGTAAACAGATGTAAAACAGAATGTGATTTCATTTTATTTTTAATAAACTCCTCAGATAAAAAAAAAAAAAGTAGCAGGAACAAAAACATTGGCCCATATCTTTGAGCATTCACAGTCACATCTCTCTCATTTGGAGCTCAACTCACAAATCAAAAATACATTTGTTGGGTTGTTTCCTAACACATTTTACTGGCCTTGTTCATCGTAATGATGAGGTATGCCTCTCTTAATGTTTTAACAGGGTTATATAAAGCTGTGACTTCACGGGCAATCCTTTAAAAAGACAGATTCATTGTTATGGGTTCTTCTCAGGATTTGCTGATGATTGTAAAAAGATAGGAACACAACTTTTCATTGTCATAACTAAGATAGATATAAATTAAACAAAAACACTAATGGGGATTTACTTTCCACAACACAGATGATGCATTCTCCCCTACATCTCTTAGTGTTTAAACCTGAATCCACAGTCAGTACACTGGGAGGTCTTTCATATCTATTCTGAATTCATGCACTTTTCCTTTGATTTCTTTATGATGTAGTTAGTGAAGTACAGTGTTAGAAGTGAGCAGTAGAAGACAGTGAAGGGAGATGTGTGAAGATTCCTAATAATCCAATCTTGCTGGCACAGGAAAAGCCTCTGAGGTGTTAACTACATATGTGTGAATGATTCCTCTTCCTCTAATTGGTATCTTTTCTCAGCCGAAGCATTTTACTCGGCTGAATTGAGGTTAACCTCAATAACTTCTGTTTTCACTAGTATTAGGCTTTTGATTACTGAAAAGAAAAAAATGTGGGATTTGGTTATGGGTTTGTGAGTGTGTGTGAAAGCTTTGCCAGGATAGTTAATTTAGCTCTTTATCTGCCTTTTTCTTTGTGTATGTGTTTTTTTTAATAGTTCATCCGCACCCTGGAGCGCAGTCATGACTTCAACGCAAGGGCCAAGGTGTACTTTGCCTCCCTGCTGACAGTGGCTCTGCACGGGAAGCTTGAATACTACACCGACATTATGAGAACACTGCTGCTGGAGCTGATGGAGGAATATGTCCACAGCAAGAACCCTAAACTCATGCTGCGCAGGTGAGAAAGGAGCAACTCAGTGCTGCTGTTGTTGTGCAGTCACACATAATCACTTAACACCCATGCTACATTTGGTATCTGTGAAGTTCTGATCTGCAAGATATAATGGAATACCGGATAACTTGGATGCTTTTTCAGTCATGCCAGTTGGGTAAGTTTAGAGGGTAATATGTTTACCTCTTAAGTTCATACCAAAAATATTTTTGGATATTTTAGTCATTGAGCTTTCCATAGCTGTGAGTGTTTGTTTCAAACCGACACAAGAATCAGTTCTGCTGTGGACTTTGGGGACCTGTGGGATCTTTGTCATTTTTTTGTCAAGATCATTGTGTCTATATTTATGGTGGGGGGGAGGGGGTTGTTTTGCTTCACGTTTGTACATCATGCAAACATAACATTAAGATGTGCAGTGCTAAAAAACCTAAAAGATTCTACATGTGATTTCAATCAGCATTTGTTAAAGTCTGTATTGTTTTGAATGAGGAAACCATGCTTTACCTTCTATCATCAAATTCATCCTCACATAGACAGTTAACTCCATCACTAACAAAGTTCCCATCTGTTAAGCATTACTTTGTGTTTAGCCTTAATAAGAAATCGCTGGCATTGTCATTGTAAGCATTTGATCATGTTGATGGTAGCAAAGCTTTACATCCTCATAAGGTGCTTACAGCGCCGAAAGCTGTCGTGTTTGGTGTAATTTACACTGAGATCACAAGATGTCCTTGTTTCTGAGCTCCATGATGACAATCAATTCATATCTAAACCCTGGCTGCACTGTTATGAATCATTCTTGGAGGACTGGGATTCACTTCAAGATGCAGAGGACTGTTTCATTCTGTTGTCACGTTCTCTGTTCAATTTTGCTCTGACTACTGTAGTCCACTGTGAAGAGCCAGACTGCCGCTTGATCTATTCCAGGCCTCGTCCTTCTGCTTCTCCGTCTGCTTCTCTTTCCAATCTTGGATTCCATGCACCATGTTCAGGAGGATTCTTCTGTTGTTGTCTCCCTTAAGCAGCTTCTTCATCTCCTTTTACTAGCTGTTAATCAATGAGGCAAATGCTAATATGTACTTTCTGTCCACAATGTTTTAATTGGGCTGAATACATATGTCACATTGTAGGCTTTCTACAAATTGATTTATAGCAGAGTCCTTTAGCAGAGAGATTTTTCAGTGGACATTTCAATGAAAACAGATGTTTACTTAAGCATGTGACAGGCTTTATAACAAAATCCAGCTTTTATCTACCAAACTGTATCTCACCTGACATGCTTAGGTGGATACCTAACCTGCACCAAATTCCAATTTATAATCACTCTCTTCACAAACTGTACAGATCAATGTTTATCCTGACTTTTGTATTTAGAGCTGGGAAAGAACTTAAGAATATTTGTATTCCTTTAGTACTCTTTATTTAAAGCTTCTGTGAGGATTTTCAAGCTGATTATGAAACAATCTGAAATTAATATCAATGCCTATTCATGGGCTACAAAAATAAACATTAGCAATAATTGGTATTAAGACTGACTTGTACTATATTGTGATTGTAAATGCCTGAAACCGTTCCTGCGGCATCTTTCAGACAAAGTGATTAACAGCATCTGCAGAAATGAAAGATTCTTTATGACCGATAAATTCAACTTTAATATCGACATTTGTAACAATAACAAAGAGTATCGTCCAGACGTGCTCTTCTGTTCTCAAGTGTCTTGAGATTAAAAAAAACCCAAAACAGATTGATTGATAACAAAACAGTACTTACACAAATACTGGACAGAAGAGGCAATGGGATAAGAGTTACAGCTTTGTCCACAGGTGGCGCCAAAATCCGCATGAACCAAAAGTTCCTCACAGGAGCTTTAACGTGTATTGTGTCTATTCTCGTTTCTGGTTTCTTTCTACAAAATGTCTTGTAGTTTTCCAGTTTGGCATCTTATTTATGCTAAACACAATAATCCAATAGATCAGTTAATTGAATAATGAAGAAATAAGACATGTCGTGAAAAAATATTTTTATTTTATTTTATTTTATTACAATCCTATTATAGCTCATGTTGATTTATTCTTCTTAAATACTGCACATATTTCTCTCTGATATTGCCTATATTGATTGTCTATTGCCTCGTATTAATTGCACAATGCTTTCTCTCTTGGCAGGATCTCATTATTACTAAGATGTGTACGCACATCCAAACATTCAGCCGGCTACATTGATTGAAGTAAATAGCATTCAGAAAAGAATGACCAATTTTAGCTGTCCATTTTGATTTTCCTTTCCCCCACTGTTATAATAACGTCAAGGTCAAATCATTCACGGCCCATCCCCTCCTCTTGCAGCAGGACCCACTTGTCTGAGAGTACAGTCAGTGGCTCATCAGTGCTGGGAGGGGGTTCTGTGATCTAAACTGTCTACTGTGCCTCAGCACGCCTTGACTGGCTGTTATGCAAGTACACATCTTAATTGTCCCCCAGTGGAGAGCCTCATTATGTTGATTAGGCCATTGTGCCAACACAGGCCCTCTTATACACAAGATATCTAATTAGGCATGCTAGCTGCTAACAACAGGCCCCCCCACCAGTGGATATCTGACATTAAGATAAGCGATCAGTCAAGGGACCACTGACATGAGTTTTGAATTAAGATATCTGAGTTGACAATGTCAAGCAGTGCAGGATTTTCACTTGTTGACATTTTCTAGCTCTCTTAACAATGTGGTCTGTAAAAAAGTATGAGGATGCAATGATACCACGATAAGTATTACTTTGCATTCAACTAGCTCTAGCACAAGATATAATACAAATTTTCACCTTCAATGTTGTCAGCCTGTGAAACCTATAGAGCAGCTTTGCATGATTTGCAGCGTATTTGTCTTATACTGGCATCAGTAAAAACCTTCATTCAGCCTCTGCATGAAATAGTCCGTTTCAGCTACTGTGTCTTTCTAGGCTCCGTTCCCCATGTGCCCACTTGCTTCTGATTGGCTAGCTCTCTGGGGACAGAACGCTGCAGGGTTACATATCTGGGAACGATGGCATGATTTAAAGAACAAGCCATTCTATTTGGCGCACTCTGCAGACTTATCCTGGGATAAATCCAACATTAGTGTAGCTCATGATCTGAAACTTTGACCACGTTCAGTATGGGAATCCAGCATTGTAACACTATATGAGTTTTAAAATGGGGATCACCATAAATGGTCAACTTTAAAAGTCCTAAATTGAAATTTCTCTTGCAGCCAGATGGAACAACAAAATGCATTATAAAAACATAAAGCATGGTACAAAGTATGTAAAAACAAATGTTAAAGCTCCTAAGATACACTCACACGAAACAACCTAGTGTTGATACTTTTTGATCATTTTATAGCATAAGAATGCAAATTACTGATTCACCTGGCACGCCTTATCTAATGTTATGTATGTACTATTTTTAACAATGCACAATCAATAAAATACACAAGATAAAAAAAAATACTTATCTAATGTCTCTTTCCAGATCAGAGACGGTGGTAGAAAGGATGCTGTGTAACTGGATGTCAATCTGCCTCTACCAGTTTCTGAAGGTAAGATTATGGGTCAATTAAGATGTAAATGCTATTTAAATCTATTCTAAGGGGAAACCTAATATGTATACATGTTTTTTAGACAGGCTAATTAACTCAGTAGTGATATGTATTGATGTGTATATTTGAAGTTAGTGATAACAGACTAAGTGCAGAGATGCCTCTTTTTCTTTCATTAGTGCTCAGTATTGATAATGTGCTTTTTTTGTCTTCTTAAACTGCTAATCACAACAATTAGCTTTTGACAGCATCTGAGACAACTTGTAAACGGTCTTCTGTGCCTCTGTGTGTGTTTGTGTGTTCCAGGACTCTGCAGGCGAGCCCTTGTACAAACTGTTCCGAGCCATCAAGCACCAGATCGAGAAAGGGCCTGTGGACGCCAGAGTGAAGAAAGCCAAGTACACCCTCAACGACACAGGCTTGTTGGGTGACGATGTCGAGTACTCCGTCCTGGTGAGATGGACAAACACACACAGACACAAACATTTGCACAAACAAACAATAAGGCCCCACTCAAACAAACATACAAAGTTAAAAACTCAGTCTTAGGAAAAATAAACTGCACACGTTGCTTTGTGATTGCATTGTGTTCCGTGCCTGGTGAGCAATACAAACATGCATACGCACACACACACACACACACACATTACAGTTGCCATGGTAACCACCAAAAACCCCACAGGCGACTGCCCATTTCTGTGTGACATCCATTTTCAGTGTCAGTGTTCCCGGCTCAAAAAAATAAAACCCCACAGGTTTCACATTCCCATGTAGCAGTGAAATGCACAGCTCGGATGAAAAGTACTACAAGTTATCACAACTAAAGAGTACAAGTCCACCTCCACCTTCCCCCCACGTGCACCAGCTCAGTATATCCATTTGGGCAGCTTTCAAGTGTCAGGGAAAAAGCCTGCATTGGTCTCCCTTTTTGTATCGTGTTTCAATAATGGAAGCTAATGTGAACACAGCTGTTTTCTGTTAAAGTCAGCACAAATAAAAAGGCCCATGGGTAATGCCGTTGTCGAGGACAATTATCAAATTAGCCTGAATTACACGTCTCCCGCCGTGATGGATCGCCTTATGTGATTGAATTACGGAGGGAGAAAAAACTCAATGAGCTTGATTTCACAGGCCGACGCTGGGTTTCCTTTTGGATTTATTTCACAGCGTGCTCCTCCTACCTTGAAAACAGACCGGCTTATGAGTGTTGCTTTTTCAATAGAATTTTCTACATTTTCTTTGGAGTGGTCAGTTAGTTATTTCTGACAGAGTGACTGACTGTGGGAGGGTAGGTGGGTCAGAGTTTGCTCCTGCTGTGCCTTGGTCATTAGCTGACCATGGTGACAGAAGTCCTCTCAGGTGTCAAACAGAGTGTGTGTGTGTTTGTGTGTGTGTGCTGACAGAGCCCTGGTTGCCATGACGACAACATCCAGACATAGGAGACTTGGGTTGTGTGGGTGTGCTTTTTGTTGGTGGGTGGTTGGGTACCCTGGCCATGTTTGAATATTTCTGCATATTTGTTATTTGTGTGCGTAGGTGTACATGTTCTGCACACACTGATACCAAATTGGCTTACTGTGAGGTCTCTTATTTTCTGTTTGTGTGTTATGTTTCAAGACCTTGCAAGTGCTGGTGCAGGGAGAGGGCCCAGACGTGACGCCCGTCAAGGTGCTGAACTGTGACACAATCTCACAGGTGAAAGAGAAGATCATAGAGCAGGTGTACAGGAACCTGCCGTACTCCCAGAGACCAAAGGTCGACAGCGTCACGCTGGGTGAGTTAATGAAGAGGAGGAGGATGATATGAAGCAGGAACCATGTAATTATCATGAATAATTTAAGAGTAACAAGGAGTGGTGAGGATGTCACCATGGAGAATATCGGTCCAGACTGAAGGGCATTTGGGCATAAATCATGCATTTGTCTAATTAAGAAAGTCTTCATTATTTTGTCCAAACATAACTCTATTTAGAGGATGATCTTTTCATATTTATGTTTACTTTTGTGGAATAAAAAAAAAGGCTTCACGGAGGTTAGGACTTTATTCAGTGTCAGCAAAGTTAAAAAATGCCTTCATCCCTGAACAATGTTTTATTTGCTACTGTAGTCAGAAACCTCAGGGACTGACTTGAAAGGCAAAAGCTCTGTGGACGTTTTCCAACATCAAAGCCATTTTATTATTCCCACGCATGCTGTAGATCTCATTGCTTTATACATTTTAGATAAGCAGAGATTTAGCTTCTTTCATGGTGAATCAGAGACATATAACCCCCTTACATTTGATGGTACTTGAAAATGAATCATGTGTCCCAGATGGTGTCGAGCTCAGGTTGGCTGTTGTGTTGGATTTTTTCCAAATTGAAAATGCTCAGCTGCAAATCACTGTTAAGAATAGGATTTTAATTATTCAGAAAATGCAGATCTTAACACTTCATATGAAATTACCTCAAGTGTGTCACTCAATCCCAAGAGAGAGTGAGAGAAAGAGTGAGTGAGTGAGAGAGAGAGAGGATAGGATGTCAGTTTATTTAGAAAAACATGAATGTGGTGTAACCTCAGGGTAGCAGTGACCCATGGTGAAAAAATGCAATCAGTATCAAAATATAAGCTAGCACTGAATTACAATTTTTGTAAACCTTGCAGCCCAACCCCAGCTAGCAGAAATCATTTTGTTGATTGATAATTGACTCTTTCTTTCTGCTCTCACAACAGAGTGGCGCCCGGGCTCAACGGGGCAGATTTTGTCAGATCTGGACTTGACTTCCCAGAAAGAGGGCAGGTGGAAATGCATCAACACTTTGGCGCATTACAATGTGAGTACTGATGAAATTATTGAAATGAATTTGAAAAACAAAAGTACCGGACTAAAATAAGCATGTGATGTAAGAAGGCAGTGGGTAAATAGATTTGTATGTGGGTGTGTGGATGTAAAGGGGGTTGCCTTTTTTCACATCTTTTCTGTTAGAGACTGAGCTGTACATCATGTGTCATAGTGGTGTTTTTTAAATGTATTACTGTTCAGCAGATAGCATACAATTGTATGAATAATATGGTAGGTTAATTAATTCTCCTGTGTCAATATTTATATTAGTCTCTTCTTCTAATCAATCCAGTCTTCATATATCTAAATAAAACATATTCTAATTTTATGACTTGTGTAGTGTAATGGTGCCTGTATCTGCTGGATACATGAATAAGCAACTGTTTCTAACATGTTGGTGATGGTAATAATATTAAAATAAATATTAAAATGTATGTTAATTCCAGATTAGGGAACATTTCACAGGTTGTAAGCTCTTTTGTCATGAATGAGTATGAATAAATAGTATTCAAAAAATAAAGGTAGAACTGTTAGTATTCTTAAATCAGACATTAAAGAAAGCACCATGCATACTCTTTCCTTCACTTTTTGCTTTTGTCAGTTTGGCGACATGCCTGCAATTTAAAATTTCTGGCAGTCATTTGAAAGCGCCTGGTCTTGGCTGCTGTTGTCAGCTCTCAACGGCGACAACACAACACTAAATCTTCTTGGCACTGTATTGATCCTCGGAAAATAAAGGTCACTCACAAATATCCCCTCGTTGTCCTGCTTTCCAGCCACTTAAATCCCCCTTTCTTTAAGGTGCTTCTCTTCCATTCACGCTACTTGCCATTGTCCTGCAGTTGTTCCAATCGGGCAGTCTTGCTGCTATAGATCCATTGGCTGTGTTGGAGTAGTGCTAATCACAGGTTTTGAGGGGGTCAATAAAGGGTTGACTGAAGAGAAAATGGCCTGTAAATACCCCTATAAAGACCCCAATGTTGCTGTCCATTCAATCGTATTGATTTTGAATTAGTTCTGGGGCACTAAATGAGACCGCTGACCCCAGTCTTAGCCCCTTTTAAATACAAGATGTGTGAAGTTAGTCTCTATTGTTGTGCGTCTTCTATCTAACAAAAGACTGTTATCTTTGTTCCAGGTGCGAGATAACGCCACATTAGTGCTGTCCAAAGTCTTTCAAACTCAGCAGAACTACTACCAGAATCAGGAAAACCATGAAGAACGTAAGTGTCCCTTAAACCACACAAAATCTTTACACTGGCTGCCTGTTAGTTTTCGTGTTGATTTTAAAATAATTTTATTAGTTTATAAAGCATTCCATGGCCTTGCACCAGACTACCTATCAGATATGATTCTAGTTTATGAACCAGTATGGCCCCTCAGATCCTCCAGTTCCTGTCTTTCAGATGTTCCACAGAGCAGGACAAAAACCTTTGGTGATGCTGCTTTCAGCTGTTACGCTCCAAGACTGTGGAACAACCTTCCTGAGGGTCTGAGAGGAGCTGAGAATATCAAGATTTTTAAACGCAGTCTTAAAACTAATTTATTCAGTCTGGCTTTTATATAGTGCTTTATAGAAATTCAAATCTTAACATTATTGTATTGTCTTTTTTATCCTACTACAGTTTTAAATATTTTTCTCCTATGTATTAATTTTAATATCTTACTGCTTTTATGTGTCGTATTTTATTTTTCATTTTTATACATATTTTTTAATTCTTATTGGTGTGCATTAGTCTCTCAATGATTTTATCAATGATTTTATAAACTACTTTTTCGTCAATAACTTTTCTGCACTCTTGTAAAGCACTTTGAACTGCAATTTAATTTGTCTGAAAGGTGCTATATAAATAAAGTTTGATTGATTGAAAATCAAAACATAAACACACACTTGTTGAACCCAAACAAGTATACATCAGACGTCTACTTGTTAATTTAAGGCTGGCCTTTTGTTTCTTTTCCCCAGGGCTTTTGAAAACATCCCCTCTCTCATTTACCATGCGAACACATGCTGTTTTATGTATAGTACACTTAGATTATGCTGAAATGATATGCTCTTTTATCTTCTGCGCTTTCATGTGCATATCTGAGTAGTTTATTGTTTCACAAGTCTACTTGGATATTCTCTCTGCATTTGAATTCAGTTGACAAACACGCTCCCCTTTTTAATCATCAGAATCATTTCTGTGAGGGTGTGCATGAATAAAAAAAGGAGGATAATTATTCAAAGAAAGTTTTTCAAAGTGTTGTTTCTCTCCTCCTCTGACAGGAAATGCTCTGTTGGAAGACGACAAGGTTTTTCATTTGGTGAGGCCGGCAGACGAGCTGGATGAGATCAAATCTAAAAGAGGGAGCATAAAGGACAAGTCGATGACCAAAGCCATTACAGAGATTTATCTAACACGACTCCTTTCTGTAAAGGTACAAAGAATGATTCATTTAATCAATCAGACATTTCTGAAGTAGTTATCCAATTTAACTGTCTCCTGCAAATAGTAATTATACTTTCATTGATTTTTTTTTCACTTGAAAAGCTAACTGATTGATGGCTTCCACGTTTGAATCGTGCAAATCAGATGCTAAAATAGTCTCAGGAAGGCCTGAATATCTTCACTGACATTATGTGCAAATAGTTATGTCTCCAGGCGGAGATATTTCTGGCTCTGCTCTCTGTCTCTGCCCTGTCTCACATTATTTGTGGCCATTTTCAGGGAACACTGCAGCAGTTTGTGGATGACTTCTTCCGCAGCGTGCTGTGCTCGGGGGCAGTGGTGCCACCGGCTGTCAAATATTTCTTTGACTTCCTGGATGAGCAAGCGCTGAAACACAACAATGTGGATGAAGAGACCATCCATATCTGGAAGACGAACAGGTAAAAATGCGACATGTATGAACCAACTGATCTTTGTCATGGGTTCACTTTTAGATTCTGACACAATAACCATTCCTGTTTACCAAAACACATTTAGTTTCTGACATATAAAAAACAACAACACATGAGTGATCTACACGGAATGATCCAAACTTCCTGCAGCATATCTGACATTTTGGTAACTGCTTACTTTTTTAAACTTCCTTTTCATCGAAAATTCATTCCCCTAGAATATTCTTTGTCTTGCAATTGTCTTTGAAATATTGGACTTTTTTGTTACTACTTTGGGGATTAAACCTCTAATAGTAAAATGAAGCTATCTGAGAATTTAGAGAGACAATATGTCTTTTCGGGGAGCTGCTAACATCTTAGAAGCATCTTCTGTTTCTCATACCAAAAGGTTTAGGGACCACTTTGTTTAATGTCAGACGATGGACTATACTTTACATGTTTATTAAGTGTTTTTTTACTTTCTGGTAAAAACATGTACATTATTACCTTTGACATTTAGTGGAATTCAGTAAATGTCCACCAATGACTGTAAACCTTTACAAGCAGACACTGACTGTCGGAGTCTAATTGACACAATAAATCCAGCTGTAGAAGTACAGTTACTCTTACAGAAATAAGACTTACTTATCCAAGAAACAACAGAATACAAATTCACAATTTCAGCTCACTTAGTTTGCAATGGCAATCCCCCCCCCTTCTCCCATGTGACATTTAAGTACATAAATTAGTGTCACGTCGGCTAAGGCTCAAGCATACAAGACGACGTGTTGCATGTAGATGCCGGTGATTGACGCAAGGCTGGTGAGAGAGCACCCACACAAGGACAGGAGATGAGCGATTTAATTAGTTACTACACACCACACCACATTCTGCATCCACCCGTTCTGTTTATCAAATCAACTGAGGGCCATGTATTAAATATGAATGTGTGTATGAGGCACAACAAACATGGTAATTATGTCCCAAGCTAATTTAATTCTGTGATTATAGCAACATTTCTATTTTTATGCTTCTATTGTGTTCTCACTGCAGCCTCCCCCTGAGATATTGCCAAACCAGTCTGAATTTTACACGGTGTGCGTTCCATGTCTCAGATGGCGGGGCTTTCGATCATGAAGGGGAAGTTTTTGTTTTGGGATACTTCAGTGTTTTTCTTTTTTTAATTCACAAGCTGACATGAGGTTTGAAAGATGCGCACGGAGCGTGTTTTTTGCTGCTCAGAAGGGAAATTAGCGAGAGTACTCGAGCGTTACCTTAAGTAATCGGTGTGTTGGGTTGTTAGGCTGCACGGGAACATTAAAGGTCAAGGTTTTGGTGAGACATTTGCAATCGTTATTTGTTTGGGAAGACAAGCTTCATTGACTGAAACTCTCTGTTGATCCCTGTTGTTGAAAAACTCATCGGAGGATATTTTTACCGGTTTAATTTTCTCAGCAATGATTCAGCGAGGGGGGTCAGTATTATATGAAATAGTAATCTTCAATGACAGTTGAGGGTATTGTTCTGAATAAATTGACACCTACTGTAGAAGAAAGGCTTTTCTCCTTCACTGTTATTATCTTGTTCTGCACACAATTGCACCTCAGGCAAGTGCTGTCACATGAAAAACCTGCCTGACTCAAAAGAATTCAAAGATCTGATGCCGTTGATTAGATTGTCACCCATTGGAAAGCATTAATAAAGATAAAAACTGCAATAATAGATCTGTGTTATGCTCTTTTCTTTCTCTCTCTCTCTCTCTCTCTCTCCGGTGCAGCCTTCCTCTGCGATTCTGGGTCAACATCCTCAAGAATCCCCACTTCACCTTCGATGTTCACGTGTCTGAAGTGGTGGATGCCTCGCTCTCTGTCATCGCCCAGACCTTTATGGACGCCTGCACCAAGAGCGAGCACAAACTCAGCCGGGTGAGTGGAGATGGAGAGGAGGAAGAAGAAGAAGAAAGGAGGGGGGGGGGTTGAGGTGAAAGAGCAAGAGGGAAGATAGAGAAGATGGGATCAAAGTGGACTACAAAGGATGGAGAAGAGGAATGTCAATAAAGGTCAACCCATCTAAAGTGTCATTGTTTTCACAGTTGTGTCACCTTTTTGTCTCTAGGACTCTCCGAGTAACAAACTTCTCTATGCAAAGGAGATCTCCACCTACAAGAAGATGGTGGATGAGTAAGTCCCATCAGCAGTTTACTACATTCTTTCGATCTGTTGTTTTCATGTCAGTTCGAAATGCCTCTTGTAATAGTTTTGTCAATAATGCTTAAACAATGTAGTGATTATCCCCTTTTCTCCTGTGTGTGTGTGTGTCTGTGTCTGTGTCTGTGTCTGTGTGTCTGTGTGTAGTTATTACAAGGGCATCAGGCAGATGGTACCCGTCAGTGACCAGGACATGAACACTCATCTGGCAGAAGTGTCACGGGTGAGCAACACAGCTGTCATTTTCTGAACCACTGAGATCACTCTGCTATAAAATCCTTAAGATTACAGTCTGTGGGGATCTGGCGCCTCCTGTGGTCACTTTGATAATAACAGTGAGAGAAGTTTCAAACTACAAAAAAGCCCTTGAGCAACTTCTTTTTTAGAAATACAACGAAAAAGTAACCAGTGTATCTATTTACAGTGCAGCACAACAAAGTTGCATTCTTTTATCCTGGAAGTCCGTCAATAATCTGCCCTTTTTTTTTATCACACCGTGTGCTCTGTTTCTTATTTCATGCTGCACACAGAGTGTGTACTTTCCAATACAACACCAGGGCACCGTAACAGTGGCTGCTTTCTCTTGGTGTTGCTGGCAACTCATCATCTAAAAGCCCACCAAGTTTCTTTGAACCGACCTGTTTCTCTGCACATTTTCAAGTGCTGCATGGGGAAAAAAAAACCCAAACTAAAATGCCAAAAATCCCCTTAAAGATGACAAACATGCCAAAGATAACTTGTACGCTTGGCTGAAAGGTTGGCAACAGAAAGAGATTTAATTATTACGTACATAAAGTGTGTGACTTAAACAGTCAGTTAAGGATGGAAAATCTCAGTTGACCGGGCCTCAGATTTGTTGTTGAGCCTTAAGGCGACTAAAACCTTCCTCAAATAAATGACAACAGAAAAACAAACAGACATGCCAGATTTCATGTTTTACGCATCATTTCTGGTTGTTTCAGGTCTGACTAGAGGCCTAATAACAAATGACGTATTAGTCACATCACTGCACTCTTTTCTTTGCTGATGGTGTAATAGGAATCTGACTGAAGAATTAGCTCCACTTAACTGCTTATCTTGATGAACCAACTCATCTAATTCAGTAGTCTGAATAACTACTATGAATGGATGTAGAAATAAATTGACATTTTCTTTTCCTGTTCCCTTTTAAAATATGGAAAATGTGTGCTAAAACGTGACAACATTGGCTTTCATTGTTAGACATCATGGACAGAAACTTAAACAATCTACTTTAGCCAAGTGAAATGCAAACCACTTGGAGGAGGAAACTGAGACAAATGGTTGAACCACTTTGAACAGCTCTTATTACAGATGTAAGTGAATAAGCAGTAAACAGTGAGGCTGATATCAGGGAGAAAGATTCCTGTTTCTCAGGAGGCAGGACATGACGTATAAAAGGATGCTTGTGGTCGTAATGTTTACAAGATATCTAAGATGGCAGACTGAGTCCGACGCTCTAATTACAACTATGCCTTTAAATCAATACTACCATGCCACATGTTCAACTAAAGAGTGGAAAAACAACATGTCGACAGACAGAAAAGAGTATGAAGCTGCTCTATGACATGCAGTTTCACACACCAGCTCACCCCGGTTTCATGTGGAAATCTTGTTAAAGGGTAAGCAGGAAAAAGTCCGTTTGTGTTCACACATGTAGCTCGGCCAGAAAACTTCAGGACACTGTCAGGAGTTATTTGAATGTGTGAATACAGCTGGACTACAGAGTGATTTAAAATGTCTTGTGAAGTTTTTAAGCAAAGGCATGAGGTTTACGTTCACCACAGGAGTGGTGGAGATAGAGAGGGGGATTCAGAATGTAGCTTCATCGAATGGCAGTGCTGTAAAAAGACGACCATAAATAGTATAAAGAACTGTTTTTATTTCAGGGAGATGTGGAGGGTTATATCTTTAATGTCTGATGTTTACTTATAATATAGTACCTCTTTGAGATGGTTGTTTTTTCCCATAAATGTTTGCTCTGCAGCTATTTTATAAACCTCTAAACAAGAAGTATTTGCTCATTTTACTCTTGTACTGTTGCACATTTTCTCTTTAACCTTGAATTTGTTTTCTTATGTTATCCAGTCGCACACAGACAAACTGAACACACAAGTGGCTCTCCATCAGCTTTACCAGTACGCCAGCAAATACTATGATGGGGTAAGAGGCCCTTCTCTGACTATCACACCCAAAGGAGGCTATTCCACTGAATGCACTACTGCCCACTATATTATTGCTTTTCCTTTTTTTTCCCCACTCTCTCTTCACTGTTGATATGCCAGAAGAGTGATTGTATGAAATTTTAATTGAAAGCATTTCTGTGGGATGTGAATTGGAAAATTGCTCTGGGAATTGATTTTTAAGCTACCATTGTGCATTGCCACTTGAGGTCAAGAAAAAGGGGGGGGGGTAAACAAAACCTTATGAACAAGTCGGATAAACAAATGGGGCTGTCAGTCTCCCTTAAGTGGGGTTCACAAAACAATAACAGCTTGTATGACGTGACTGTTGATGTCAAATGACACCATCCTCTCCTCTTACTTTGTCCCCTTTTCTTTCTCTTTGTCCTGCGCTTGTTCTCCGGCTGTCCCTCCGGTCCTTGTTTCTCCTGCTTCCCTGACGTTCCTCCTTTGCCCGCTGAACTACCCAATCACTCCTATTATTCTTATTATATCTATCTTCTCCCTCATTTTCTTCCATTAACGCCCTTCTCACCTTCCATTCCTCTTTTAGATCATCGCATCCCTGGACGAGGATCCAGCTGCCCAGAGTAAACAGCTGACCCTGCGGCTCCAGCAGATAGCAGCAGCCCTGGAAAACAAAGTGACTGATCTCTAACACACCGGCTGGAGGGAGGGAGGATGGGGGGAGCGAGAGAATGATAGGATACAGCCAGTGACTACAGGGGCTTATTTCTTCTTTTAGAGAATAAAGTGTGGAAATAAGGAAAGGTGAGGAGGGACTCTTGTGGGCGTGAGTTTTCTGAACAGTGGGGTAACGGGGACTAATGAAATGCAGAAAGAGAGCGAAAAGGGGAAGAAAATGATGGGTTACGCTGTCATAGGTACGCCTTAAAGCTCACTTGCCAAACCTTTAAAGGTCTGCACGCTCACTCATGCTTCACTGAATATTGCTCTCACAATGCAGTGCGTTAGAGACCTCTCTAAGAATTAAGCCCTTCTGTGGAGCACTGGCACAGGAGATAATCAGATGTTCAATTTCTTTCTGTGTAGAAAAGGTTTTAAGAGTTGTATTATATATTTTTTTTATCGTGCAGTCTTTATGCGGAAAGCTTTATAAGGAAAAAAATTATCTTTTTAAATGGATCACCTTGTGATGCGGATAGTGTTTTTATTAGCCTGTGTGTGCGTAGCTGTCTGTGTGAAGTGCAACATGTGAACAAGAGTGTGCGTTACTAAAACTTGAGTGCGTGTGTGAATGTTTCAGAATGTGTGTGCACACACAGGATGCCTACTGTCAGGTGTGATGGTGAAGGGACGCCTGCTTTCTGTCATTTTAATTCCCCACACTCAGTGACACACTGGAGCCGCGCTCTCGCCGAGCCTTTTGACAGAGACCAAAGGGTCCTCACAAGGACACCGGTTAATCTAGCAATGTACAGGCTCATATGCCTGACGGGTCCCCGGAGGGTTCAGAAATGTTTGAGTTAAATTCTTTGCTTTTGACTCGGATTCGCTTCAAGCTGGACTGCCATTTGTGCTTCGGGAAGTCGATAATAGCACAGTCTGTCTCCCTTTATTGTACAGTGCCATGATACATTCCACTTCAACTAAAGCACAGAAGGACATTTCAAGGTTTTTAATCATTTCACAGCGAGTCTGTTTCCAGGTAAATTTCCTCTCTTATTATTTGTGTCAGCAAGAAGCAATTGTGTTGTGCCATGGAGCCATGTCACTCATTTTAGCCCTGCAATAATGTCAGAACACCACGACAGTCTCATTAGCTTACTAACTGCCTTCACATACAGTAGCAGATCAGCAATATGTTCAAGAGTTTTCCAAATTAATTATTTGCAATTTTAGTGTTCATCATTTCAGTGCCATTGTTTTTCGTATTACCCATGTAATGTTCCAAATAATCATCAAGCATTCTGCCTCTTAAGCTATGAAATAGCCTTTTGCTGATGTAAATACAAGCTGGAGATGCAGTTGGTACTTAAATAGTTTGTTCTGAACAACATTTTTTCTTTGTCGTCGAGGTCAGGTTCAATCATGTACATAATTGTTATTGAAATATTGAGTGTCAGTGTCAGAGCCGAGGTGTCCACAGGGTAGGAATGAGGGTTTGATATTTCTCGGGCCATTAAACGAACGCCACCATGTTCCATCCTAAAATTGTAGGTTTAGCTGTTGACAGATGATTTAATTGTAGTCCCTGTATCTGATCGTGGATGTGTGTAGTTGACGGAGCGTAACGAGCTCCGGAGACCCCAGAATGTTAACGATCCCTGCCTTGGCTCCAGAGAGGGTTGCACAGACCTCGATGCCTGCCTGCCTGCCTGTCTGCCTGCCGTCTCAGCGTGGCACCCTGGCATCCCGACCAACAGCACTTGGCACTGCCCACTCAGCGCAGTGCAGAGTGGCACTCTGTATAATGGAATCAGCAGGGGAGGCTTTTGATCTTAATTGCATGCCGACTGCAGACTCTATCCTTGTCTCCAGTGTTGTTTACTGCTGACTTCTCTCTCGCTAACAGAGTTGATGCAAGACGCTTATTTCAGAGCCTTTCTTTAACCAAAAAAGTGCCTTATTGAATAGGATGATACATATATATATTGGTTCTAAATTATTCTATCGGTAACTAGGTGATTATGATGGCGATAGTGCTATAGACACAGCAATGTATTTGGACTTGTGATATTATGTGTGCCGTCATAAATGCTAGATGCCCTGCTGCAGCCATTTGTGTGCCAATAGGCTGAAGACATTTCAGTATGATTTCTTTAATGGTTGCAGTTTTAATGTGTGCATTTCCTTTTGGGCGTCTGTGGTGTGTGCTTAGTAGGACTTTGGTGGCTAAGGCAAAAAGGCCAAAATGAATAAATGTAAAACAGTGGCTAACGTGATTTGGGTTTCCCTTGAAAATGTCTGGCATTCCTAAATTAGTCTGAAATCAAAAGGGTGTCTTTATGTAGACTGAATATAGCGCAACATTGTTCCAACGTTGTTCTTTTTCTTGCCCTGTGTTTCTGCTATTCAACAGTGTGTATGATAAATGACTATCTATACTCGACAAATGACCTTTCTTACTGCTGTGCAGTTATTATTTTTATTTCTTGTTTTCCTATACCATATGAATCTTTGTAAAAGATGTTGAAATACTGTATACTAACTGTATAATCCTATGCATTAAGTCCTGGGACAAAAAAAAGCAAAAGAGAAAAAAAACTGTTTGTGCAGTTGTCGAGACTTTTTTCCATTTTGAAACTTGTGAATGTGCTGTAACGATTAAAGAAACTGGGACGCTCCATTTTTTTCAGTCCAGGACCATTAATAAAAGCCAACCGTATCCTCCCCATCCTAGGCAGCTCAGATGATCCTCGATCTTGTACCTGGTCTGGTTTTACTGGATGAACTTAATTTTACAAAGTTTTGTGTGGACGGAGCAGTTACCCACAGGTTTCATCATACACTCCTCCGTGAATAAACTCAGAGACATATACGCCCTTCATATCTGCTGTGTTTCTTTCACTTTTAGAATATTGATTAACCTCAATTGAACACTCACCTCCCATGCATATTGCATGAGTCACAATCACCTTGGAAAGATAAAGTAACACATGCTGCAGGTAGCTAATTTCTTGTTGAAGTGACCGGAATCATTTTCCTTGAAGTACTTATACAGCTCATTACATTACCTTAGATTGACTGAAGAGCTTACACACACAGGCTGAAGTAATAGGCAGATTTATATTATTATTTTTCCCCATTTAAATCAACCAACCATTTTCCGAGGGCCATGAGCATGAAAAGGTGACAGTTTTCTCCAGACATTTGTGCATGTAATGACCTCAAAAGCCTTCCTTGATAGGATCACTTCTCAAATGCAGCATAGCCTATGATGGCTAACACTTTTCCCCAAATGCCACATCAGGTTCCTGTCACACGGCTCAGAATGCAGACTAAAAGCAAAGGTCTGGCGCCATGAAACGAGTTGATAATCTAAATAGCTGCACAGCATATCTGTCATCTGCAGTGAAGGTTGAAAAATTGCTTTGAAAACATTAATTAAGTACTGACGGCGAAGAATTAAACTAGAAAAAAGAAAGATGAAAGACAAAATTGCCTCATTGGACTGCTTAACAAACCCAGACACTAGGGTGGGCATATCAAAGACAGACCAGAGGCCTGCGAAGGCCGACGTCTCACTGAGTAGATCGTTGATGCAGCAACAGATAGAGCAACTTCAAGGGCCGCTACCAAAGCAGGAGTGATTACACTTAATTATCGCCAGCACTGCATCTTGTACACTGCCCTTGATCACTGGTGCAAAATCAAAGGCAATACTGTACTATATTTCTATTAAGTCTTGCTACTTACATCATTCTCCAAGTCAAATTTATTTGCCGTATGCTGCACTTGTGATAACTATGCTCTTTCAATGTCTAGAAATCAAAGATTCTCCACTGAAAATTGTTATTTTAAAACATCCACTTGGATCAAGACTTGCTGGAATTCACACAAGAAATTTGGTAAAAATGTTCTCCTAAATCTAAAAAAATAAACTGCTTTAAAAATGTGCTTGTTTTGCCTTTCATACAGCAGCCAGTCTCTCATTCATAGAGGGATGTGTTCACTAGCAGCTTAAATTTTGCCTGTATGTGTTTATACCTTCTAATGAGATTTGGCTTCGATTTCCACTGCCTTAGGGGTACGAGAAGAATACATAAATAGAAATACACCATAAAAATGATGGTGTAGTTTCATTTTAAATAGTTGTTTTGATGAATAATTTAAATTATGTAACAGATTCAGAACTAAATGATGAACTGTCACAACTGTTAACACATGTCTGTTTCCTTTCATATTCCAATTTTCCAATTCATTTAGAATCACAACTTCAAGCTCTCTTCCTTTCCAGAGACAAGTGGATGAAAGAATACAAACAATATAGTTTGAGGACAGAATCTAACAAATTGACATCAAATGGTGAGCAAATACAGTGTCCATCAGATCCACTGTGTAAAGTTGACAATTATGGAAGATATTCAAATTGCTCAGGTGTACCTCATGGTTTGGGATATTAACAAAATAAATAAATAAGATAAATACAAAACATATTTCTACAGAGAACTATTGAATGCTTGTTCATAATTTAATTTAAACATAGCCTACAGTTTAAGTTTGTCTTATGTGATAGGCTACATTCATATATAGTTTGTGTATTGATTTATAATCTCTTACAACAGAATTGCTTTGGTTATTATATTAAAATCAGGCAAATTGTATCAGGAATGAGTTAAGAATTTGGACCGTCCCTTTATTACACAAGTCAAACTAGTGCCTATTTACGCAATTTAAGCTTTTACTTTTAGGCTTCAGGCATTAATGTACATTCAACTTGCTGCAATATGATGAGCAAACCACATGGAATTTATCAACGAAGATCGGGAAACAATATTCAATGAGCCCGCTGCATTGCTTTTTTGCTGTTACATTCCTCATTTATTCAATGAAACTTCAATTGTTATCCTGAAATAGCCTACGTATAAAGTGTTCTACCTGACACTAAAAAAACTATTATTTACACTTTTGTCGCATCACTTGAACGCAGCACAGAGTGACGGCAAATGACAGGTTTTTCCCCCCCACATCCTGTGATTGACAGAAAAGATCGACCAATCAGTATAGCCTAACAGAATTCTTGGCCAATCGGCATTGACAGAATAATCTTTTTGTCCAATTAGATTCAAAGGGGGCAGAGTCAACATTTTTATTTTTTTTTGTAACCTCGCGGCAAACACTGGAGATGAATGAAGCCACTAGCTTGCAATTAGCGCGCGACAACAAAACTACAGCAGATTAACTGGCACTAGTGCGATGGAACAATTTGTCAGAAGTGATTGATTTTTGACAATTGGGCGGTGTGCAGATGACTCACCGTTGTGGAGTGTACCTTGTTTCGCTAACCAGGACAGCCATGCTAATAACAACAGTTAGCTAGCATGCACGGGAAGGAGTCACTTCAGGATCTAAAACTGTCTTAGTCAACTGAATATCCACCAACCAGCTTCAAAGGGTAAATACAGAGAAAAAGAAACGGAAGGGAACTGGGCGATAATTCAGTTTGAGATTTGATGTACAATTTAGGACACCTTTATCATTTTGCTGATGTGTGTACTGTGTCAAATAAGTAAACAAACTAGGTTGCCAGATTCAAACTACATAGCTGCTTATGTATGTAATATATGACAACAGCAGCTGTATGCATGTGTATTCATATTATCAGTTTCTTTTTATATTGTAACAGAGAACTACATAATTTAACTCCCTTTCTATTTCAATCATGTAGGCAGAGGAAACACTGTCACCATGTACCCTAACAACCCCATGAAGTCCAGCAGCAGCAGCAGCAGCAGCAGCATCACTGAGCTGCTGGGCGCCCTGTGTGACTCCAGCCTGACCGGGGTGTCATGGAAACGCCGTGCCCTTGGAGGAGTCTCCAGAGAAGGTTTCCGCAGAGCTCTCAAGAAACGAGCCTATGGTGCCCTGTTGTCCAAACTTTTTCACGATGGCACCAAAGGTTCCGCCCCGGGACCGAGCGCCACAGCGAACACGCCGCCCAGGAACAGAGTCCTGATGATATGCTTCGACTTGCGGGTGGCCGGCTGCAGAGAGGAAGCAGAGAGGTTGGAGGAGCAGCTCGAGAGGCTGCCGGAGGGAGCGTCCTCCGGCGTGAAGGAAGTAGACGCAGTCTTGGAGCTCCTGGTGCACCTTGCTGGTTCGGCACCTCCGCCGCCTACCTCCTTCAGCAGAGACTACATGAGACGAGAGAGGCAAGTGCTGCGGAGGCCTGAACCGTGGGGCTACCAGAGCGAGGAGCTTCAAAGGCTGGAGGCCAGGGCGTGGGGTCTAGTGTGTCAAGAGGAATGGGGAAATCTGGACAGTTTGTGTGGGACTCAGAGATTGATGGATGCCCTTCCAGGCACAGGACTGCTTCCTCCGAGGACTAAATTGGAAGCGGAAGAAAGATTTGAGAGGGATACCAGACTGACGCTGTTTGGAGCGCTGCAGCACACACGCACCTCAGACCTAGACATAAGACTGGACCTGCCTCCTGTTCCCAGTAATATTGATGTGACAGGGCTTTCTATAAGGGTACGACACTGTCCTGGTCTTGTATCTAAGCTCATTATTATTATATGTACAGTTGTTTCATATACACATGTAGGTTTAAACGCTGTTTGATGCTAACAGATAATTGGGCTAAATTGTTTTTTGTGCAGGTTCCCTCCAGTTTGGATCAATCTGAGGACGAGGGTTTCCAGTCTTCTTCCAACCTGACCCCAGACTCCCAGTCAGAGCCTAGCCCCATCCCAGACTTCGACATTTGGGAGGCTCTCCGCACATTTGAGCCTGGGCGACGCCGCTGCTGGGAGTCTGTCGGTTGGTAAGTGGCATATAAGCTGTGCTTTCGACAGTTTGACTCAAGTATATTAATCATGTCTTCATCATGAGAAGATCTTGCCTCGGTGATAACAGTCAACAAACTCTATCAGAACAACATTAGTAAATGTGAGGGCCTCTTAATAACAGTAGTGTTCATGATTTGTTGATTCTCTATGCTGCTATGATGCATTAGGAAAAACTGCCACACAAAATATAATTAAGATTTTATACAAGTGACACGATTTAAATGTCTGCTTTTCAAATGATTGTGATTGATAAATTACACAATTTGTGAGCAAAGCCACCCAATTCTTCTCTATTTGTCCTACTAGCCCACCAGGGAAAAGGGAGTCCCTCTATCTAACGGAGGGCGGCAGGGTGGCTTTTGACCAACTGTATCGTCTATGGGAGGGCGAGCTGAGGGTGGTCAGCACCGGTACGCCCTCTCCTCTCGTCCCGCTGCCCCTGGACTCTCAGAGACAGCTGGTATCTGACCTTCTAAACGTCTTGATCGGAGTGGCATCCACAACCTTCCCCCTTAATCAGGTGCATTTCATTACCCTTGATTTATCAGTCTCTTAAATGCTCTGAAATGAAAATGAGTTCTTATTTTAGGGGCCTGGTGGAGTTAAGTGATAAAATAAGGAATGAGGTCATAAAAGCCCTGTGACAGAATTTAATTACAAAAAAAAAACACAGACTAGCATAATGGGGCAGAAAGAGTGGCAAATCTGTGCATTTGCAATATAAAGCAACCCTACTGACTTATAAAAGTCTATTGACTGAAAACTGTAAAAAGACAACATAAGAGGGGCATTCAAAAGCACATGCATAAGATGCATTAAATGATGAACAAAGAATAATGCAGATGCAAAACCACATGGAAACTCTTCTCTAGTTTTCCGTTAAGTTTTCATACTTTAACAGAATTACAGCCAGTTATACCATCAGTTGAATCCTCATTCCCTGTTTGCTCAGTAAGCCTTCTATGGTCCCTCCTCTTTGCTAAACTTTGATCATCGCTATGCAGTCTGGTCCAAGAGGTAGACGGATATAATGAACACCTGTACAATGTTATACAATCTAATGCCACAGACCTGCATCATGCTGAGTCTATGAAGTGAAAGTTTTGCTCTGACTGTTGGAGAGTTGTTTATTAAAGTCAGAGGTAATCGTTGAGGCTGTGTTCAGTTGTGGTGCTGTGCTTATTGTCTCTGTTGTTGTTCTTACCCTCAGAAGGGTCCTGTCTAGGAACTATGCATCTATTTCTCATAAAATAAAATCCACAGGAAGGACAGTATATTACAAACATCTGATTATGTCTTGCAGTCTCAGTATAATAAAGAAACCAACACACTATATATTCAAAAATCACCATGGAGATGACTCCCTGAGAGTCTTAACAACAGCTCAATATCATAAGCTTGACTTTGCTGGAGGGCTACTTTATTGGATGTTATTAGATTAGCCCTTTGTATTTTTCTCCACCTTTTGTAAATATGTAATCTTCTTCCCAGAGTGTTCAGTTCGATGTCAGACCTGGAGTGTGCGTGTCCGGAGCCTCTATGGAAAGTGTGTCTCGTCTTTTAGGGGAGCTGGCACAGTATGGTACCTACTACCTGAGGCTCAGCCGCTTCTCTCTGCAGAGCGCTGACAAGAAAGGCCTCGTCTTCCAGGTACTGTTGTTTTGTTCAATGCTTAGAAACACAGTTGAGACTGCACGTTGTTATCCTCCCTTCTGAATTTTTAATAACCGTCATTGTGGCTGTCTTATTTAAAATCCCTTATCCAACCCTTAAAGGGCTATCAGCACAAATACACATCGATTTTACATTCAAAGATATAAACCTTCTAAAGATACAAATATCATTATATTAGTTAGAAGGTTTTAAAGGGTTGATGGCAGTGGATGATCTGTAGCTGCCCAATAACCACAAAGGTATGATTAGTCCAAAAGGCTAATCATGTAGAAAAACAACATTTTAATCAATAAATAAATTAAAGTGAGCCTTTCAGTGGTTTAATCATGATTTAAAATGACAGAACTTCTTCTCTCCAAGGCTTTTACTGGTGGTCTGCGGAAGTATCTGCACTACTACAGGGCTTGTGTTCTCAGCACTCCACCCACACTCAGCCTGCTGACTATCAGCTTCCTCTTCCGTAAAGTGGGCCGCCAACTAAGGTGAGGTCATACCTGTTCTCTAAATGCTGGTGTCAACTTCTAATTTCTAGTCTTTGAACCTTAGCAGCATGCAGTCAACAGTACGTTCACGTCCACGACAGAAAAGGACCTTGATGCAATATTATCAGATCACACACACACACAAAAAAAAAACCTGCTTTCTTTGAATCTAAGGTACCTGTCAGAACTGTGCTGCTTAGATGGGCCTTTGGGTGCAGGCCAGGGTACCTTCCCTGTGGTGAGCGCGCTTTTATCTTCAAACTGCGATGTGTCGTTTATCATGGCTGTGTTTAGCCTATCAGATGGGGTGTCAGCTCAGTGCCATGTTGTTCTCCTCAGGGTGTTAAACTGCTCTCCTACCTGTACAATGAAGCACAGAACAACTGCAGCAACGAGAACTATCCGGTGCTGCTGTCGCTGCTGAAGAGCAGCTGTGAACCATACACACGGTCAGTCACTGCTCTGCTCATCAAAACAAAATAATATATCCCAAGGACACGACCTTCCTCTATTGTTATGCAGAGCTTGCACAATTGATTTTTGTTTCTCTCTCCTGGCATTTCATGAGCGTGTCTGTCTGTTTTTACTGTGCTTCATTTAGGTTTGTCACTGACTGGGTGTACAGTGGCGTGTTTCGAGATGTTTATGGAGAATTCATGATCCAGGTCAATGAGGAGTTTCTGGGCTTTCGAGGTGAGACTGCACTTACAAACACACACACTCACATAAACACTTGGCCTCAGTCAGCAGGTTCTAAAAATGAAAAGCCTGCCAGACAGATTGTCGAGCGGAAAATAAACAATATTTCATTACAGCCTTTATTGCCTAGTTGGATTTGTCCTTGTTTCTGTAAAGGGTGTCATGAAGTTATTGGATGATAATCAGTGGGAAACAGAATCAGCAGCCGCAGCTGTGGAAACCAAAGCTATCTCTGGTCTGTGAGCCACAGGAACAAACACAAACAGAAAATGTTTCTTTATTCTTTTCAGTTTTTACACCATGCTGGTGAAAACAAAAAAAAAAACAAGCACGCAGTTATTCAGTTTGTTCTTTGATTTCTTGAATTGACCTTGACGAATCCACTACTGACGTTATACAAATGTTCCACCATGAATAACTTTAAGCTTTGAGGAGAGCAGAGGAGAACAGTGGAGACAGGAGGAGAGGATCCCTGCAGGGCAGATTAATACAGGCATGTCTGTGCTCCTCAGGGTTTAGGAGTTACAATTTAGGGCTTAAATAGAAAACAAAGTAGTTATCAAATAAACTGCAAATGTTTTCACCCTTTTTTAGGTAATGTTTTTTTATTTTTTTATTTTTTTTGCAAATAGAAAAATATGCCTTTCACATGATCAAATTAAAGAGCTAATATCATGAATTGACTTTTTTACACCTACAAAAAAAGAACTCCAAATAATAAATTGTTTGCCAAAGACTAAATTAATTAATACCATTTAAAAAAAAAAATAATAATAATAATAATTACTTACAAAATAGTTTTTCTCATCAAAACATTTGCTATTAGACGCAACTTTAATAACCCTTATGGCACTATGATGTATAAACAGACACTACTTGGAAAGCACAAGCATCATTTTGAACTGAGAATTTTTGATTGTTGTTTATAAATGACAGAAAACATGAAATGAACAAAAGGGGTCAGGACTTCAACAAATAACTGATAAATCAACAAGGACTGGTCAGCAGATATACACTTGTCGTTATAGTTAGTCAGTGAGGTCCGTAATCTCTCGGGTCATTTTTCAAAGTTAGAAGATATCAACATTTGTTGTTCTTGGTCATGTTGGATAGATTTGGGTTTTTCAGATAAACTCATAACTTATTGTCGTTGTGCACTATTTTTGTTACTATTTAAAGGTATTTTCTAGATCAAGAGATGAAACAGGAAACTGATTCGCAGATTAATATGTAATGAAAATAATCATTAGTTGAACCCCTGTGTGTGGGGAATGTTTAAAAAGTAATAAATAATCCAGATGAAATCCTTTTCACCAAACAAGCCCACACCCCGACTGTTTCACTCTGTCAGTATTCCATAAATATGGTTTTAAAACAATCATCAAATTCTATCTTAATATTGTATGTCATGCAACACTCCATTCAAGGTCAGACAATCACCTCAGCTTTGTCTGGCTGAGAGGTTCATTTGCTCATCGGCTACACCTCATCAACTCCCGCAGTGAACCTCTGCACTCCTCGCTCCCGCTTTTTGGAGGACACACAAATGTCATTGTTCTCCTCGAAGTCTGTTGGCCAGGGAGGCAATCAGTAGCTAAGCTGTCTTGGCAAGCCGCAGGCTTTTTTTGTAAAGGGCTCTGGTAGCTCAGTGCATTCATGTTCTCTTATGCTCAGGATCACTGAGCTAAGCGCTAACAATTTCCAAGTGTTAATGCAAGCGGCCAGAGTTTTTCCATGCCCCGTAAGTCATACTAATAAGGAAAAGTATTGGGCCGAGTGTTGGCTAAGTATTACTCCATCACTGTAAGGTTGTTTTTTTTTAACTGCTGTTGTGAGTGTAACACTGTTATCAGAGGCACAGGAGTCAAACTACTTCTTCTGAATTGTAAAACATCAGGTAACGGGCATCTTTGAATTTCTGCAGACAAACATTTCTGGGTCCAGGGGTACACTCTCATCTCGAAGGATGTGGAGGAATGTGTGCCCCTCTTCCTGCGACACATCGCCAACGACGTATACGTCTGTGGAAAGACCATCAACCTCCTCAAGATCTGCTGCCCGCAGGTTTGTTTCTCTCGTTTAATGCATTTATTCATGAAGATGAGATCTTTTTATGCAGATGAATCTCGTGTGAAGACCTCGATGATGATAAAAGTAGCCTTATCTAAATTATAATCTCTTACTTATTCAGCGCAGAGGGACTGTTGTTTGCAGTGAATGAAGTAGACTCATTACACACTGACCTCAGAGATGATCCTGATCTGCTTTTCTTGCAGTCAGCAGCAGGTCAATGTATTGTTTGATGCACTGGTTTTGCACTGACAATCACACATTCCACATTCACTCCACAATTTTCTACCTGCCACAGCAATCATTCTACCCATTTAGGAATCTATGCTGCCCAAAGGGAATTGGACAAATAATCAATAGTGTGACATATGAGGATCCAGGCTCTTGCAAAATGTCATCAATACCCCTGGATCAGTATTCTGATGAATTGTCCCGTTGTACTAAAGCAGAGGTGTTCGCGTAGTTTGTTTGTTGTGCAAATTTGAACTGTGAACCTTTCTGTTCTCTGAAGACTTTTACAAACATAGACAAACTTCATTTCATTTTTTGTCTTTGTGACATCACTACCATAATGTGGAGGGGTGGTACAGGGAGTCCAATTATCTATAAGTCTATCTATGGAAAAATGATTCTCAACTGTTCTGATAGAAGTGATTTCTCAGGTAAAAATATCCCCTTTTCTGATATCTGCAGTGGGAGGATTTTCTTTTCTCGGGGGGGGGGGGGGGGATATCAGTGTAAGCTGAATATTTCCCTTGTTTGGACTGTGGACAAATAAGACATTTTGAGATGTCATCTTGGAACTTGAGAGGTTATGATGAGTACTTTTTATACTTTCATGATATTATTACGAGATAGATAGATACTTAATTAATCCTTTGCAGGAAATAGTAGTAGCGGCTGCAATCACAATCAAGACGTTACGTGAAGACACCAGACAAAAAACATTTAGGCACAGAGCAATGTACTGTTTTAAATGGGGGGTAAAGTGTACATTTAGTTGTGAATTAATTAAGTTTGTTTGGTAAATGAAACCTAATCATTAAAATGTACCTGTTTATATAACATCTAATTGTTTTTTTTTTTTTTAAAGTCCATGACTTTGTCCTAGAATACAAGGTGATGTGTCCAATAACATTTGATATTTTGTCTTAACAAGTCCTGAACATAAAATGCAGCTGTCGTATCTAAGGGAAGGCAGAATGTAACACTTGGTATTTTTCTTCAAAAATAAAGTATTTAATTGATTATCAGTATCATTAGATCAAAGATGATATCATATTTTCTTTGAATTGATCATATCAGTCTGAAGCCTGATAGTCGTGCGTTAATATTTCTTATGCAGCGACTCCTGTCCCGGTGGTGGAGTTTATTTGCAGGCCCAGCACTTGGCTCCTAGCTGTGCTGTCATCGATGTGTGAGTGGTGCATTTATGTGAAGCAATTTGTAAAGTGCTTTGTACATTAAAGTAGAGAAGTGCTATATACATCTAAGTGCGGTCTATTTATCATTGACCATACTTAGAACTGCCTGGTGCCATGGTGAAAACATTTAGTACTTCAGATTGTCAAAGCATCATCAAGAGTGACCATGTGATTCCGGACACTGATGCCTGTCCATCATTTGTAAAAGCCTGAGACTTGTAGCTCTGAATATGAATATGAATAGACCCCTGAATCAACTTGATGCAGGTTAGCATTGTTTGACAGTTTTCATGAAGCCAACTGTTTTTCATTTCCTCACTTCTCTGTGACTCCCCTGCTGATTCACCAGCACACAGTGTTTGTTACGACTCGACCCACCTGACCCAATCTGCTGGGCCTCCGCTCCGGATTAATTAGAATTCTCTTCCTACTGTTTCTCTGTTTGCTAATTGCTACTGGTTTTGGTGTCTGTTATTTTCTGGACAAATTGAAGGACGGCTGTGTGAACCCCTGAGAATTAATAGAGTGACACATGAAGATAAATTTAATTGTTGATAAAGTGCTCAATTAATGATATCTTCTATTTAGTTCAAAGTGCTGGGGCTAATTTTCTTAATAATGACCTTTTTATTATGTGAAACCTTTTGGGTCTTTTGAAGTGTTAAAACATGATGTCATCAAAACCTGACATCAGTATTAAAACAACTGGCTTCCTCTGTCGTCTTACCTTTCTGTTGAATGTGTGTCCACAGCACTACATCTGCTGGTCGGAGCTGCCGGTGCCTCGCATCGCCGTCACCTTTTCTCTCCAGGAGGTGGAGGTGATCGAGAGGGACTGTGCTGTGTACCGGGGACGCCTGGAGAGGATCGCTAAGCACAGCGCCATCAGCAGGGAGGAGCAAGTACTGAGACACTCATATCGTTTACATCGTTTATCGTTCCTCCTCAGTGTATTTGACGAGCTTTGGCTCAAATTAACATAAACAAAGCTATTAGAACAGGTTCCATATAAGTAAAGTTTCAAAGAATTTGAAGTCTACATAGTTCATGACCTTAATTAAGAATGCCATGTGTCTCTTGTAGCTGACTTTGAAGGAGTTATGAAATTAAGAGTAGCCTTAACATTAACACAGTAAGTCATTGCACAATGTTATGTACCATGAGACAAAGGAGTAGGAGTAACTTTTATTTTTGCATTTTATAATCTATGAGGGCGACACTGCCCCTCAAGTACCGAGCAATGCAGTTGCGAGTCCTCCAAATGATGCAGCTGAACTCTGGTGTTTGCACACTGTGTGATTTGATGTATCAGCCTGATTTGTTGGGCTCTTGTGGGTGCTGCTGACTTGCAGCGGTGAGAGAGTAGGGGGTGAGGTGGATTGAGGTGAGGTGAGGTGTAGTACATGTGGATAGATCTGAAGATCTGTGTTAATCATGATGTCTTGTCTGTCTATTGTTAGGCTCAGCGAGCAGAGCAGGCACGCCAGGAGCTGATCAATCAGGTCAGAGAGTCGGCAGCCAAAACCCTGGAGAGCATCCGCGGTTAGTGTTACACTTACACACACCCACACACCCACACACACACACACACACACACACACGCGCCATGACTATAATTTGATACGGTGCTTGATGTATATGCACACCCCTACTCACTGAGTATGCTTTTAACAAACGACTGCTATGCACTCAGTTGTTGACTCTTGACTGCAAGAGTTTCCTGTATCTCCATTTATTCCTCTCAGGAGAGCAGCAGAGATGCACAGGGGGGATTACTTTGTACATCATCCAGTATTATGGGCAATGAAATCCAATCATGCCTTCGCACAGCGTAGCAAACTCTTGACATCACATAGTACTTCAAAAGATATGCGGGAATGTTTGTGGAAAAGTCTGCTCTTTGCATCTCTTAGCATGGGCCTATTTTTTTGTTTTTTTTTGTTTGTGTGTGTGTGCGTGTGTGGGTCTGAGGCAGGTGTTATGTTTGTTCTTTGTGTGGAGGTAAGCAGCCCCTCTGTTATCTCTCCCCACTCCTGCAGGGCGGCAGGTGTCACAGCGTCTGGCTGAAGAGGCCAAGAAGAGGGAGCGTTTTGAGGAGCTGAAACAGCACCTGGAGCAGGAGCAAGAGGTAGAAATGTGGGACAAGAAGAAAAAAAAAAAAAAGGACAGCGTAAAACATGCTGTGCGTGAATAAGAGTAACAGGTTTTTTAAAGTGTGCTTTTGCTCGTATGTGTTAGCAAGAGATATGTGTGAGCATGTGTCTGTCAGAGTGAGAGAAATATGATGTGTTAGCAGGATAGAGGCAAAGGCAGGGAAGTGTTTTTTTTTTTTTGATAGCAATCAAATGTCAAACCTGTAAACACAACTTCATGTTTCTTACAAGTGCTGAGGGAACATATCTGCTCTTTGGCTGCTAAATTCTCCACTTTGTTCACCAGCTAGCTCTACACTGTATGTTTGCTGTTTGGTGCTGAGCAGATAGGGCACAATAGGCTTCAGAGCTTTTCTAGACAACAACGCAATGACATGTAGCTCGCTATAAGCTCCTAAAAGCTAAAGTGAGCATATCCTTTATAAGCATACATGTTTATTATAAGGATATCAATTAGAGCCGCTTTATGTTATGTAAACATAACAATTTGGATTCATACACAACACCCACGGCTTTGATGCCCATTTTAGAAGCTGTAGGCATAAATATATGTCTGTGTGTGTGTGTGTGTGTGTGTGTGTGTGTGTGTGTGTGTGTGTGTGTGTGTGTGTGTGTGTGTGTGTGTGTGTGTGTGTGTGTGTGGTGTGTGTGTGTGTGTGTGTGTGTGTGTGTGTGTGTGTGTGTGTGTGTGTGTGTGTGTGTGTGTGTGTGTGTGTGATTGTGCTAGTGGCGGAGTGTAGCCAGGAGGAAGCAGGAGGATGATGACTTCAGCTTTGCCAGAGAGGTGAGGGACCGAGAGAAAAGACTACAAGCCCTGGAGGAGCAACTGGAGCAGAGAGCCAGGTCTGACTGATTTCACAGCCGCTACTTCAGATGTAAATGTTTTAATGATGACTGATTCATCTCTGATTTTGTTAGAATACATTTTATTTAAAAAAAAAAGTAAACTGATCAGGGTAAGCATGATTGGACATCAGTTCCATCTGTGCATGATATTTCAGCATTTTGACTTGGGGCCCGATTTCCCATGCAATTGGGGACAAGCATGTGATGCCACAGCTTGCACAAATGTGATGAGAGTCGGTAATGTGAGCACAGCGCCAGCGGATTTCTATCAGACGGTTTGAAGTATTTAATTTGCTTTACAAAGTTACTTTGAAGTAAAAACCCAAACGGCTTTTTCCCTAATTATTACCCAGGAGCTTTCTTTATCATTACTGGAAGGCAGATTTATGTGTTGACAATTTCTAAGATTTAGATACCTTATTATTTAAGATGTACTCTGAAAATAATCCCTTTCACTTCTGAAAAAGAGATTTTCATTGAGGAAAAAAATATTTTAATTTTACTTTGTACAAGCCGTTTCATATTATTGGATACTAGAATCTAGATCACTAAGAGGCTGATGACTGCTTGTGAAAATTAGCAGCACATATGGCAGACATACACTGACAGTATATGAGCCCCACATATAAGCCTGTTGCCATCAAAGCTTTAGATTACACCTCATGGAGGAGAATGAACTTTGATTACGAGATGATTTGAACTCAAATTTAAATATACGTTTACAAGTGTTTGAATTATCCATCACTTGTAAGTGTGTTTGGAATATCAGATCATTTGGTCGCAATCAGCCGATCTTTCTTTAGCACGAGCGGTGACTTAAAGATTTTGTAGTTCTTATCAAAGTTGAGTTTTAAATATGAAGCAAATGTAATCTACCTCCTGATTAAAGGGCGCAGTAAATGACCCCATAAGTAAGAGGTTACATATCTGACCTTCAACAGTAATGTGTCCTGACATAAAAACACCAGTGATGCAACATGTCGATTGATTGATCAGCAAAAAAACAAAAAGGAATTAAATGTTTGCTTTTGAGTTTTTTTTAAATCAAAAAGCTACATATTTGGCCTCTTTCATACTTGATTCATTATTTTCTGGTTATTTAGTCTTCAATGGCTATAAACTGACTGTCTTTGGGATCTAGACTTTTAGCCTAACAAGACATGTGGTTCAGAACATCCGACTCTCTCATACTGTGTTTAACATTTTTCACTCTTTCACTATTTGTCACCATGGATTAATTGTGAACATAATCAGCATACTACTCGATAATGGAGATAATTGTTAGTCTGCCGCTCTGGTGTACATTAATCATTCCTTGACAAGAATGTACTGCTCTGGAGAACTCCCTCCGCTAGGTTATTGACTTAGTGCTCGTATGCTACTCCACTCACATGGTAGGAAGGAGCTGATTGCTCAGTACAGCCATCTGTCGGAGGAAGCCGCTCGCAGAGAAAGGCGGGCCATGTGGCGGGTGCAGCGAATGAGACTTCATGAAGCCCGGGCTCAGTTCTTTATTCATGACGGGAAGCAGACTCAGGTTTGTAATGAATAAATAATTGGCATAAAAACACACACATGCACACACCCACACACACACACACAGATTACAAAGAAAAGATGATAAAAGAGAATGTAATTATAAAATGAAAGGGAGGTAATTCTAACAAAAGCTCTCATGACTTCTTTCCAGGCAATGCTGGAGAAATATCCTTTAGGCCAGGAGAGACCTCCCATGGAAGCACTACCATCTGTTCACTCAGTGCAACAGACTGCACCACAGCCAACGCTGGTATGACAACACACTGGTTTTTAACATGGATCCTCATTTCTTTCCACTTCATCACATCCATTAGAAGTGTGTCTAGACATCCTCCTTTGTATCTTCCTCTTTACAGGAGGATCTTTCTGAGCAGCAGCATGCAGAGCCTCAAGAACCTGATACGATGTCACCACCGTCTCACCTTACATTAGACCCAAACCTCATCTCTGAGAACATTGACGTCAATGATTTTCTCCCCAAGTCGCCAAATCCTGACAGTCAGCAGGTGGATGTGGCCCTGCATGAGATTGGATCTGATCTACCTGAAGTGTGTCCCACAGCACAGTTGGTAGACTATGACTTTAACGCCCCCTTTAGTCCACTGGAGGGTATCACCGGCCAAGTCTCTGCCCCGCCCCGGCCTCGCTGGGGACCTGCAGTCCAGCCTGACCACCCTTCTTTTTCTCACATCCAAGTAGGAGAGAATGTGTCTGAAGTTCAGGAGACTGTCCCCAAAGCCAGCTCCTTCGGTCAAGCCACCAAATCCAGCTTTCCTTTGGGCCAATACACCTTAGAAGGGACTCAAAAAACATCTAAAGCAAACACTTATGGACATCCGTCTCAAGCGTCAGTGCAGCTAGTGGATAGTAGTGGCTCAAAGACTGACGACAAACAAGCAGATGCTGCATCTAAGACAGAAGAGAAGTCTGAAACAGGGACCTCCAGGAGTAAAGACGACGTAAAGGAAGACGAGAGAACTATAGAAGTTAATGTTGATGATATTGAACCAGCTGATCACAGCTTAGTTGCTCAAGATAAAGCCAGTGAACGCATTTCTTTGCCAAACATTCATGTCTCTGATGCAGACCTTAAAGCTGGAGAGCTGGTGTCAGATGCTGTTGCTACACAGCCTTCTCCGAGCAGCCATGGTCATTCTTCTGATGCTCACATAAAAGTTGGACAGTTTACATCAGAGATAACGACGTCTCTTCCTTCCTCAAACGCGCACGGTCATTCCTCAGATTCACACATCAAGGTTGGAGAACGTGTTTCCGAGGTGGATTCTCCTCTATTTTCCCAGAGTGCTCATGGTCACTCCTCTGAAGCTCACATTAGAGTTGGAGAAAACGTTTCAGATTCCGTCTTCCCTCTCCCTTCTCAAAACGTCCACGGTCACGCCTCGGATTCCCACATCAAAGTCGGCGGACATGTTTCCGATGTAGGCGCCTCTCTTCCCTCCCCCAGTGTTCACGGTCACGCCTCAGATTCCCACATTACAGTTGGAGAAAATGTCTCTGACTTTGTCGCGCCGCTTAGCGCTCCGAGCATCCACGGTCACTCCTCTGATGCTAATATAAAAGTAGGCGAGTATGTGTCTAACATAACTGAAGATAGACCTCGTTGGAGTCAACATGGGCACGCCTCCGACGGCATCCTTCAGTCAGGCTGTGTGGTATCTGGAGATGAACCCGCCTTGTCTGCTCTACCAGGAAGCTCTTATGGACACTCCTCAGACTCAGCTTTGGGTCTTGGGTGTTTAGTTTCAGGACATGAACCCAAACGTTCTCCTCTACCTGGCAGTGCTCATGGACATTCTTCAGACTCAGCTTTGGGTATCGGATGTTTAGTCTCAGGAAATGAACCCAGACGTTCTCCTCTACCTGGCAGTGCTCATGGACATTCTTCAGACTCCAATTTAGGTGTCGGATGTGTTGTGTCAAAAGCTGATACCGCTCAATCACCTTTACCGGGCAGCGCGTACGGCCACTCCTCGGACTCAGCGCTGGGTGTGGGTTGTGTGGTGTTGGGGACGGAGCTGCAAGCCGCTGCGCTACCAGGCAGCATGTATGGCCACTCATCAGATTCTACACTTGGAGTCGGGTGTGTGGTGGGGGGTAAAGGTGGTGAAACTCAGCAGAAGGCAGAAAGCAATGAAGATGGTAAAGGTATGGAGTAATATTTAATGATATGTAGTTCTTTATAAATATGTTGGTTGGAGACTTCGTTCTAATCTCTTCGGCATCCATTACTTAAGTTCTTTCCACTGTGTAATATTTGGAGGATGTCACTTTGACTAGTAGACTCTGATTCTCAGATCATTGATTGATATTTCAGGTAGGATTCAGTTATAAACCTGTTAAAAAGTGCTATACTGAAGGTTGTTAGCCGTGCAATAATGTCTGCATACTGATCCTTTACCAAGCTCTAACCCCTCCAGTATAAGAAAGGGAATTTCTCTAAGTTGGACTTTTTTGTTGTCTAACATCTTGCTTCAGGTGCTCAAAGCTTCAGCGAGCAGCTGGCCGAGAGCATGGGGTCCTGGGCAGCTGGCTTTGCTTTGACCCCTGGAGAGAAGTCGGAGCAGGATTACCTCTTAGCTTTGTCTGCACATTACCAGGTGGAACACTACGAGGACTGCTACAACCTAATGGGTAAGTTGAATATATGTCATTATGCCAATAGAAGCGTTAATCTTTTAGATTTATTTTTGGGCTTTTCGTGCCTCCTACCTGGAGAGATAGGACAATCGGAAATCAGGGAGAGAGAGAGAGTGGGGAATGACATGCAAGAAAGGAGCCACAGGTGGGATTTGAACCTGGGCCATCCGTTTGAAGGACCAGATTCAAGATTTTTATTTGTCACATGCTCATACAGATGTGCAGTGAAAAGGAGGCCTGAGTTTTATATTAAGGAGAGTGTTATGAGGGTAAGTTCTCAGTTAACAAAAATCTTGAATTTTTTTGAGTCATATCTTTGAGTCATTTTTAAACAAATTACAAAAAAATAGCTAAAGTTAAAATACTGCTTCCTTTTTTCAGTGGACAGAGATTAGATAACACTCAACATCTGGCGCACCTAAAACAAAACATAATGTACTGTCAACAGTAAAACTCTAGGAGTTGTAAATGGACTCTCCTTTTCTATTGGCTGTAAAGTCTTACGTTTTTAAATTTAAGAGGTAGTCTAAAGTTTTTAATTTTGATGAGTACGAGCATATCTACACGGTCAGAGATGAGTCGTTCAGTATGTGCGCACTGTTTGCTCCCCGATGTCTCCCAAACAACGTAATGAGAAATGAAACACCTTTTGAGACACAGAAAAACATCATGTCAAAATGCATGAATGAAAATGATACACCTTTCAGCTTGGCGGAGCTTATTTCATGTAAATTAAAACATGTTCAGGAGTGATGCTTTTCCAGAGCCTGTTAAATATTTACTCCCTCAGCAGCCACAGGGCTTGCATAAAAAGCGGTGATATTTCATAAGGGCATTAGGTCTGGTTTATTTTGTGTAGGATGCATCATGGCGCGTTGAAGTAATATCTTGTCTTCTCCCCTTCTGCGTGCGGAGTTCAGTCATGTTGTTATTCATGCAGCTTCCAGGGTCTCCGTGAAATCAATCAGAATCTAGTCATCCGAAAACATCTTCCACACTACTGATCAAAGTCAGGAGCCTTAATGTTTTACAGACTGTTACAAAGTACAGGGAGGGGGAACAAAATAAATGACACAACTAAATATATGGTGCTATTGAATGAAATCTCCATGCAGTAAATAAATACTGGAGAATGTAAAGTCCTTGTGTTTTATTTGGTGTTGTGATTGTTTTAGAGATGTTTTGATTCATATTAGTGTGAATTAAGAGAGAGTCTTTATCTGCAGTAAACATTTATTTTCAGCTTTCAATCACTTGGTAATTTTTCTGCATGACCTTTATTTAATTTTGTTCATATAACATGTACTTATTCAAAATAGTTAAAAAGCCCAAGTTCACTTATATGGATATATGTCCTGGTTTGTCTTTAACTCAGTCAGATGTCCAAAAATGAGAAGTCTGATGATGAAGACTAATAAATCATGTAAATAAGAACAGCTGAGGAAATGAAGAAAAAAAAAAGGTTTTGGCATTTTTCATTAAGTGAAATTAGTCAAAGGATAAATTATTTATCCAAACTTTTGTTCATCTAATTGTTTCAGTAACTTGTGTGTTTCTTCAGGCTCATCATTTTGGCTACATGTATTATTATTTGGCTCCTGTTTCTCTTTCACTCGTCTTTACCTTTTTTTTTTTTTTGTTCTCTTCACACTTTTTAATGCAACACAGTTTTTCTGCAGTGGTGAGAGCGATCTGTATTCAGCCTGTCCTCTCCCTCTCACACAGCTTCTTCCCCCGAGTGTCAGCTGCTGAAGCAGGTAACTCGGGGTCCCTGGGGCCTCCCAATGGACCCCACACTCCGCAAAGCCACAGACACCACGGCTGTCCAACTCAGCGAGATGGTCTCCCTGCCAGTTCTGATAAAACACTCGGTCACCGCCCCGCTCATCACACAGTGAGTGTCCGCCTGACAGAAAGCAGCAGCAGCAGAAGGAGGAAAGGGAATGTTTGGTGTTAGTTGGAAACGGCACATTTATAAGCACATTTACAAGTATCTGTGAGGCTTTTCTGCAGGGGAGTGCAAGTTAAAGCTTTTTACTTTTTCTTTTGGTTTTTCTGCTACATCAGGCAACTTAAACTGTACTCGAGTGCACATTTGTCGCTGGAGGAGTAATTTAAATACTTATTACCTTCCATTTTCCCATTCTTGTTGGATCCCTTTTCTTTTTGAAATTCCATCAGAACTCGTGACAAGCCTGTCAGTCTTTGCCTACAATGTTTCTGCACCCTGTGCAGTTTAACCTGCGTGAAGAAATGGCTCTCTAATCCCTCTCTGCACAAAGGGAGGATGTCGTATATTCACTGATTGGAATCCATAGCTCTCCATTTTGAGCAAAACATTTGTATGCCAAGCTAAGACTGTTTGATGTTTTTTCATTTATCTTTCCTCTGCCAACTTTTCAAATCAAGAAACCCTTCCCTTAGTCCCACTGTGACATAAAAGGGAATTGATGACGGGTATTATAATATAATAAAGGACTAAATAGTGAAAAGTAGTATATACTTTGAGCTTCCTCCATCGTCCTGTCATTTTCACAACATGAATCAAATTAGCCAGTCAGCAACATTTCAGTCTTTTCCCTTCTAATCACGGTCATTCTCTCCTCCACCTTCCAACCCGCAGTGTGTCTCTGGTGAACAAGGCTGTGGTGGACTACTTCTTTGTGGAGTTGGGGGTGGAGAGACACTTTGAGGCGCTGCGCCACTTCCTGCTGATGGAGGATGGCGAGTTTGCTCAGTCGCTCAGTGATCTGCTCTTTGAAAAGGTGAAGCTCCTCATCTATATGCATAATGAAAATGGGTCATAGGTGGTATTTTCTATAGTTAAAATATGTTCTGGAAGAGATCCTGAAAGGGTTAAGTGTGCTGCTACATCTTTGAATTCAGTAGATTTTAAACCGCACTGCATACGTTTGATATTTTCTGCAAACAGGCGCACCTTTCAAAAAATGAAATGTCAGTGTTTGGAAACAGTCAAAACTGAGCTGAACTAAAAGCTGCATTAAAGATAAGTTTGAATAAATAATGGATTAAATGTCAATATGTAATACAGAAGGGGTTTCTCATTATTGCAAACCTACAAATGTTTAATAACCTCAACCCTGCTGTCAAATGCAAACTCATGGAGCTTTTCAGCACCCTTAATCTCATTGTTTTGGTTTACGGCCTGCAGCTTTACTGTTTTTCTTCATTTCATACTCTCTTATCAGCTTTATTTCCAGGAGAAAAAGACGGATAGTTTTCTCTGTTTTGGTTGAATTTGCCATTATTTTAAAGTAACATCGTTAGATAGACATGATGGCAGACAAAAAATTCACCCCTGATATTGCAAAGTTTACGGTTGCTCATTTATATACTTGGTTGATAGCAAGCAAACTCCATTGAAATCATATTTGTTGCCCTGTAAGAATTTCAGTCCAATCTTCACGCTTCTTTTTTTTTTTTTTTTTGAGTTTCATCTTTTTGATCTCTCACATCTCCTGAAGGAAATCTCTGTGTCTGCTTAATACTCCACTATGTTTGGAGCTCTACAGGTACTTTACAGTTGTTTTATAACTTTTTTTTAAACTAAAAACAGGTGCCTGATGCAGATGGTGATAAGCCTCTTATTGTCTACAAGCATCTTTCACATATTTTCTTTTTTCAAAATTTGTATTTCAGACATTGGTAGTACAAAGATATTCTCTAAGATTTTGTTTTTAAATGTCTACCTCCGGGTGTTTTTTTTTTTAGTACATGATGCCTCACTTCTAGATCTCTTCTCTACTTGTGTCAAGCCCGAGCTTCCTGCTGTGAAATAACAAGCACAGCTTCTGCTAACACCTTAGTGCTGCTGTGCAGAAACATCCGCGTGCACCTGTCTCCTGAGGCTCGTGAGACAGAAGGTTTTTTGTTCCAGCCACACACACTTCACCAGCTGATTCCACTGATGAGCACACCTTCAACCAGAAAGCCAGCCGATCATTGTAATCATCTACCCGTGGTGCTTGTTTGCAGTGAAAATGTTTACAGCAAATTTGAAAAAGCAGGTGTAGATATAAGGGGGTAGTTATCCATAGTTAGCATTTTGTAATGAATTAAACTGGTGTCTCCTGCACACAGCTGGGGAGTGGACAGACCCCCGGCGAGCTGCTGACCCCGCTGGTCCTGAACTCCATCCTCAGTAAGGCCCTGCAGTACAGCTTACATGGAGACACACCTTTAGCAAGCAACTTCACCTTCGCCCTGCGCTTCCTCCCGGAGACCTTCCATCCACACGCCCCCGACTCCCTCAACTGTCTGGAGCTGCGCTACAAGGTGAGGATTTGTGTTTTTATCTGAGTGAGTCACAGAGTGTGTACGCTAGGCATGAGTGGCAGCTTGAATATGACAACCTGTCATGTCTTGACAAACTGCTCTGGGCGTGAAAAAATTAGCTTATCGCACACTTGAAACGGTTGAACGTCGCAGATTGATTGGAGTTGGTTCCTTTGGATGACATGCGCTGTGACTAATGCATTTATTGTCCTCTGCTGTTGTTCTCCACCCTCCTATCTCTCCCATGACTTTTCTCTCCTGCTTAATCTCAACTGTTTACTTTCTTTATCTCATGTCTCACATGTTTTTTTTTTTTTTTTTGCTGTTTTCTCCCCATACGTCTTTCCTCACTCCCCCTCCCATCTTTTACCACTCCATCTTACCTTCACATTCCTCTCACCTCCTTCATCAACAACCCTGCACCCACACCTTCCTCCCCCTCCCACTTTCTTTTTACTCACCCTCATCTGTCACTCTCCCTTTACCTGTTTTCCCAACTTTTCTTTCACACTTGTTCTAACACCTTCCTTCCCATTTCTTTCTTTCTTTTCGCCTCGGTGTGTCTGTCTGCTTTTTCCTCCTCATCGTCTCCCAGGTGGACTGGCCGTTGAACATCATCATCACGGACAGCTGCATGAACAAGTACAACCGTCTGTTCTCGTTCCTGTTGCAGCTCAAACACATGGTGTGGAGCCTCCGCGAGGTCTGGTTCCACCTCAAGAGAACAGGTGAGAGCTTTTGATGCCGGCCCAGCTCAGACTCCAGCTTTCCTCTATGAAGGAAAGATTCCTTAAGATATCTCCAGTTGTGCCTCAACTGTTTATAAAATATTTATAAAGGGAAACACTGTGAGTCCTTTATGTTTTATTCATACAGAGAATATGTAAGCGAGTATATAGATTGACATCTTGAAGGTAAATAGAGTCTTCAATTATTAGAGGGGTGTGAACTTGAGCAATTCAAACTTTATTATTACTGATCACAAGGAGAGAATGTGGATGTTTTCATTATTAAGCACTCCAAATGCATTTTAAAGTTACTTTTATTCAAATTGGACCACAAGAAAAAAGTATAAAAAAATAGAATAGCCAGGCTCTGTTTTAAACGGATATAAATGATACTTGTTTGCAATGTAATTGACTTCAGACCTGTGTGATATAAAAAGGAAACAGGTCTTTTATAAAGCGAAGCCTGTGAGTAGTAGTTATGACTAGTTCCCACTTCCCACCTTCTGTTTTCCCTGCAGCGCTGGTGAAAGGCGCCGGCCGCTCGGTGCAGTTCCGTCAGCTGCAGCTGTACAGACATGAGATGCAGCACTTTGTCAAAGTGATACAGGGATACATCGCTAACCAGATCCTGCAAGTGTCCTGGAGCGAGTTCACGGCCAAGCTGGCCACGGCCAGTGACCTGGACGCCATCCACCGCACACATGCAGACTACCTCAACAGAGCCATCTTCAGGTGAGAGCTGGGATGAAGAGTAGAATGAAGCATTGCTGTATAATGCCTGCTGTTTATCCCTATGCAAAGCAAGGTGGTGTTTGATTTTTATTGTATTTTTTGTTTTTTTTACTGCAATCCATTTCATTGTTGGAGATGCAGCTTGATAAGATCAAATGTCCTTTATACTTTGTTGATTAAATGATTGGTTGGTTGATTGATTCTATCAGATATCAGTAAATTAAAATAATTTCTATCAGTCATTTCCAAAGTTGACAAAATGTGTCCTTAACTTTCTTGATTTGTCAACGACCCAAAGAATTCAATTTATTTTTAAAAGAGAAAGAAAATATTCACTTTTTAGAAGCTGAAATCAACAGATGCAATGTATGTAATATAAGAAAAACTAATGTTATTCGAAGAATCATTTTGCCTGTGTCAGTTCCAGAGTCTGGAGGAGTTGAGATACGGTGTAAAATGTAAAAAAATCATACAGAACACCGCCATTTGCTAAAGCTTTAAACCCTAGATTGAATTGAAAACAAATCACACAGACTAGATATCTCATGCTCAAACTTATAAACCATCTTAATTTGACGCCTTCAAATATTATTTTCATTTTACACGACATCTGAGCCTTTTTGATATAAGGTTATCACATTTAATAATTCCAACTGAGTTTGTGCGACTGGCCTTATGTTCTTATGTTCTTATGTTCTTATAGCCTTATGTTCCTTATGTTCTTGATAAAAATGATTCTAATGAGGAGCTGCAATAATTAGTCAACATTATTTCACAGTTTACTGAAGTTTGACAGTTTTTACACTCAGGGAGGTTTGCAGAATTGAAATCTTTACACTCTGGTATCTGATAACAGTGAGTTGTGGTGTCAGGTATTTGGCAGTGAATTAGAGCAGTATGTCACCCAGAATAAAGCCTCAGAACTTTTTATATGTGATCCCTTTTTTTAAAAACATCTTCAGCTCAGGTCCAGATATTTTTTGGATTTCCTTTCAGTCATTTGGTCAACCAACAAAAAGTAATATACAGGACAGAAGTCATTCATGGGGTGCTAGCTGAGCAAATGTTGATGTTTGCCCAATTTCTTCCAATACACATTATTAACAATATTAACTTTGACTGTTTAGTCCTTAAAACATAAAAGATGGAAAATCTTCATCACCATTCTTTAGATCCATGTTTTATTCCGGGTAGTTTATAGAATTGTCTATAATGTGAAATTTCGATATTTACAAATACATAATGTACCGGTAAATGTGAAATCCCTTTGATAATCCTCATTTGCAGGTATTTTAGGTACAGCACAGATGTTTTAATTAAAATATAAACAGCAAACCCTGTTTTACACCCTTGTCATTTCAGGCTGAAACACCACAAAATGCATGAAAAATAATTTCTTCCTGCTCCGTACGGGCAAAGAAAGTTGAAGAAGCACCCTGTGCACACATAACTACACATGGAATTAATTCAGCCTTCTCTTTACAAGTTAATTAAACCTCCAGCTGTATCTGAGGCCAACTTTTTAACCCCATGAATGATTTAATCTCATTAGGTGGGCTTGTCAAGTATCACACTTTCTTGTGTTTCATTCGAGCCCTCCTCTCAAAGCCATTTCAAAGTTCCTTGTCGTGTTCCTTTAACTCTGCACTCTTGACTCCCCAGAGGTTTGCTGACAGAGAAAGCTGCTCCGGTCATGAACATCATCCACAGCATCTTCAGCCTGATCCTCAAGTTCAGGGCCCAGCTGATCGCACAGCCCTGGGACAGCCAGCAGGGGGAGGCGGTGCACCCCAGCTTCATCGCCATGCAGCAGTCCTACAACACCTTCAAGTACTACTCCCACTTCCTCTTCAAAGGTGAGCACGGATACACTATTCTAGTGAGGTTTATTTCAATCCATCTAGTTTTCAAATTCAAAAAAAAGAATCCAAATATGAAGCTGGACTGATCCTGTCTTGTTACAAGTATTTGTATTTCGTAGTTTTGTAGAATGATTCTGTGGTATCTTGGTGTAGCTATAATCAGTCAATCAAACGATGTGTTAAGAGAATCCACTTCACATGAATAATACATTCAAAATAAAGGTGGCAACAATGAGCTAATTCCAGCCACCTGAAGTGATTGCTAATTCTCATTTATATTTAAACACATTTATGTTTTTATTTATGAAGGTATTAAACGTGGATTGTCTTGTAATATTAAATGGTAAAGTATTTAATTAAGGGTTGTCACCTTCTCTCAGAGTGAGTGTTTAACAATAGTTCAGGTTCATCAGCGATTAAGTAGATTGAATTAAAAAGATTGTGAGTATAGAACATATGTACACCAATAGTTTTTTGTTGTTGTAGCAAAGTGTTCTGTGTGTTAAGCAATTGGTTTTAAAGATACATTTACAACTTTTTAGGCCTGTCTTCAAAGTCACACTTGTAAACACAACATTCAAACTGGGCGCCTCCTCCTGGGCTCATCACCACCTGAAGTGACCTGAGAACAGGCATTTTACATTTGTTGAAATGGAAAAGTTAATAATTTAGCATGCTAGCACAAGCTAACCGCTGGTGTTTGGCACCTGCCTGTCAACAGAAAACCGGCTCTGCGTCGGCAGGCGAAAGCCAACCCAAGGTTCACCTCACTATGTTTTCTCTTCTTAGTCACTACATCCACATGTTTGCCGGTTTGAATTTTGTCCAATCACTGAAAGGTATCCACTCTTAAACTCACCTGAGTGTTGTCATTGGCTGAGGGAAATAAAATAAAAACATGAAAACAAAGGCAGAGAGGACAGGATCTCTGCAGACACAGTCAACACCACACACTTTTGTTGAGTGATGATTGAGTAGCATGACTTTTTTATAACTGGTTTTTTTTTTGATGAAAAAGCTACCGACTCTTAAAAGTTATGATTTCATCGGATGATTTACAGGAAAATGTCACTAATCGATCTCTAACTGGCACTTTAGTTTTACATATGTCCCTTTAATTAAGTAGTCGAGGAAACATCAAATGAAACCTTTATAAAATGAACACCTCTAATCACAACTGTATGTACAGGTTAAACCAACTTCTGAAGCAGTTAGAGAGTGACTCGTGATTCTTTTCTCGTCTCACAGTGGTGACTAAGCTGGTGAACAGAGGCTACCAACCTCATCTGGAAGATTTCCTGCTACGAATCAATTTTAACAACTACTACAAAGACTCCTGAGCGAGGACCGCTGCTGTAAGTGTTCAATGAGCTTAGCCTGAATAATACACACAATACAGGCTGTTTAAAAAATAGTCAGCAATGCAACATTGTGTACATGAATGCTAATATTTTTAAGAATCTCACATAAGTGTGTTTAAGAAAGAAGACAGATTTGAAAAAAAGTGTTTTTCATCGCCTTTTAAAGAAAGGAAAATGAATACCCACCTGTACTGAATATCAGGGCATGGATTGTAAATCACAACCTCTTCTAAAAATCGATGTGCAGGACATTCACAGCATGTAGCTTTACATTAAAAATGATGTGCTGCCAAAGTCTGTAAGTGTGATAAGCTGACACCGTGTGTAATGTCCAAAGTGCTCCAGCATGCCTCCAGCCCTGTGTGTATAAATGTAATGTCGATTACATGTAAATAAAAGAGCTAATGTTGCCTTTAATAACAGCTCTGTCTGGTGTCAAAGTTAAAGAAAAGAAAAAGAAGCTTCTTCAGTTAGAAAAAAAAAAACATTATATTTATTAAAGATTGCATGTTAACATTGATTTTAGAAAATGACAAATCAAGTGCAAAGCATTATGGGTAGGATACTTTACACCAAGAAAAACAGAAGAGGAGAAAATGTAGTCCTTTCTATTTTACACTGAAAAGTCTTTTCTACACCATCAGTACCCAGATTTGTCCTGACTTCATTACCAACTGAACACACATGTTTTTCAGGACTTAACAGCACAGCTGTAAGAAGTGTAATGTGCGGCTGCAAACACACGGCGTTATAGGGTTTGGTTGGCTGGATGCCATTTATCAGAGGTACAAGACAGGCTACAGGCTGCGTCCGTCATGAAACAGGACACATTAGCCGACGCTGTGACTGACACACTAAGCGTGTTTGTTTTCATTGCTGTAGTTTAATTACAGGTTTGGTTAAAGTACTCAACCAGCACCTGAGGAAGGAGGGTAAGAGTCTACTGAATGGGTGACATTTTCAACACCTTCACATCAGGCAATGGGAATGGGAGAGATGAGTAACCGTTATGACTTTAGGAAATGTCGGACATTTTGGAGAATGTGTATGCGGCCTCTGGTTGAAAAAGAAGAACATCCATAGCAATAATATCTGTTCCTAAAGCACATGGCTACTTGTTAGCTTAGCACAGAGTGTTAAAAGGGGGTTATTGGTTAGCCTGAAACAGTCACATGGTACCAAATAACTGCATTATACAGGTGTTGAATAGAACAGAATTACTTTATTGATCCCAAACTGGGAAATTGTGAATTATTACTATTGGATTTTGTGTTTTAATTTCTATCAGCTGGAGTCCAGCACCAGCAAATGTTAAATTGCTGTTTAGGCATGTTTACCCCAACAAAATATGCACTGTTACTTTTTGATGTTTTCATATGGATTTTTACACCATTAGTCAGAGCAAGGCCAGCTATTTCCCGGGTTTTGCTCCTAAGCTAACTGGTAACAGCTTAATTTGTATTGGACAGATGTGAGAGTGCTATCTTTATTCTTATGTAAGTCTACACCAGATAGCCAGTTTGTTTATTCTCCAAAATGTCAAGCAATTCTTATTTATAATTATTTTCCACCATCAGGCTGTCCTTGTGTAATATTTGTTTCTGACAGAGCAGAAAAAGCAAGCAGACAACCAAAAGCACACTGGTCAACTCAATTTCACTGCAACAATCACCGTCAGTCAGTGGTTTTGACCTCATCTGGATTCCACGGCACAGACATGTCGTATTCACAGATTTCTTAACCGACTTCCAGTGACCAATGAGATTTGTGCTGGAGCTCAAGTAAGCTGAAATGGATCAAAACTGAACTGAAAAGTTCAAATTAAACGGGTAATTTGCATTTCCCTCAGTTTTTTTAATGTCTTGACTAATGTCCAAAAGAGTAAATTGCATTCAAATGAATTTCTAATACCCTACATGTATGACTAGTAATTCAGATGCTTAGTGGTGAGGTTTTAATCTCCGGCGAACGAAGGAGAAGGAGTGAATGCTATTTAATCGTGCACTGCATCAGTCCCAGCATATCGGCTCCAAAAGCTTTTAAAGAGCCCATATTATGCCCTTTTTGGGGTTCGTATATTTAATCTATGGACCTACTTTTGTACGTTCACAATGGATAAAGTTCGAAAAAAGTGTCTGTTTTCATATACTGCTCCTCCTTGCTCCCTCTACACTCTGAGTCTGTCAGCTACGCTCTGTTGAGCCCACACTGTTAGACCCCACGTGGGCCAAGTCTGCTCTGATTGGTCTGCCGATCCGCTCTGTCGTTATTGGTCAGATGCTCAGCACCCGTCTCGGAAATTTCAACATGAGCTGCAGGGCTTGCCACAACGAGCCAATGGGCTTAGATCAGTGATCTCACACTGACAATGACGTCGGACTGACAGATTTTTATCGAGGGGGGCTAGAACCGAGCGTTACATGCGGCTAATGCTACAGCTAATAGGAGGACGTAGGAGAAGCCGCGTTTCTGCTGACTTTGAATTTTTGCACATAGATGTGCCTAAACATGCACAGGACACTTAGAAAACACACTAAAGTGCATATAAAACCAGAAAAAGCATAATATGGGACCTTTAATGCAGGCAACTCTGATTACACATCATACAGACACTCAAACAGTTCATATTTACAAAGGCTTTCAAGAGAGAAGAGTGCAACCTATGTTTACTTTTAGTGAAGAATAATTTGGACAGCTCGCTGGAACTCTGCATGCACATTATCTTAAGACTTGTCAAGTACCGGTAGAGGAGTCTAAATGTAGAATATGAGTTAAATTCAGTTGAACAGGATTGCTTTAGAGAGTGGCAGAAAGATCAAAACTGTTCAAATTTCTCTTTCATGCCCGTTTTGTCCAATGTAAAATAATAAGGAATACATAAACAACATTTTAGACCTTCATCATCTTAACAGTTTAAGATCCTTCAACTTTCTGAATAAGTGCATTCTGCAGCCATCAAGCATTGTTCAAAGGAAGTGCAATGTCATTTTGTACACAAATAAACAAGAAATAAATGCCAAAGTAGTTGCATACAAGTTAAACAATGTAAAGGAAGAAAGTCCGACTCAAAGACTATGTAAACCGTAAATGGAATGTAAACCTATACTGAAGCAAATGATTCACCACCGTCTTAGATGTCTTAAAATATTAGAAGACAATGAAACATAATCAATACCTATATAGTTTCCCTTTTCATGTAAGTACCATCCACAAGGGTTTAAAACAAATCCAAACACCCATGTTGCAGTCTGACCTTAAAAAAGCAGATCTAATGGGAGTGCCCAAAAGATGTGCTTTTAGATCCACGTAACCCCCCCACACCCCCCCCGCCAAAGTCTTCTGCTCTCATTACAGCAAAAACACTGGAGATCTAGTAACACAGGGTAAGTGAAGAGAACTACACTCTCTAATATTGGTGTTACAGTACCAGAGTTAGGGCTAGAAGGTCATGATAACTTCATCCAGGGAAGGCCTTCTCTCCTGGGCAAGAGTCGGACCGCGGCCTTGGTAGGAGTGGGTTTAAGGTTTTTTTGGGGGGGGCATTGGACTCTAGGCCTCAGACTCGAGGTCTTCTTGTCCGTCTCCGTTGGTTGTATCGCCTGTCTCAGCGTCGAGCAGCAGGAATTTGCCGTCATTGGTCAGAGGCATGTTTTTCATCAGCTGGGCCAGGGCCTCAGGGTCCTTTAACAAAAAAAACAAAGAAAGAATTCTTAGTCCACTAAGTAGTATTTGCTGTTCAGATGTTGATCCACTCCCTCTTATATATCTTTATAAATATCTCCAGTGTTTTAGAGAACTGTTTTCATTCAGAGTCTTATTCTACTGTAAGTATAAATCTGATCATAAAGGGAGATTTCATAAACATTGTAGTAAAACAGGGCTTCACAGGATCCTATACAGGATCCTGGAAACATTTAAAAACTCAAAAGAAAAGTTCATAATGATGATTGTGTGAAAAATGTGGATTCGTTCTCTGAATGGTTGGTGGTTATTTAAATGGTTGACTTCTTGATTTATAGTTGTTTCATGATTGGAATCAATGATAAAATACTGCAGTGATGTTTGGCAGAGATAAGAAAGGACTCCTTTACTTGTGTTATTCTTCTTCATCCTGTCAATACTGAAAAATCTTTAACTTAATTGCCATAATAACATTAAACATTAGAAAGAACTAAAATAAGACATAATGGTTTTCTCTTCACCTTCTTTGCCTCTGTAATGTCCTTCGCCAAGCTTATGGTGTAACAAACCTGTGAAAAGAGACAAACAAATAAACTTCAAAGTATATTTGTGTATCCGCTTACATATCTCTTAAAAATAAAAGGCCAGTGTTTAGTGCACAAACCTTTTCGCCCTCCGTGTTGCTCTCAAATACGAAGGCGCTGAACGAGGGCTCTCCCTCCTCCTCACCGTCCCCCCAGTCTCTGCCCTCCACCACAAATCCCATCAGCCTCCCGTTCTCCTGGTGGGCGGCAAACTGAGTAACCTCCCCGAGCTGGAACTGAGAAAAAATGAAAATACGATTGTTATTTTTTAAAGGAATGACTGAACCTCTTCACCTTTAAGCAAAAAGAAAAAAAGATTTTGAGTTTAAGATCATACTTACACTTATTCTTGTAACTTGAGTCTGAGGGTCAATCAACCTGTTGTGAAGACAAAATAAAGTTTTTAAAGGATTAAAACGCTGCACTCACTGCACAGACACTTCAGCCTCATAGAATTTGGTTATGAAGTCCTTTGTTTGGCTTTAAGCAATGTTTCAGTTCTGATTGATGCTTACATAAAGTCTCATTTCTAACAACAATGATGAACAGTTGAAGGGTTACAACGGCTGACTTTTTTTTGTTAACTTCTGGGTTTAAAACATCCACACATAAGCGCTGCGTCTCCACCACATTAATCTTACAAAAGGTGAAAGAAGACCTTAAATCAGAAACTATTTTAATCTTGAAGCAACTGTAACAAACTTTTGTGTAGTGTCTTTTTCAGCAGCCCCTTTTGACAAAGCCTGGTGTCTTTGTTAATCCAGTCCTGTACATGCATGTGTGGAACTCTCTATTGAAAAATCTCCTCCTGCTTCCTCTTAGCTTCCCTGAGCTAATGAACCCATCTGTGACCCCACAGCATTGACACGCATAGGAAATAACTATAAGTAATAGCGGGTCTTCAGGGTGCTGGTTTAGCTCAGTTGATAGATCAGGTTCCCCATGTGTGCAGAGGCTACAGGCACTGGTCACAAGTTGAACTCCCTAACCCTGTACGGTGTGTGTCATCCCCCACTCTCTCTCCCCATATTTCCTGTCTTTGTCGATCTGTCCTGTCTAAAAAAGGAATAAAAGCCCAATAAAATAGCTTTAAAAAATTAGAGATCGTGAAATTGTATTAATATTCATAACCAATCAAACCTCTTCACTTTAAACCAGTTTTAAATGATTTCATCTTAAGGGCCCGACCCATATGAGATTTTAGGGGCTGATACCGATATATCAGTCAATATCTTTCTTAGATCTATGTTCAATCTCCCTCACATGCATTTATCAAACACTTGTGGAAAAGATATATAATGAAGACGTTATGGTCACTCAACTGGAAAGTAACTGCGCATGTACGTGCATCACCGCTCAATACTCTGGAGAGTGATTATGCTCGTTGTAATAGATATAGCGCTCTCTGCTGGTGAAAGAGAACTGCTAGTGTAATACATGAAACTCAAATTAAATGCTATTTGACTTGAGAATAAATCTAATAATATCAGCGCATCTCTGGGATAAAATTAGTCAATACCAATAGTTACTGAATATGCTAATATCGGCCGATTAATCGGTTGAGCTCTAAAGACTTAATGTCTCTCATGCCTGCTGGTGAATTCTAACATATGATGCAGAATATGAGGCATTTTGCTCTTGATACTGCTCGGAAAATTAAGAATGTATCATCATTTTTGTATTCAGTCATTGTCTGTGCTCTGAGGCGTTAATTGTGTAACAGTTTTTAACTGTGATAAAAAATTACCGGAGGTTACTGCTGGTGACCATGAGGTGGGACTCAGTGGTCCTGAAGATGTTGTGGATGGCTCGAGCAGCCAGCACCTGCCTCATGGCCTCATAGATCACTTCCTGATTGTTGCCACAGCGCACCGCCATCGAGCCCAGGAAGCGCACGGCGAAGACCTGCTGCAGGAGGGAGTCTGGGAAAGAACACAAACATCACCGACGTGCAAACATGTCAGCAGCGTAAACACACAACAAGAGTAGACTAATGAAGACCACTCATGTAGGAGAGTTATCACAATGTAGACAAACACAGACACTGTTAGTTTGAGCCGAACTGGTGCAGAATGGAGATCATTATGTTGCATTTGGATGAGAAAATGATTACCGTCACTTTCTGTTGAACAGTCATCATCTGTTTCTCCAAACGGATTTGTGCGTCTGTCAGTAGGGGAGCACACACATGCCAAGAAAAAAAACAATTAGACCCACTGCATCAGGCCGTTATTCAGCATTCAGTTTCCTGGAAATCAAGCCATAACCACTCTGACCCATCTTTCAGGAAATTAGCAGAACCTTGTTCCTGCCGGTCTCTCATAAACATGCACCCACACAAACGTCCTGACTCAGATGTCTGCTCACCTCCCCCCGGCCCTGTTCTGGTCCTGAAACTCGGACGCAGGCAGCATGATGTCAAACTGAATGGGAGTCCCAGGTGCTATCAGGTCGTCGGCTTCCGGAGCTGCTCCTGCATTCTGGGAACTGCCAGTAGTGTGTACGCCTCCGGGCTTTGCTCTGCAGGAATAAGACCGAATGAGGATCATTTGTGAGGAAATAATTAAATCATCACATTTACAAACCGCTTCACATTCTTTTTTTAAGTCTATCCTGGTACTCATGACTGAATGTGAATTAAAAACTTCATGGATCTAATGTAAGGGATCGAGAATAAATATAGAGTACTAAAACAGGGAATGTAAAAAATTTGAGTGAAATTTGTATTGAGGCTGGATTATCTCTCATATGACCTACATTTGAACAAAGACTGCTATAACTGTACATTTTTAGTATGAGCACATTTTTTCTAGGTAGCCATGACAAATATCGACATATGCTTCAACTATTTAGATCAAGCAGAGTTAATGATTCTTCCAGAGGCAAGAGGATAGACTTTATATTTCCTGCTAGTGAAATTAGCATGAACAGATTGCATCAGCTGTCCCTACCTGGCTCCCGAATAAAGCTAACCGTCGCTCCATGAGTTGTTTAAAACTGAGCGCTTCAGGATGAAATGCTTTGAAAACAGAAACCCTGTAAAAGGGCTCTTTACATGAACTGACATACCATATATCAAGCTGAAGACAGGGGCTCAAGCTATAAGGTTTGAGATAAATTGTAAACTAGTATGTTGTCTTACTTACACATTACCACTCCGCACAACTATCTAATTTGCATTTTTCTTTTTTTCTTTAAAGTAACCCAAAACCCTACAAAAAATGGCCAGAAATGTTCAGCTGATTTCTCAACGTTTGCTCTTTCTTTCAGAAAGACTTTAAACAATAAACTACCATCCAAATGTGACAGATTATAGCGTTAGCTCATGTCTACAGATTCAACATGCTGAGAAATTCAAATCTTGACATAACTAATGTTCTTAGTAACAGTTGCTAATCTATAATTGGGCAATTACTGCTCAGGGAAGAGGTTAAGCACACAACCTGCGCTAAAGAGAGAAAACTTCCTTCTCAGTCCAATATAAAATATATACCGCTTCTTTTTAATAACTACTTTCTTGAACACAAAGTATCTCACATAAGGATAAATAGAGGTGCAGCTACAACTATAAAAAGGATTTCACTATTATGTTCAGGAGAGGATGCAGCATGCAGTGTTGGGAATAAAGCACACCAGACCTGTCAGGGTTGGGCGAGCCTTCTGGTCTCTTCTCAAAGCTAGTGATGGGGGTGACTGCCTGGATGGCAGTTTGGTTCAGTCTGATGGCCACAGCCTAATAACAAGAAGAAAGGGACATCATTACATGTCTGAGTCATTGAGTAACCCAGGAGTATTCAAATATGTCTAAATATAACTAATCTGACCCCTTCTGTTCTGTATTTCAAGCCTATAGTATCTCTGTGTGCTGGCTCTATTCAGCAGCTCTAATCCTGGAGAAAATGCATGCATTAAGAGGTTTTTTTTTTTCAGTCAAAGAAAAGATTAAAGGTCGACATTCCAAAAGTAATCCTTCTACCTACAGCTTGATTGTAATCCTCAAAAAGAAGTCAAGATATCAAGCTCACAATGACAGAAGAAGTTGCCAGAAAAGGGTTTTCATTGTCACAGTGAAATCAAACTTTAGTGCAAAACATTCTATCAATTCATCATTTTATCATGAATGAGGAGACACAAATTGAACATTTGCCTTCAGTTTGATCATAATCTGTGGCTGACTTGGTAATTAGGGCAATAATCATTTTTTGAAGTGATCACAATTTAAGTCCAAGTGGACGCTTGTGTGAATTTTGAGGATATTCTCATCAAGCATTCCATGAATCTCAAACACTAGAACAGATGGATGGAGACTCAGAAAATATGATTTCTCGAGCAAAGTCTGTCCTCATCATGGAAGACTTAAAAAAAAAAAGCTATTGACAAAGTAGTCAACGGTTATAATAAGTTGGACCGGAGTCTAATACTGGAAAGAGTGTAATACTGGAAAAACAGTCTATGATATAATAATAATTTATCCTTTATTAATCCCGCGAGGGGAAATTCAATTTTAGTTTTGGGGTTCGGTGCCTTGCTCAAGGGCACAAGGGCACCTCGGCAGTGCTCAGGAAGTGAACTGGCAACTCTCCAGCTACCAGACCAACTTCCAGACTTGGTCCGTGCCCAGACTTGAACCGGCGACCCTCCAGTTCCCAACCCAAGTCCCTACAGACTGAACTACTGCCGCCCACACCTCATAAAATTCATAGTTTAAATATCAAGAGAAACTTTTGAAGAATATGATGAGCTGAAGATACAAATCAAGCTTTTCACTGGGTGTTGTCCACTCTTCTGTAAACTGTGCTGTTTTAATCTATTTAGTCACAGCTATTTGAAAAATGCATGATTCTTCTTTTTTGATAAGTCACAAAAATCGTATTAAAAGGAACTACTAGAAGATAAAATGACCTCCATGTGTCCACAATTGGATAAGAAGAAGCAGTAGTCTGTTTGTCTCGTTTGGACTCTGAACATTTTTCATGGAGCCAAACAAACATGCACTATTCTTGGAAAAGCAATAAAGGCAACAAGCGAGACACTGTTGAGAAAAAGGGGGTGTGACAGCAGAGGATCGGCACTACTTCTCTTCACAAAGTCCCTTCATGTAATGTATTCCTAACTCAAGTAGTGGAACAACAAATAGACTTCTTACTGTCTGATCAAACAACATGGCTGATAAGAGATCAATCAAATGTCTGATTCTTAGATATTTAGTTTAGTTGGTGCTTTTATTTTACTTGCAGCGATTGTGTTGTTTGGATATTTTGTGTGTGTGTGTGTGTGTGGGGGGGGAGTTACCTCTGGGTTGTCAGTCAGGTAGATCTGTCTGGAGATGTTGTTGACAGTACAAATCCACTGAGGAAGAAACAGAAATCCACATTATGACTTCCTTTAGATCAGACACAAGCTGCTTAAAATGACACCCAAATCTAAACAACTATTCTGCACAAATAAGTCTCGGCACAACTATTTAAATTTTCCATGATTGACACCATTTAGTAAATATCTTAGGAGTGAAGCTGCCAAGAAAATCATCAGTAGCTTTCACACTTACTTCTTCATATTCCCTTTTGCTCTCTGCTTGTAGAATCATGGACCTAGAATCAAAGGAGAGGATTAAATAGATATAATCATCTCAACATGTTTGAGCATAATTCTCCAAGTTGGACCTTCAGTGAAGTGTACATACGTTTTGCCTGAAGGGGAGGTTATCTGAAAACAGTAGCGTCTGTCCTCACAGTCCACCGCCATGACGGAGCTGTTGTCCAGGTCCAGCACCATGCCCCCCGCCACCGCCCCGCGGGGCTGGCACATGAGGTTGCCTCCCTGGGTGAAGAAGAACAGTCGGTCCCAAGCTGTGGTCACTAGGCCTGTTTTACTGGTGCGCAGAAAAGAAGGGAGAGAAATAGTACAGGAAGGTCATTATTAAAGGATGGAGTTATGTACAAGATAACAATAGCTTTGCTTATCTAATGGGGACAATGTGTCTGTGCCATATGCCAAAAAAACAGTTTAAGCCCGGTACGTTTAAAAAAAAAAAAAAGAAAGAAAGAAATGGACTATTGAGACAGAAAACAAGGTTGTAGATAAAATGTATTCCTGCTCTAAAAATGGGCATTGTAATATGGGATCTGGTGGGGATTCCCTTGCTTTTATAGCCCGCCTCAAGAAGACATTGCAGGAACTGCATTTTTAAGAACTAACTGCTTGCTTTCAACACTAAATATGAGGATTTTTGTTTTATAACTGACTTGCCTTCAAAAACGAATATTACGTTTTTCTGTTTGCCCGCTTTTTTACTTATAACTGTACACAATAAAGAGTATGAAAGAAGCAGGCAAAGGGCTAAACCAAGAAGAAGAATTTCAATCTGGATGTGACTAGATGCCATTTCTTTCTCCAAATGTGTTACTTTAAGACTCATTGTTTTTGAAAGATGTTGTGTTTTAAGTTGTTCTTAACACCTTTTTAAAGAATATGTCTTTGTATTGTCCCTGCTCTTCCGAGAGGATCGTGTGAGCCTGCCTTTTTCTGCCCTTACTGTCACAGCTGTTTTGTTTTCGCTCTCCTGGTTTCTGTCCATAAAATACAATGTAACTGAGCTCTGACTCACTTATTTTCAAAAAACAAAGCGACAGGTGGGTGATTCATTTGAATTGCTCATCTGTTATCCCTCCTTCAGAAAAATTTTCCTGGTAAATTTCCTTTAATCAATATGCAAGTGCTGCTCATGCTGCCATGGTTGACTCATGGATATTGAGAAGCACTTTGAAATAGAAAATGTTCTCTGGACTCGGCTCTATTTGACAAGCGTTAGAGGGCTGCTGGCATTGTGTGTCATTAAACAGAAGGGCATTGTGCGGAAACCTTTTCGCCGGTGTCACAGACATTTGTCAAAGACTTTAGATGTATATGAGGGAGAGACAGAGTTTGACAGCTCTGGCATTTCACTGAATCACATAGCGGCCTACGTTACAGTTCTACCCCCTGAAGCCATTAAGGAAGTTTCCCTTCTCATACATCCATTCTGCGACAGGCTGACAGCGCACGCTGTCAACATGGTACCTGACCCACCGACTGCTGTGACAGATTTATTGTTTACAGTCTTCCTGCTCCTAGTGTTCCTGCGTATATTCTGCTTTTGCCAGAGAAACAATATTTCCTGTGTTGGTAGTAATTTTTTATTTCCCCATCTATTGCACTAGCATTCATTCTCTTAACAAAACAATGTGATATAAAATGAGGATGGATGATTTTCTTTTTCCTCAGCTGTCTTTTTTTTTCTTTTTCTTTTGCAGAACAGACCTACAAATATTGACTAGCAATGAATGCTAAGTGAACAGGAGGTGTCCTTGTGTAGTGCCGTAATGAGTGTCATCAATCTTACTTCCTAATGTTGAGGTAGCCAGCTTTCTGGATAAGCGTACGATTGACAGGCTCAGTGTCCTTATCTGGCATGTAGACGGTGTCCTCAACAGACAGAAGCTCCTTCTGGGACACACGCATGGACTCCGCTTCTGTATCCAGCTGGTTCTGGATACTTGACCACAGAATTCAGACATTATGGACAAGTCCATTCAAACTGGATGTTCTGAGTGCATGATGAACACTTGAAATGGTCTTTACCTCTGAGTCATGTTGGAAACGGAGGAGAGAAAGTTGTCCACCTTCTTTGACACCATTTCAATGCCTTTTTTGAAGAAGATAACCTGAAAGGAAGAAGCGACCATGAGCCTCAATTCTTTTCTTTTTGATTTTCACCGGAGCACACATTGAGAAAAAGACACATAGAAACGGTTAATAATCATTCAGCCAAATGGAGGACTGCAACTAAACTTCATGTTCATAGCTTATCAAATGTATTTATTATCATCATTACACATTTTGTCAGTAAACATCACAAAATAGTGACAATAAATGTGTTAATAAGTATTCCAAAAATGTGTTATATTTTGCAAACGGTATAATACCAGATTTATATTTAGTTTGATATCAGCTGGGCAACATTTTTTGGGGGTATTTTGGACTAAAAGGGATTCAAAAACACAATATATAATTTCTTTTTTTTTTTAAACAAAAACTGATTAATTGATGACTTGTTCATGCTTTAAACAGGCTGAGGCTTTTCCACCCATCATTTTACACTGCATGGAAACACTGCACGCCAACAGCTATCCTACGTGCTCCAAATCACCTCAAATGAGCTAGTTGCTTCTGGATTTTAAACAGAAATATCAACACTGTTTTGAAAATGTAGTCTTTCCTAGTTCGGGGGGCCATGTACCTGTGCCTGTGTGTAGCCTAGCATAGGTTCGAGCATGGCTACTCTCTTGCGGTACTGCAGGGCGTTGAGGGCGCAGTAATACTGCAGCGAGGCCTGGTGCTGCTTCCTTCTAGTGTAGGCCACCTCCTTCACCAGGTCTGACTTCATCTGTCCACACAGGAGAGGGTTAAACATGCAAATTATGTATACATGCACACTCACTGTAAAGCTCTGCACACACACAGATACATTATGCAAACACTTTGCTTTGTCTCACACACAAACAAATGAGCAACACAGGAGCATTATCTTGTACGTCCAGGGGGAGTTGGTGACACTTTCAATAAAAGCATAAAGCAGGGGAATCTTATCTCTGCAGCCATTATGGTGAAGTGTTTTGTTACAGCAGAACAACAACAGTTCAGTCTGACAGTAGAAGAATATTCAAATCCATTTTTGTATTTCGAATGATTATAAAACACTTTAACTATGTTACCAGAGCATTACTGCACTTTAAACCCCTTTAGAGCTCTTGATCAATGGTGATAAAATCTCCATTACCAGAACACTTCCCACTTTCCTTACCTTCTCGTTCTCCTTCTTCTTGGGCAGCCGGCTGTATCTGACCATAGCTGCCTCGTGCTCTGCAGGAGAGAAGAGAGACGAAATAAGGACAAGAAAGAAACTGCAGGCTTGAATTTTTTTTTGTTTAAAGATAGGTTGGGATATGAACTTACCATCCGTGGCAATGCTGAATATTTCCTTCAGTGTGCTTATCTCTGAAACATTTAATATAAAGTAGATAAAAAAATATCAGAATTAAGTCCACATCGTTCCTTGAAGTAGAGAACTGAAGCTGTTAGTTGACAAAAAAAAAAACATACAAACTGAGTCTCTTGCTGAATGTGACATGTGCCTTTTTTGTAAACGTATGAAATGTTCCTAACAAGATAGAAACAAGGTATTGAGCTCTGTACTTTAATATGCTAATCACTACAACAGAGAACAGAATCACACTCTGTTGAAAGAAGAGCAACGTCTCCAGTTTGTGTCCCGCTGGGAGCCCTTTGTTGCATGCCACTTCCTCTCATCAAATCATCTCTTTTTTGTAAGCCTGATAATAAAAGGCATTAAAAAAAAAAAACTCAAACCTACACAGCTTTAATCTTAAAAACAGCCTTATGATACCCTGCATGTCTGTGCACGCTGCCTCACCTGTGAGATCCTTCTCTCTAAACTGAATCAAAGGGAAAACCATGCTGTCTGCCATCTGGTTGGCGAGCTCAGAGTGAAGCGCGTTCAGCTGGATGACACAAAAAGAGATAACACCAAAATATCAACACTTGCCAAGGACACAAATGGAAAATGAACCCTTGCAGAATAACTTTGGGGATTTCCATTTCACTTCATATGCACAGTGAGATGTGCTATTATTATTTTATGCAGCAATCTGCGAGGAAACATTTTCAGTGAACTGGGTGCACCATATCGTGGAACAGTGCGTTCGGTGAAGAGAAGATAAAACTTTCCATTTACTACGATATTGGAAACAGGTTCACATATTGCACACACGAGCAAATCCTGCTTTGCTTCTCTTATCATCAAGCAACCGACTAACAACTGACAAGCCGACGTCCAGTTTAATCTAAATGATTTAGCAAGTGCTAAAGTTCAGTGGATTAGGTGGAGTAGTAGGCCTTATTCTCTCTGTGCAATGAGTTCTCTGTTAATCAAGAGGTAAAGGTCAAGCAAACAATCAACCTGTGTCCTCTGAACATACATGTGTGTGTGTGTGTGTGTCGTAAATCCTCTAACGTTCTGACATGGCAGCTTTATGGACCCCCCATGGCTGAAAGTGAGAAGCCCATCTGTTTTGTCTTTATACCTGAGTCTATACTTTTTCTATACATCGATCAATCATTGTACCCACCCACTGTTCCCCCCATGGTGTCTTTATAAAATCAGTTTCTGTCTTTTAAAGAGGATAATACTCCGATCTTTTCACTGAGGTCATTTTCACAGTATGCAGCGAGAGCGCAGGTGCAACACCTTTGAAACATGACAAATAACAAACAACACAGTAGTTCATCATCCCCTCTCCTCTGCTGCAGGTGCACACACACACACACACACACACACACACACACACACGCACACACACACACACAAAATATTCACACATAAAACAGAAAAACTGCCAACGCAGGCCTCACCTCCCCTACGGTTTTGGCGAAGTTCTGCAGCGTGATGATTACCTCTTCATCACCTTTTCCAAGGGCAAAATTCTACACAGAAGATGAAGAGAGCATGGAGAAGTTTCAACCATTAAATGTCATAATGTTTCATAGATCTTTCCAGTCTAACTAGAGGCTAAGAAGTAAAAACCAAAAAACCTGGTCTGCCAGCATTTTCCGGCATATCAAGCATATCACGCTGAGTTTTAGGCCTCTTCAAAATGAGCTAAAACGTGCAGCAAACAGGGAACAGCAGAAAACTTTAGCTCTGCAATTTATAAATGTGTCCCAATAAAGAAGTTCACATATATTTTCCTTCCAGCATGTTTTATTATTCAGTTATAGACCATCAGTGTTGAATACAGCTGTTTTTCACGTCTTCTCAGCTACATAAAATACCAAGAGACACACTAGTGTTTCCATGTTATTTCAGTAGATCTCTAGAGTTGTAGTCAAGACCCCACTGACTGAGACCAAGACATCTCTGAGACCAGAGTGCTCAGAGACCGAGTCAAGACCAAGGCATGGCGAGACCGAGACAAGACCAAGACCATAAATCTCACAAAAAAATCTTGTGTACAGGGGGGCGTGTCCCTCATTTAGACCGTAACACCAGGAAGGTTGTGGTTGCAACCGGGGGGGGGGGAATCTAATTATGAATGAAGTTATTTGTTCTTTTAGAAAGGATGTTTTCCTTCTAATCACAGTAATGACGTGGAAAAACATATCCTGTCTATGGTGGTCTTGAATGGACTTGATTTAAAATCCAGTCCGCCTTAGTCTGAGACCGGGACAAGACCGAGCAAATACGCTTTCGATTCCGAGACGAGACGTTCAGAAAAGTGGTCTAGAGACCGGTATTGAGACCAAGGCCGATCTTTATCAACACAATTACGAACAACAGAGTTGGAAATACGGCCTCCAAAGCTCTCTGTGTTAATACACAATCCAAACTTATTCTGCTATTTATAAATAAATGACACCAAAAACTAAAAGCAGTGTCTCCACTCAGCCCCCTGGAGTGATTATAGGCATATACTACTTTGAGTTTACATGAAGCATTTTCAAATAAGGTAAGCTTGTTAAGGAGTCCGTCATCTCAAGAGAGACTGTAAAACAGAAAAACAACTCACTGTGACAAGTGAAGATAACGGCTTTGAGAAATTGTAATTAAAAAAAATGAACTCTTCTAAGCTTAACTATTTTTGCCAACCAACCAGGGCGTTTTCATTTTTGAAAATGTTGGAGTGATAATTAGAGAACAATGTGACCAGTAAGGCGTTTTAAAACTGAGGCATGATCATTCACCCATTCCCATTTAGAAATGCATCCTTGCTCATGGTACATACCTATACATAAATACTTACTTTTTTCTCATATTCCAGAAGTTGCTGTGAGAGCTGCTCTGTGGCCAAGCCCATCTCACTCTGTAAAGGGCAGATAAGAGGAAAAAAAATCAAAGTCAAAAAGGCTCACCAGCTTGACTGTAGCCTCTGTCCCTCTCATTCTCTCTTCAGTCCTTAAATTAATCAACTGTATGTTAAACCTGTGAATATGGGAACATTTCTTCTGAATGGCACACCTTTTAATGTATTTATCATTCATTCATCACGTCTATATCTTAGTTTAATATTTTTCTAGGATTAAAAAATGTGACTCTAACATGATAACCTTCACATATTTCAATTCTTCAAAACCCCAAATCATCTCAAATCAGGCAGGTACAATTACAATTGCTGTTTGTGTAAAAGAAAACAGAAAATAACATTCTTGTGTTTGAACATGTCCCCTTCCACTGAGTCTACATAATGTGTGTCTGTTTGTGTTTTTTGTGTTTACCTGGGCTCCATACACCCGCTGCATTGACTGAAGCAGCTTGTTGGTGTAGTCTGTCAGATTCCCAGCATCCTCCTCAAACACACTGAGCAAGGAGCGAGTCTGTGGGACGCAACAGTCACATACAGTATGTCATGAATACACAGTTCAATGATTTTAGTGATACCAAATTTAGCACTAAAAGGTGTTATAGTAATAGTAATAGTTAGTTCTTGTAAGATAATTCTTTAGTTAAAAGTATTAAAAGTAGATCGTCTAACAATGAGCTTGACCATGAGGAATGACTACAGAAAACAAAACCTGTTTCTGTGTCAATCTTTATGTTGTGATTGTGTTTCAAGGCTGACGGAAACAACTGTGAATGTATCCTTCTATATTTTGATTGAATATCTAATGTGTTCAATTCCAGGCAATTAAAAAAACAGAATTCTTTCACCTTTCCATAACTTTGTTTTTCCCCCTTACATGGCCGTGATGTATCCTAGTTATTTGTGATTATGAATCAGTTCTCCCGGTCTCTGGATGAATACACATTTTTAATTTCCACTTCTTCTGACATTTTGCAGGAAACTGAATCAGAAAATATGAGGACATGGGACATGCAATAACAATTAGTGTCATAGGTGGAAATGAGAAATAAAGGAGGGTTGCTGCAATATGCAGACACACAGACAGACAGACAGACGGTCAGACAGACACACACACAGACAGACAGACAGACAGACAGACGGTCAGACAGACACACACACAGACAGACAGACAGACAGACAGACAGTCAGACAGTCAGACACACAGACAGACAGACAGACAGACACACAGACAGAGGCATACTGAGGAGCTGTTTGCAAGTGAAAGTAAGCGCAGCATAATTGTCCTGTAGGCTAGCTATGCAAATTTGGTATGTCCTGTTTGGGTGCACATTTTTTCTTCAATAAACAAGTGCAGCAAGGTAGGGCAGACTTAGCAATGAGGAACACACCCATCGGCTAAAGTCTGTTTACACTTTACTTAAGTTGAATGTCATAAAAAAAATTTTTTTAAAGTAATTATCTGGAATAATATCAAACCTGTCTGAGTTCACAAGAGCCCAGCTATATTTCTTGTAAGGAGGAACTGCATTATGAAGGACTAAATGTCCCTGCAGCGTGTGTTACACTTAAGCAGAACTGTTAAAGAGGTCAGCCCTGTTTGATGAAAGACTGATGCAATACACTGCAGAAACATGATGCATAACATCAAAGACTTGTCATGTGTTTCACTTCCCAATCATTCACATCCTTGCACAAGGTTTAGGAATTGCTACTGAACTGTCACACTGAGTTTCAGACGAATAAACACCAAATGATATATAATATTCATCAATACCAACAGCTATCATTGCTGCCCTGTTGCAGGCTATTGACTAATTCCATTGGAGTCCGATAATGGAAACCCCTCCCACATCCTGTCTATCAGGCCCAGTTCGGCTCTAGCACAGAGTCCAAACAAAAGAATTTCACTTCACACGACAGTGGAAAACAACAAGTTTGCAGGAGAGGGTTTGTAATTTAGCTAGGCTTGTGACATGGTAAAATAGTGGTGTGAGTGAGTGAACACTAGAGAATATATCACCCTTCACAGAGAGAGAGAGAGAACCCTGTGATGAAAGTTAGCTTCGTAAAAACACAACACATACACACACAAAAACAATATTTATGACTGGCAGTAGAAATCTATAACAATGTTTACATCGGGAAGTCGCAGCCACTCCTTACACTGGATTATGTTACCATAACAAAGTGTTAATTGAGAGCTGTCATCGAGCAGCCAGCCTACAACGTCAACAAGGTACTGTCTGGGCTAGCAAAGCTAACTTTGCGTTCTGCCTCGTCCTTTACGTGACAATTGTGGCTTTTAAAGGTTTTATAACCAGCAAGGGGCCTACCTGAGGACTGTCCTGTAAGGCGTCCTCCAGGAGCAGTTTGTGATGTACGGCCGGCATCTTGTTAGCGTTGGAGGAAAGGGAACGGCTTGAATTATTGAAAGCGTGGACTCGGTTTCCCAGAGTTCTCCGCGCGTGTGAAAGGAACACGTAGTGAGTTGGAGGCGGGCCCAAGCCCTGATCTCATCCATAGCAACCTGATAGCAACTAGGAAAAAAATCAGTTTCACTTTTAATTAAGATTTATATTTTTCGACTCAACAGTGAATTATAAAATGTTCAGAAGACGGGCAGTACAATCTGCCGCTGGATACACGTATACATGGTGAAGGGACGGTTATTTTAATATCAACAGTGACCCCGTGTGGCCATTTGAAGATTTGCAGAGGTAAATATTCGTCATTTATAATGTGTCTTGTATGGTGCATTTTATGTAGTGTCGGACACATCGGAAAAACGAGATTCCGAGTTGTAACATGCACATGAACACCTGGAACAACAGAATTAAGGTGACCGACTTCCCGACTTGACGTCAGAATCGTCATCAAATGGGGGCTAAATATGTTTTGTTAATGTCAACATACTTTTTTATTAATTCACGTATTGCACATCAACTTTTTGCTCAAATGTAACTTATATAACATTTACATTTCATTGACATTCTTCGTAGCAGCCACGCTGTTTTGTGCTGTTGTTACAATATTCAGACTTTATGAACTGAAATCACGTGAACACACTGAATTCGGAAGAACGAGTTATTAACTCGGAATCTTGGGCCACCCGAGCAGCACTTGAATGCAGCATTTCAATGAAATATTTCAGTCAATGGCAAGGTCGAAAGATACCCAAATTTATTAATTCACTTAACATTGAACAGCAGAATTTTTTAAAACACTGATGGTTCAAATCGACGTTTAATAGCCACTACATGCAAGTTGCAACTAACCGTTAACTAAAATAAATAAATCAAAGTGGAGGGACAATGATCCTCTACATTAGGTTACCATTGACTCTAGCCTATTACATTTCTGACAAAAAACTAACTTATTAAAATGAAATATTTTGAGGACTTTGAAGCCTACGACATTTTTCTAAGATAATCTTGGTATACAACATGTATTAAAATCATACTTGACTGTATTGGATAAAAAACAAGTAGACTAATACCCCCTTCATCTAAACAACTTTAGATGAATGTATAGCCTACTGAGTCATGTATTTAAATAGAAAATAAACTTCTACAATTATTGTCACATTTAAGTTTTCAACCATGATCTTTTGTTTTAATTCTTGTCGTCATGCTTCAGATCATTATTTTGGCATTAGCCTGTGTAGGCCTATGTATAAGTGTATGTAAGCTATATGTAGTATGATATATGCATATGTGTATGCATGTATGTGTGTGCATATATGTTTATACAACTATGAATTATGTTTCTATTTGTTAAGACTTGTATTTACTTGTTTTGTGATTTCAGTTCCAACCCATGTTTTTACATTACACTTATAAAAAGAGCAAAGGAGAAAAAACTCACAGGTTGAGAAGCTGGAATCATAACAAAGGATTTCCTTCACTTTGAGCTGTTTTTTTTTTTAATTAAACAATTAAAATGGTCTAGTCTAAACAATAAATTAACTGGTTGTTTATTCATAGAATTACAAACAGTGCATTTAGGTCTCCAGGGTAATTCATGGGAATTATTCTATGCAAAGTTAAAAAGAACCAACATTTTGAATCCCATTTACCTCTTAAGACCTCGAAGTAATCATCATCCAGCTCTCGTCTTTTTTCGTCTCAGTCATAATTGCCTTATTTCAGGCAGAGCATGTAATGTTCTGAATATTGTTGGACTGGCTAATTCTCTTATTTACTTCACACTTCCTGGAAAGGCTGCACACATGTGAGAAAAAAAAACATCCTTTCCTTGACTGAATCCATCCATGCTGATGCGTTCACCAAATGCCAGCTCCTGTGACTGACAATGTCCTCTAATGTCATGCTCACTCTTTTACTAAATGTGATCTCATTTGCATCCACTACTATACTGTAAATTAAAAAAACTAAAAAAAACATTCTTACATCTAACAGCTGTCCAATGTAAAAAAATGAATATATCTACATTGAAAACCCTGCATAATCACAGGCACACAAATCTAATTTCCTCCTGTCGAATAATTCAATTAAAGTGTATGAAAGGTTACGCAGAGTAGACAGCTTCTTTGTACTTAAACTGCTTTAATCTACAAATCACGAACAAGTGACCTTCATTACTCTGAAGTTCATTTTCCAGTGACTGAATCAAGATAATGAACGATATCAAAAGGGTTCTGTGTTAAAGTTAAAACAGTCTTTTTTTTAAATTGAATTGTGTGGAAGTAATGAGGAAATAAGCTTTCTTTATAATTACAATTTGAAAAAGTATGTTCTGGTGACTTTTCAGGTTCAGGTGAAGTCGTCACATTGTTCAAACTTCTAAGATTGAATTGCACATGGTTTTGGCCTGTTAGAGAACAAAGCAGCAACACTAAAAATGTGACGTTACCTGACCAAAGATATTTTATTGTCTACGTAACAATCTATTGAACTTTGGATGGTCACCTCTTGATAATTTAGGCAAGCTGTGACAAGCTGTGCTTCCTCATCGGGCTCCCAGGCAGCCTGAGCAGGAGCACATTCCTTCCTCCCCAGTGGACCTCTGTGGTTTAATTGGTAAAGTTGAGGCTCTAAATTAGATAAGGCATTTCAGCACTGACTTTGATAATTAAGTGTGTTTGCTGGCAAGGCTAAGCCTGGCCTATAAAAAGACATGCTTAATGTCAATGGAACTACGAGTAAGATTAAACAAAGCAATGATTCAGCTGAAGAAATAACCTCTCAGCAGAAAGTTAAAAAAAAAAAAAAAAAAACTTCAAGAGTGCAGACCTTTTTGATTATAGCCCTTATTCTTTCTTTCAAGTTGATTATTGTGCTTTTGCCCTCTGTAGAAAGCTAGCTTCCCTGAAAGACTGTACAGCTGTATTTTGAGCTATATGCTATTATGGTAATATGCTAAAATGCTCACAAAGATAATGCTATGTGACGATTTGGCTGTATTGGTTGTTATAATGCTAAATTATATTAAATGAGCATGGTTAGCATACTTACCACGAAGAAATGTTCCTTTCATACCAAATTTGTATTAGGCAGTTCCACCTATATATTGCTATACACTTCAATATTGGTGTTAGAAGGCTAGTCTAGACAGAAAGAGAAAAAACAAAAAAAGTTGGCGGTTCAACCCTCATGAAACTTCAACTGTTTTTCAGTGAAATTGATTCGTGCCATCTAAAAATATCAGCAGAAATCAAAAAAAACGACAACAGGTGTGCTGTATGATTTACATGACTGGCGCTAAAATTGCACAAGTACAGAAAAAGAAACTGAGGAATACCCGCACTTGTTAAATTAGAGAGCAGGCCAGGCATTGTGCAGAAACCAACTCCAGTTAAAGGGACATGACAGTTTGTTTGATTGATGGGTGGATCTGGACCACCTTTAAGAAATGCACACACAAAAAAAACACACATTGGTGTTATCAATATCGATTTTTCAGTAAATGTGTCATATCTTTGTACAAACAAACCTTGTACATGCAAATTCTGGTGAGGTGATGCACAGGGCACTAATCTCTCAACCCATCGGCTTTTACTGTATCTGATGATGATTTAACCCCCGAGAGGAACAGTCAATTTTTCTGTGCCTATGGTGCAACATGTGGTAATTAAGATAAGCCAAAATATTTTCTCTTCCTTAAACTGGTCATTGTCCATGGCATGGAGAAACAATGTCTTCACTAACATGCGGATATATATTTAAAGAAATGTAACAAAGAGTTGTCAGATGATTGCTGACAGTTCTTCCACCTTTTGCTCTGCACCCATGTTTTCCTGCACCTAGTCAAAGCTTCAAGAAATAAAAAGTCGTAGGACATTTGTTGTTAAATAATACTTTTTTTTTCTTTTTTTGTGAAGAAAAATGCAAGCAAGATATGATTAGTTAAATAATGAACTTCAGAGGATTTGGCAGAGGGATTCTTGTTTACCTTTGTTTACCTTAGGTGGTTCAGGCCAGCTGTTCCTCCTTGTTTCACAGGCTGCCAGCTATTGCCTTATACTTACCTTCATATAAACAGATATACGTGTTCATCGATCTTTTCATGTTACTAACTGCCAGTTACTTAGGACTTTTCCTGTACAGTGGTCTAATGGTGTCGATCTGATAAATCTGTGGAAAAGTACGATTTCAGTATAAAAATGTACTAATCCTGTAGCGCTGATTCTTCTTTTGTATCAGATATATATATATATGCCTCGGTTTCATGAGAGTAAATGATATTATTTACCAGCAATTTCATGGTCGTTATATTTAGCCATCTTTTAACAAACAATCTTGTAAACTTAACAATAATTTGATGGGATGTAGATTCATAGAATTATAAACAGTACATTTAGGCTTCCAGGCTCATCTATGGAAACCATTTTGGGAAAACATCATTTTCAAAGTTAAGAACCAAAATGTTGCGCATCCCATTATTAGGATACGATATTGAACCTGTCGCACTCACAAAAAACGTAGAGGAGAAAATTTCATCTCAATTTGATTTCATTTTGCAGAGGATTATGCTATTGAAAACTTTTCATTTGGTCTCACAGCCACGCAGACTTCTCAAGTGTGAACAAGAGAATGAATTTCACTGATGGAGATTGGTAATAAAAGGCGGTGTGAGCTCCAATCATATGACTGCATCTAGCCTGACAGACAGCAGTGTGACAGATGAATAGAGGAAAAGAGATGGAATGAGATTTATCATGTTGTTTCAGTAACAGCTCACAAATTTCCCCCTGGGATTAATAAAGTATTTCTGATAACCTAGCTCGATGCTTTTGGTGCGAAAAATACTTTTTATGTTCTTTCATTGCAAGCACTCAGACAAGTGTGATGTGTGTCTGTAGAAAATAAAGCTCCGCTCTGTTTCAGCACAAAGGATAATTTGGGGATTTTACAGGATGTCACACACAAACACACACACGCACGCGCACACACACACACACACACACACACACACACACACACACACACATACATACACACAGATATATTGATGCCCCTCAAATGTGTTGATTTTTTTCCACCTTTATATAAAAAGGGAGCTCCCCATTGGTTGAGTCTCACCCCACCCTCCCCCTCCTCCCCCCCTGGTTTCCAGGGTAACCATGTCAGGGAGAGGAATAGAGCAAATCATGTGAGAGTATAGCATCTTCCTCTCCCTCTCTCTCTCTCGTTCTCTCTCTCTCTCTCTCTCTCTCTGCCTCATTTTCTCACTTGGTGTGTGTGTGTGTGTGTGTGTATGTGTGTGTTTGTTTTGTGTATAAAAGCCTCTCTCTCCATGCTTTCACTTCACTCCTGTAGCTCCCTATTGCATTGCAGAGAGGAGCAAGAACTGAAGAGTGGAGAGGGGGGGACACGACCAGAGGAAATCTCTGTGTTACAGTGGGAGACATTTCTTTGACCTTCCCTCTTTTTTCTCTCTCTGTCTCTCTCTCTGTCTCTCTCTCTCTCCCCCTTACTCCCTGATCTCCACATGTTTTTCGGGTCTCCCTTTTTTCTGCCTTCTCCTTCTTTGTAGACGTCTCTGCTCTGCTTGGACGGTGGCTGCATTGATGCAAAATGGGTTGTGGCAATTCCTCAGCCACCAGCACATCAGGAGGGGGTAAGCGTATTTAAGAATAATGCATGTGTTCATTTGTGTATACATATGTATGTATGTACTGTATGTATGTATGTTCGTGTGTGTGTGTGTGTGTGTGTGTGTGTGTGTGTGTGTGTGTGTGTGTGTGTGTGTTTGAAAATGGGTTAGTGGGGAGGTGAGCTGTCACTGTAGCTGCAACAACATGAGAGGCTGTTTTGAATGTAAATGAATGTCATGACATACCGTTGCATTTAGTGTATGTCCCTAGATGTGTCAATGCATGTGTGGGTTTTTCAGTGTGTGTGAATGTTGTGACCTAAATGTCTTTATTTCCTCCAAAAATAAAAGGAAATCTTGCTGGTATTTTTTAAATATTGCTTCAAATGCTTAATTTCTCCCTCTAATGTTCGTCAGTGTGCAACATGGAGGCTCCCACTCTTCAGTGTGTGTTTGTGTCTCCTGAGGGGGATTTACTGGTGAAAAGGATCTCCTATATTGAAGTATAAGGACACCCCATGTAGCTTCAGAAACAGGCTTCATAGAGACATAATGACTGTGACACTGGGGTTACAATGTTAACACCTACGCTATGTGAGAGTAGGTAGTGCGTTCTTTCTTTTGTGTGTTTGTACTGGTTTCCATGGATTTTTTGGATAAAAAGCAAGCACTCGCAGCGGTATTTAACAGTCTTTGTCTCCCTTGATGACTGGTGCTGGTTGTGCAGCTTTGAAATACTCCATCAATGACTAGGTTTCATTCATAAAGACTTTAGAGGACACATTCGATGAAGAGAATTGGGTAAACTTGATGTTTTACCAGATCTTCTGCCTTATTGTGGCTTGACCTCAAATAACACATCTACCTGTTAACTTGGGCTGATACCTGTGTTCAATTATACTAAGCAAATCTCTGAGCACCACAGACAAATAAAAGTGATATTTAGGTTAAGGTATCTGCAGGATTACTTCAACACAACGGCCTATTAACGCTGTATTGTGTGTGTGTGTGTGTATGTGTTTGTGTGTGTGTTTGTGCCTATGTAAAGGTGTCTGCTTGTAGGTATCTAATCAGTGCCTGCCAGGCGTGTTATTAGAGCCACAGACAGCTCCGGGGAAATGAAACTCATCATTGTCTTTTGCTCCAAATTTGATGTACTTCGAAGCTACACCATCTGTAAACAACATCTTATGAAGTGTCTGCGTTTGCTGTGAGAGTGGCTTGTTTGTCCATGAAGAACATAACAATAGCTGTGTTCATTTCTGCACTGTAAGTCTTATCCCATTTTTTGTCTCCATCTTAGAGGTCAGTGTTCAGCACAATGTCAAGGACGTGTGACATGCTGTCACTTTGACAAATGTGCATTAGTGGCTGCACTACTCACATTTGCCAGTTGACATGAGGCCAAAAAGGAGACTGTTTCCTAGAAAAGCAGAAGTCTAAATAGAAGCACCTTCTGCTCCTATTTCATATTGATTTAATGGAGTGTGTTGGGTAAAAAGAAAATCTTTACACTGCCCAATTAGCATTCATGAGCAGCTGGGTCATGGCGGTGGAGTGGTGGTTAGCACAGTTGCTTCACAGCAAGAATGTTGCTGGTTTGAATCCTGGGCCAGCAGAGGTGACTGTAGCTCATAGTCAGCCATCTTTCAATCGCAAGGTTGAGGATTCAATCCCCAGCTCCTATAGGCTACATGCCAGAGTCTCCATGGGAAGGCCACTGAACCCCAAATTGCTCCACTTAGCATTAACATTGGAATGTGAATGTGTATAAATGGGATTCATTATTACTGATGGGCACTTTATAAAGCATCCTCTGCCATCACTGTGCGAATGTGTTTGTGTGAATGGGGGAATGTGACATGTAGTATAGAAGTGCTGTGAGTGGTTAGAAGACTAGAAAAGCACAATTTGTACAATTACATCCATTCACCATTTTGTCTTTTTTTCCAGAGTGATTTTATAAACTGCTTATGAATTCTAAATTAACTGGATGAAGAAATGTGTGAGCATTAATTTCAAGTGGTTTGCGTCCATTAAAAGGATAAGATAGGATAGTACTTTATTGATCCCCAGAGGGGAAATTCGGGGAAACGTATATCGAAAGTGATTCAGGAAGCCTTGAATCATGTGGTGACCGCCTCAGTACACTCTATATCCCATTGCTCATCCCATAGTCTTATGCACCCAGATGTGCACCCTTGGATATGAATGCGCTTTTGTCAGTCTACTGAATAGGTCCCTTTGTTATGCTAGTAGACTCAGACAGTTACTGTGAATGAAGGCATTGCATTCCTGTACTGTCACAAGGATAACATTCACTGTTCCTGTGAAATGTGGATTCTCCAGTTTTATATGATTGCATGTTATTCTTGTAGCATCTTTTCAAGGGACATTTCTACACTGATACTCGACATTATGGCATGGAAAAATTCTTGAAGAGCTGAATTGAGGCCTTTGTTTCCCCTGCTGTTCTGAATATGATACAAGGTCAGACAGAAAGTTTGATTATCTTTAAACTGTATGATCTCATTTTGCTTCAAACCAAGCTTCCTGTGGCACAGCAAAGAATAAACTGTTGTCAGACCATGAGTGAATTGAATGAATCAAACTGTTTCATTTGAGGCATTTTACACTTAATGCTTTATTTCAGTGTATAGCACATCCTCTGTTACCCCTCAGAGCATTGGTTCCCAATCTGGGTTGGCCTGGGTGTGTGTGTGTGTGTGTGTGTGTGTGTGTGTGTGTGTGTGTGTGTGTGTGTGTGTGTGTGTGTGTGTGTGTGTGTGTGTGTGTGTGTGTGTGTGTGTGTGTGTGTGTGTGTGTGTGTGTGTGTGTTTTATTCGCTGTCAGGTTCATCCAAAAACATGTAAAACAGAATATGGTTATGTGATTTGTGGTAGGATTACGCTTGTTATGAATTGCCTCCAGTGTTAACAAATACCAGCTGTTTGATACAGATCACCTGTTGTGAAGCGAGGCCTGTTTCCCGTCCTGACAGTCCTGAATAAAGGAAGCGGTCTCTTTAAGGCTGGACCACATCATTTCTCTTTATCATTGCCTGTGAAGCATTCAAAGCCTCTCCTTGAGTCACTATGATCAATACAATAGTACTACCAGTGTCATTCTGTTAAATGGAGTTAATGTAGGACTCGGGATCGGGAGCAGGCCCAAGCCGCACCTCCAATCACCTGACAAGCCCTCTTATACTGAGCCATCCCACTCCACACTGTTTGTCTCAGTTCTTCGACGACGACCCACCCTCCCTTCCCTTCCTCTCATCCAATTATCCCTCTCTCTCATCCCTCCATCTCTTTCGTCTAATTCTAGGCACAGTCTGAGCCGTGATCCGCTCGGGCAGAATTATGCTTGAGATGGAACCCCCATCCTGAGTCTCTGCAGTCAGTCCAACCTCCCAGACTAGCCATCTGACAACATCCTCCTCCATCATAACTTTTACCTTAGCATATATTCATCTGTCGCATCATTCATACGACCTATCATTAAATATCTAAAACGTATTTGGTTGTGGCAAGGTCCTTTCTAGCGAAATAGTTAATTCATGCAACATGTCTTGACACAGAGAGCCAGCCGATGTGTGATGAGACAGATAAGTGGAGTTGAAGTTGCGATGTACTATATCGTGACTTTTGTCAACTGTCTTTGTTATGCTTGGGTGTCTTTGGTTAACCTTACCTGGCTGTTGAATGGTGGCCTTTGTAAGATACTGTGGCGATGCCAATGGTTGAGAAAACACTAAATAATAATAATAATAATAACTTAGATTTATATAGCGCCTTTCATGAACGACGCTATTACAAAGTTAAACACTTAATCATTGGAGAGGTAACACATTCTCTCCATGCTATTCACACTGAAGGTTGATTCTTGTCTTTTCATATGCTTTCAGGGCCAGCAGACGCCTCCAAAGATGTGTAAGTACATCACTTCTTTTCTTTCATTTCACAGTAGGCCTATGCATGTAGTTCATCAGAAATACCTCGAGGCCTCACTCATCCAGAACACTCCACCCACACAGTATACACCTGTGATGTGGTAAGGTATTGTTCTGTACATGGCCTTGCAAGGATGTTATACAACTGTTACAATAAAAAACATCTCATAATAAAGACCATTAAACCATTATATTGCTGGAACATTGATTATTAAAGCAACAATATGTAACTTTTCCATCTTCAAATAGTAGTTTCAAAGACGATCTAGTAGTACCGTACAATAACTTTCAACAGGCAGAATAGAGTCTCTCTCCCACGTCCACAGATCTCCCGATAGCGCTATGTAAGTTTTGCAGCGGGCGGTGTCATCATTTTCTCATGTTTAGCAGCTTTAACAGGTGTAAAAAGTCATCTAAGCCAAGTTTGTTTTAAGGTCCAGGCATACAAATAAATAATAAATTAAACCATCTACAGCGGGCTGTAGATGCTAGCAAAGTCATATTTGGACAAAATCCAGTAATTATATGTACCTTGTCAGTCGACATGGGTCTTTGGCTCCTCTGCTTGTTAAAAGAGCACAGTGTGTTTTACAACCATGCAGTTACACTCAGAGACCTTCAGTGGGCACCAATGGGCACCAAACAGAATTCCTACATATTGTTGCTTTAAGTACATCATTACACACATCTTTATCTGCAAAATTTGCTACAGCAGTGCGTGCAATTTTTTTTAAGTTGCATTAAGTTGAAAATGAGAGATATGAACTTTTGTGATGAATGTTGATGGGTTTGTTTTGCGTATCAAAGATGGGTAGTTAATCAAAACTCACAGAGAAAGGCACTGTGAATGTAAAAAAAAAAAGATATTTTTGAGCACTGTGTTAACTCCTGTTCTAAGATGAAATATACCACTTATTACATTTCACTCCCATGTGACACTAATGATGATTTCAGTATTAATTGTGTGTGGTTCAGTTACTGTATAGTGGTAAAGTCTGTAGTGATTCATAGTTTAATAAACACTGCCTTTTTTATTTTCTCAAAGGTTGCTCATCCCTATCCACCTTTAACACCAGAAACACCAACTCTACGTTAAAAAAAGTGTGATATTTGATCATGAAACGATGTCTTCAATGACTCTTCTTTTTTTTAATCACTGTTTTGGTTTTTAAAAAAAAGTGTTTTTCTGTCTACCGACCATTCAGCCAGTGTCAGAGGACAGGCTGTCCAAAACCATCAACAGCTTTACGTCTTTCAAATCTATAGGAGGGGCAGCTTTTCCTAGAATAAGTCAGAGCGCATGTGTTTGCGTGTGTGTTTGTGTGTGTGTTTGAGTGTAGTGCTCATATATGTCTGTTTGCCTGTTGATAGCTATCTGCTCCGCCAGCTCAGGACCCATGAGAGCTGACAGCAGCACACTACTGACTCACTGAAGCTAATCACTGCTTCCTAGGACTCTACGACACAGCATAATACACACATACACACTCACACACACACACGCACACACACACACACACACACACACACACACACACACACACACACACACACACACACACACACACACACAGAGATCACCGTTAGTGAAACACAAAATTAAAGGAATAACACAATAACACACCCGAAAGCAAAAGTACAAATTAGATGAGGCAGCTTTATGTCAGCACCCGAAAAGCAAACAAACAACAACATGAAAAAAGATGTGGTCATTGGAAACTGGTATTCCAGTCTCCTGGTTCCAAACCTGAAACAAAAACAGGCGAGTCAGTCTGATTAGTTGTTCATAACTCCTGCAGAGAGAATTAGTAATGTTCCCTACGGGGCTAAAGCTGCATAGGTCACATTTTTCGCAGCTACCTGATTGCTCTTCCACAGTCGAGTGTTTCCTATGTCTCATTAGTTTTGTCTTTGTCTTTTTTTTTACAAGTTTTGATGTCTCCTGTGCTCCTAAGAGCTGACCTGACCTGTGCTTCTTCTCTCAATCAGGACAGAAGATCCCACGGTAGACGATGAGAAAAGAAGGTATTTTGCTAATATTTTCTAAAATGCCCAAAATTGGATTGACAATATGGTTTATTCTGATGTGATATGCTTTTAAGTATTTATCTTTGACGGAAGACACTTTTGTCTCATAATTTAAAGCAGAGCCATAAATAGAAAGGGTCCCCTGCCATGACTATTAACTGTCATAAGGTGACACATCAGACATCAGTTATGTATATATTTTATTCATGCAGGAGAGATAAAATGCCAACACCATTAATATCAATATTCATTTAAATAATATCATTATGTTTTTATTTACACCAGGTCAACCAAGTAGGTGCCATATGGACTTTTTTGGGGGGGTCGGGGAGCTCACCCAGATCCCATGCTTTTTACATTGGGAGATGTCATTACTATATCTGCATGCATCAAACATATCAAATGAATCCTGTAATGGGTTGGAGTGTCTCTGTTTGTTGGCCCTTGGCCTGGTCCATAGCTAATAGACAAAACCTTCAGCTATTTACAGAAATCACATTAAAAAAAAACACAAACTATCAGAATATTAAACCTGTTTTAAAATATCTGATTTAACAAAAAATACTTTTCATCAATCACATGCATAACAACTAAACATATAGCCTATCATGCCCAGGTGCTGTATCTTTCAATAACATTAAGACCAATAGAGTAGCTAATGTATTTGTTAAAAAGAGACACTGTATTGAATGAGAACCACTACAACGTAATTTCAGTTTTTCAACATTTGATTTTTTTTTGGTCTATTAATCAGTACAGTGTTCTCCTCTTCCCTCAGGAACTATGGCGGCGTATATGTAGGTCTACCTGCGGACCTGACTACCGTGGCTGCCAGTCAGTCTAAGTCTACACATAAAGGTAAACACCTATAAATGACCACAGCCCTGCAAGTCCTGTATTATAGAAAATGAGCATGTAGAAGTGAAGCAAGCAGCAGAGGGCATGGAGAGAAATGATCCCAAGTGACTGAGCCACCACCACTTCATAAAACCACATGTCTGCCTGCAGCATTTTATGTTTAATTTGACCTTTATTTTGACTGAATCTTAATGAGAAACATCCTCTTCACCGTTACAGTTTGGTTGCTTATATTTGGTTGGCAGCATTTCATTAAAAAGTACAAGAAAATATACAAAAATGGTTTTTTTTAATCAACATGGACCTTACTATTTCTATGATTTATTAAGTGTTACTCCCTTTCTTACAAAGCTAAGGAAATTATAAAGTTATATAAATTGGGACATTTTGAACAGTTATGTGACCTGTATTAAGAAATTATGAAAACATTTAACCCTGCGGTTGTCATTTTCAATCCTAAAACCTTTGCTATCATTATGTGTGTCCTTGTGAGTATCGAGGTTAAATACATCAATGAGTAAATTGCATTGCACTACCTGCACTTCACCTTGCCTTGGGTATTTTTGAGGCAAAAACACAAGACCTAGAAATCTGTCAAATGAATATAAAATATCCGATTAAGATTCAGCACTCATTCTCTTTTTCTCTTTGTTGTAGACTAACAGCAACTGAAAGGAACCACAGGTACTTGTGGTTTCATTTTCAAAAAGTCTTACTTTTCATTTTTTCACTTTAACTGTTTGGTTCTTTGTCAAATGACTCACATGAAGGCTAAATACACTGTTTTTGTTGCCACAGGATCCTGCGTATTCATTCATCCAGAGACACTCACATCACTTAATACAGTCTCAGCCTGTTTGAGCCAGGATGTGGACAGCTTGCCAGAGCACATTAGACGCCCCCTCATGGAGTCAGGGGGGGCACAGTGATGCAGGGGTGCGGAGTGGAGGTCTTGAGACAGCATCCATCATCAACCTTAACTTTGCAAAAAAAGCAGATGGGCATGGGAGCGGACAAGCAGCCTCCCTGAGACTGGCAGCAGCTGGCTTTGTGACAGCCATCTTTGCTTCTCTGTCACACCGCTCGCACGTCCTCTTTCTTTCTCAGGGGGAGACAGCGGAGCCAGTCAACTCTATGAACTGTCTTGGACTTGCGCACATTCCCAACAGCCCCCTGCAAAAATAATCACTGCTCCGTTGTTTCTCTGAGGACGTCATCAATGATTCATTGTGTGGCTGAGACAGAAAGTTAGAGAGACAGAGAATAATCTCAGCAGCTAGTTTTCTTTTTAAAGATGTCCCCAAATGTCCCTGGATGTGTAAAGCAGTGTGTACCTGGTGTTGCCACTTAACTTGTGCCCCAGACTTGTTATGTAACGTCATCATCATATGACTCATGATACTCTCTCTCGTTCCTTCTTTTGCCCTCCCTCTCTCTCTCTCATGCTCTCTCAGCAGCTGCTTGTTTTTCTTTGATTCTAGGGCTTCTGGGTAAATCACACAGCTCCTATAATCTTTCCCAGAAGCAGTTTGTTTATATCTCATAACACAAATGTGATGTCATGTAAAATGTAAACAAAGGAAGTCTATTAGCAATGACAGAATCCATGACTATATATTATATCCTCCCTTGTTTTTTATAAATCGATTGTCAATGTATGTAGATCTTGTTAGAGTCCATTTTATACAATATATAATCTCACACTTTATTGTGAAGGGTGTTCTTCTCTATGTAATACACTTAAGGTAAAGCTAGGGCTAGGTGTTTTTATTTTTTTTAAATTGTCAACATTTCCCATGTGTAGGCTTAGACCACTTGTACTTTGGTGTGACACAAAATTCTCATCACAAGGTCCGATCACTTGGTGCTATACTTGGTTTCTTTTATACTTTGACCTACTTTAGCTGAGTCTTTCACTTCAACTGAGTCGAAGATGATACAACCTTGGACACATATTTGTTATAAAATTTATGGGTCCTATTTTATTTAAATCTGAACTTCCCACACAATAATCAGGAAAGTCTTTTTTCCCCCCTTTTTAAAAAAAAAAATGTCTTTACTTTCTGTCTTCTCAGGTTCCAAGCTTTTTTTGTTTCAACTGATGATTCACATCCATGTAGAACGGAGTTGAGAATGAATAGATTCATTCAAAAGACCCAACTATTTCCCAAAGCAGCTGGGCACTGTAGTTTTTTTTACAAAAAGATTCCTCGACAGCAGTGAAAAGTGTGCTTTTTGGGACTATTTTCAGTTGTGGATTAATACACATTTGTGTTATCGTTAGTGCCCTAGTGAGTATTTACAATAACAGGACAGTGTCTGACCTCATTTTCCACTATATAGTATAATTTACAGCTTTGCTACCTTACTTTTGATACCAGGTTATTCTCTGATAACTTTTAATGTAAATGTTCTCAGAGGTCAAAGCAATCGCATGGCTATGAGAGTAACATTGATTCAAATTGGGGTCATGCTACAGAAAATAGAATAAGCATTGACTAAGCGCTTTTTTAGTGACCATTCTAGTTGTGATTCTCTCTCAACAATCAATGGAGTGTTTTAACTAGACCATATTAGAGGTGATACTTAAAAAATAGCACCAAGCACTATCCATTTCTTTTGCCAGTGGAACAAAGACAAAGAACCGTTTAAAGCATGTCTGGCCAGTAAGCGTTAAGCCATACCATTGTGTATAAAAGGAGCCATTTGTGGAACACAATAAATCTATAGTGCCCTTGTTCATCATAATGTCACCCAGTACAGCAATATGACTCACTGATGTATTTTACAAGAGGTCTATAGTGCAGGAGAATGAGCGACTGTATATCAAACTTCTGCTTTCGTAAAGCTCTATATGTGTTCGTCGGACCAATCCATTGTTTTTTTTCATGGGATTTGTTGACAACAAGAAAAATATCACCAACCTAAGCTTCCCACAAGAAATCTCATCACAGTATTCTCAGAAATACAAAAAAAACAGTTACAGCTGGGACAAAAGTCATTTTTCAGCCAGGCCCTTGACGGCCCTCTCCTCTGATGAATGTACAACATCCTTCACTCACCAGGAGCCCAGAGGAGGATGGAAATAGGCCAACTTCAGACACTTGTTATCAAGAGATGTTCTTTTTCGTGCGACACAAAATGGTTTTATTTGCCTTTGTGTGTCTGTGTGTGTAGCATTAAATGAGCAATCGTATAAAAACGAAGACTTCTTTCACCATGCCTAAACACAAGCTTACTGTTTACCATCTGTTACCGTCTGTTTAAGTGAAACTAACTAGCTTCCATTATCTGTCACATTGATACAAAAGGATTTCATGTAGTGTCTTATGATTACAAGCCATTTGTTAGCTCACATTCTTCCAGCGTTTACACTGTTGATCTGCGACAGAGATATACAGTGATCTACTGTATACAAAAGGAGCGGTTTTATGAACTGTTTAGTTTACAGCACATCAGTACTGCAGTTTGCCTCCAGCATTGTAGCACTAATTTGATCAAAACCCCATCTGAGACGTGATATTTTTGGTGTCCCTTTTCTCAGAAGTCTACATCTCCGTCCTGCTGCTGCCTCAGTCGCTCTGCGTGAGTCCGCACCAGAGGCCTCTGGCTTTGACAGCATGTTGCACCGCTTGTCTCTCCCTCTTTTATCAACCACTCTTTGCCCTTTGTGGCTGATCCTCCTGTATATGATGAATGCCGTTGCCTTTGCCCTATTCAATTAGTCCAGCAGGGACACTAGGGCAAAATGTGGATCCCTTAAAATGCCACTGTGGTGCATTGTGGGATAGTTAAACAAAGCTGTGGTAAGCAGTATGTCATTGAATGTTGTTTGGGTGGGCTGTGTCTAAAGTAGTATATTCTGCATTATAAGAAGTAGTTGAAAGGAATACATATATTCTCTTTCATACCAGAGTTAGATGTGAAGATTGATATGACTTTCATGTCTGTATGCTATATATAAAGCTACAAGTAGCAGCCGGTTAGCGTAAACCCTTTTCACACATACAGAAATCTCCTGAAAAACTCCTGAGATTTGGCTACCCGGAGGTGCTTTAGGCATTGTGTGAACGCAAAAAGCCACATTTTTCTTGCGGTCTTTACCTGGAGTTTCTCCGGCCAGACCCCTAGTATTTTTTTTCTTCGGAAAATCCGAGTGAGCTGATGTCTGAACGCGGCAGCATATACTCCGCAGATTTCAACTCGAGCCAATAGAAAACGGCTTTAGCTTACTGTAGCATATTGACTGAAACAAGAGGGAAATAGCTAGCCTAGATCTCTGCGGAAGTTTTCAAACCAACCTACCACAACCATGTCTCTTGTTTTAATGTTACTTTACCACTTTTCTTATCATGTGGTAAAAGCAGCATATCACTTGATTATGTGTACAGACAAGAGTCTTTCTTTGAAACATTACATTAATTATACAGTACAATATGAGCTATTATCAAGTCGAGTCCAAAGTCATGAAATTTGTGACTCGAGTCTACACTTCTGGTTGTACTACTTCAGTGTTTGCTAAGAGATTGTTACTGTGGATAGTTTTGAATTCAGGGGTGTGTCCAAACTCCAGCCTGTGGTGGCGTTTAGGCAATAACTTACTTTATGTTTAAGTTAGACTTTAAACAGGACGGACAGCTACGTCTCATTCACTGCTGACATTTTCTGTATGTAACATAGCCACACACATTTGATTAATGCTGATGTCACTAAAGAGTGGAAATGGCATTGCAAGAAAGCCAATTTTGACACAAAATGCTTAGTCAGACATTACACTTTTATACAAGGCTTTTTAGTAACAACGTAACTGGTCAGGTACATTTATTAAGGTTTCTTTTGAATGTTTATAGAAAAAACTGAATTTATTGGCATTGTGTGTTTTGTTGTTGCATCAGCTCATCTTTGTGGTATGAATCTTCTCATGTTACTTATGTTGCACAATAGCAGAAAAGTTAATTTTTCAAACAGTCAGACATCCCCTTCAATGTTTGGACTCACAAGATCCTTATGGTTTTGGACCATTTGAAATTGTATAATTATTTTCTCACACTGAAAAAGACTTGAAGTTGTGATAAAAAACAAACAAACAGTGTCTCTTTGTGATATCGACCACTGAAAGATGTTACTGTTACAGAGGTGATGACTGAGTTGATAGAATTCTTTAATGATGTTTTACACTGAAAATCATAATTGGCTGTTCATTGTCTCTTGTTCAAATGTTTTGTCTTGACTTTCATTCACTGATGTTCTTCATATGTCAGAGTTTTATAATAAATGTCCCCACAAACCAATTCATCAACTATGCTGACATGAGGTGAATAAAAAAAACATGCCTGCCTCTGACAAACTCATTCATAATCATCTGATTTGATTATTTATGATTAAAGACTTTTATATAGACCTGCTCCATACACAATATTTTGTCTGTGCGTATTGTTAGTTCGTATTGTATCTATTATTTTTTTTTTTTTACATATTCTATAAAGAAAATGCAGAATCTCTAGAAAATGCCATAATTTTAGACATTTTGGAAACATTGTTTGTCCTTTGAGCCAAAACAGGAGATACAAACTACACCTAAATCATTTTTCACAGTAAAAATCAAAACAACTAGGGAAAGAATAACATTATCTTCATGGATGGAAATTATAAAATGCAATCCCTCCATAGATATTACATTTAAAAAGCATCACCGACCCATAACATGTAATATCATCAAGCATTATAAAATGTGATATTCCATTCAACAGTGTGATTGTTACATCAATACAAACTAAGTCATTGATTTCCTCCCCTCTACATGAGACCCCCTCCAGGTGAATGTGACCAGTGTTCTTTGAATTGGGCACTGATACAAATCTGTATGTTTGAGTGTTCCTGAGTGAGTGTGTGCCTGTGTGTGTGTGTTTGTTTGTGTGTGTGTGTGTGTGTGTGTGTGTGCCTGTGTGTGTGGGTCTCAACTGTGAGGGCTACGTGATGGAGAACACGTCCTTAATCAGATCATCTGTGCATCTGGCCCAACGAACCAGCACAGCTGCTTTTCCTCCTGCTGATATTCGAGTCAACATCAGTGTTTCTTTTTGATCCACTCTCTTGGCAGTTGTCTCTGCTTCACCTCAAGTCTACTTCAGATTCATGATGAACGATTGGAAAGAAACAAAGATCACTTTATTTGATCTAACTTTTAATTTGGACTCTTAATAAGTAATTTATCACAACAGACATAGACATAAGAATTCATATTGTTCAAAGACGCCATGTTCTTAAACGTATGTCTGCATAATGGATAGTTTTCCTTCAATACTTGTCAATAGAGCTCTTAATACAAACAGTCAAACTAACCAACGGTTAAATTGTTATCAGAGGTGTTTTAGTGGTTGATAAACCTTCATCTATATGTTTAAGTACTTTTCATGTGCACCCTGTACAACTGACAAATCAATAACACACTTAAAAAGTTAATGTGTTTTGTTGGTGCATATCGGCTTTGTAGAGACTCATCATACATTTTCATGATAGAACAAAACAAGTGAAAAGAATAGAATAGATCTTTATTGTCATAAAAACAACAAAAAACAGTTTAGCAGCTCTTGTCAGTGGTGGCACAGACAGACACAAAGGAATAATAATAATGTAAACAAACATTTAAAGCATATCATAAAAACAAAAGTTTAAAACACTGAAGTCTAAAAAAAGCTCTAAAAAGAAAGTACAAATAGTGTAAAGTAACAGTCAAGATCAATGTACATTAAACAGTATAAGGCAGTAATGCAGCCCTTATAAAATAGGATCACTTCCATTACATGTACAGTCTTGAAAAAGACTAATTTTTATGATTTCATTTATTAAAGTTACTAATTATGTAAGAGAAAATTAACAGTTTAATATCTATGCATGTAAAAGATGTATTAGAAGTAACTCCACTTATCACCACTAGATGTCACTGCAGCACAGTCAAAGCTTCAACCCTGCCATCAGCTTTAAGAGCCTGCTCAACCTAAGTCCACATTTGGATGATATGTACTAAATTATCCATTAAAAGTAAGAGACAGTCCTTATGGCTTTAAGGCCTTTCTTTACACACACAGTGATAGGATGGTTAAAATCAGCCAGCAGCTCTCACAAACACCTTCAGTTGATTTGTAAAGCCGGAGGGCTTCACTAATCCTTGGCGCCAGAGTTGCAAATCTAGCCACATAACTGTAACAGGGTGCTAATCATTGTTTTGGTGGAAAAACCTTGCCAGCTTTTCCATGGCAATCAGGCCACTTAGAGGCCCCCGTTAACTTACTCTGATGAGTTTACAGCCAGTGTCAGTCTCGATCAAGGACCCCACTTTGAGGTTTTCACAATAATGAGGCTGAAACCTGAAAATGGGTATTTTGCGTGCCTAATATTCTCAGTAATTTATTTAAAGGGCTCGTAGTAAAGCAAAAAAAAAAAACAGGGCTTTCTTTCCAACTGAATTTACAAAAATATTTACAGCAATACTTACGCCTGACATCATTGACTGGTGTTTCAAATCTTAATACCTTACATCACCATCTTATATTCCAAAATGAATGTGAGACAAGATTTTACAAAAACCTCTCTTTCTCACCATTGATGACATTCACCACGTTATTTTGCTGACACTCAATCGTGCAGCGTCTTAGCTACTGTTTTGACACTTCACACTGACATTCTCTGTATTTAATTCTAGGTATTTGGAGGTTTCATTTTAAATGTGTGGGTATGTCAAGAATCGATTAAAGTATTAACTATCTGCACTCAGTACTTCCCCCAAACATGTTCAAAAATACTGTTTTAATAATTTCATTTTATGTCTAAATTAATTTAAACTGTTAAACAATAACACATCTATTCTTTCCCCCTCAATGAAGGTATCCACCATCCATTAATGTTCAATCCCAGAGTTTTACTTTTGATGGACAAAATGTTGCCTATCTCACTAAAACAGTCAATGTATAGAAGTTTCTAGTTGAATTAACCTACTCATCCAAGTTACATAAAGAAACATGGCTGACTTTTAAACTAGTTGTGGTTTCACAAAGGCCCTTTACACTTACATGAATTCAAGGAAATAAAATGAGTCTCCGGCTATCCACCAAATACTTAATAATCACCAGAGGCGTAATGATCTGACCATCCAAGCCTTTGCAGGTATTGTCTGGCAGGTATACCATCCCAAACAAGGACATAACAGTAACATATGTCTTCCCTGCAGTAGTATTCGCTTTGGGGAAGCTTTCCAAATATTATTTATAAAGAGATCAGTTTCAACAGTTGGAACAGCGCAAACATGTATATAGATCTTTAAACACTTTAATTTCCTTGGCTTGCCTGAGCGAATTGTAGAAAAGCCTGGCGCTTTCTGACTGATGTAATAAGCCGACACCGACACATAAACGTAAACAGGATCAAAATCTTACTTTGAGGAATGATTGTGTCACTGCACATGATTTTGCATGATGAACACCAAATTTCCCCATTGTTGTAAATTTTCCCATTGTGGGATAAATAAAGGATTATCTTGTCTTATCTTAAAGCATCCAAGGAGAGTAACAATAATCTAAATGCATGATACAGTTGAATGGGACTCTAAAATCATACCATAACATATCTGCAGAGATGATTTGGACCTTCGAGGTGGTAAATGTTTGATTAAAAGGCAAAAGATAATAGATAGATAAGTATTCTGAATTTCTAAAATATTTTTTTTAGCCACATAATTTTGGGGTGTGGGTGGACTATTCCAGAAAAATTCCGGCTCCAGCCTTGTCACTAAGTCTCATGTTTTGTTGAATCTAGAGTCTTCTGCTTTTCTCCATCTGGTTACCTCAGACTGATCCTTTCCATACATAACTGACAGACATGTTAAATTAACGTGACTGACGAAGTTAAAACAAATCATGCATTCTCCCCTTATGCAATCTCACTCTGGTACAAGGAGGTGATGTAAGAGTCGGTGATACTTCTGCCCCTCATCCCTGGACTGTAGACATCGCAGACCGTGGCAAATGAACCGTACAGAACTGCTTGTGTTCTCAAAGCATGTCAGACCCAATGTCAAGGCCTCCTTCCTCAGCAGACTCCCAACTGCCACTCAGATTTCAGTCCCAGGGCTTGAAAGACTCACAGGACACACGATACAGTCGTCCCAGTGAACTGAATTTGACGTGTAACGCCAGGTCAGGCAGTTCAATAAATGCTCTGTAACCCACCACTATAGGACCAGACCAAAATGTGGCACCCCTGACCCTTGGGAGGGAGAGGGAGGTGCGCTGTCGGCTGTGGTGGCTTCACTCTGCTTTAGTCTTGGCTTCACCGTGCATGTGCTTCCAATTACAGACAAAGGGGAGGCGGTCCTGTGCAGCATGTGGTTTCATTTAGAGCAGGTGAAACAATGTAGGAAAATAGATCCGTCACCCGTCGCATTCCAGAGGCCAGAGAGGAACAGCGCTAAATCATAGCAAAGCTAATCCAGAGAGGAACGGGTTGGTTAAAAAAAATAAATGGCAGTCGAGGGTCCTGGCAGCATCTTCACAGTTGATATGCTGTGCTTCAAAGCTTTAGACCTGGTAGAAATACCCCCCCCCCCCCCCTCCTCCCCCCCCACCATTCTTGCTTTAGCTGTATTTAAATTGTAACTGTTTGACCCAGGTCCCTATGGTTTTGGCCATGCTAGCACTGTGTCTTCAAGGACAGCAATACTGGTCTGACAATCCACCACTTTGGTTGACGCTGAAATATCTCAACTAGGTCTCTACTTGATGGATCACCATGAAATGTTTTACAGACGTCCATGGTGCCCAGATGATCCTGATGACTGATGATCTCCAGACCTTTTATATAGGGCCTTCAGCATGTTAATACTTTTATTTAAATATCTGAACATCTACTTTATGCACTTTATGCACATATTTGTAGTTCATGGAATGGGTCCCAGTGACTTTGGAGATCCTTTGACTTTCCCTACATAGCCACATGAAGGTTGACAATTTTGGTTTTGACTAAAATATCTACATAACCACTGAGATTGTTATTGAAATTGACACGGGCAATCTTACTTATAGGATGATATTATGAACTTTGGTGATCTGAAATCTTCTATCACCATGAGGTGAAGATAAGTATTTTATCTGCATTGGACAATATCATACATTTGTCTCAAAGGGCTTTACAAGCTGTATATTACACAACACTGTATGGCCTTTGACCCCTGACACCAGAGTTAAAAAATTTGTAACCAACCAATATACTTTGCTTCATTTTTACTTAGTACATGCAAATAAGAACATTCCCCTTACTCCCACTTACACTCACATTGACTACATTGACTGTTTTTTTT